GAAATTGATTTAGAAAAAACTCGCGAAGAAACACGAAAAGTTGCAGCTGCAAAAAAACGTGAGAAACGTAAAGCTAAAAAGAAAGGTAAACAAAAGTCGACAGCACAAACTGATGAACAGCGTCAGCAACAAGAAATCGAAGAAGCCGAAGAAGAACATAATGAAAACGAAGAGCCATTTCATGAAGGAATCCCTCCACCATTAGAGACAACAGCAGTCGCTATACTTGTTGTCGATGATGATCTTCGATTGAAAATGCTTACATCCGAGAACGAACAAGTATCAAGAAAATCTCCTCCACCTGAACCCGTCACATCAACTCCATTACTACCACCTACTTCCCTTCCGCCGCCAACTCCTTCGGTGGCAGTTTCGAAACAGCCGACGAATAGTAATAATAAAAAGAAAACGAGTACAATGACACGTAAGATTGAACGACATCAAGAAAATCTCGCATCTAAAAGCAAACAGCAAGAAACATCGTCAACAGCCAGTACGGCAACAGCACCGATCGTGGACGACGGCTGGCAAGAAGTCATCGGCAAACAGAAGAAAATAACTATTCCACACGAACACTATTTACGCATTGTAGGGCGAAGTGGATCGAATCTAAATGCTTTACGGGAAGTTACGGGTGCATCGATCGATGTCGAAAACAAACGAGCTGCCGGCGATAAAACAATTCTAATCAAGTATAACTTGTTGATCTCTTTGCTCTTCCATTGTCGTTATTTTCTGTAAATAGAGGGAATGGTGATTCAATTAAACATGCATATCAATTGTTAACCGCTCTGTTGAAAGATGCAGACACGGACTTAATGAATCTCTTGTCATCAAATACTGAAAGTCAAAAAACGAAATCAAGATCAACTACAGTAACATCTACAAACGAAAATAATAATAGTGAAGAGAAAACAAAAACTCAAAGAGCGAGTAGCACAAATTATGGATCAAGACTACAGAATAACGGTAAATAAAACTATCCACGCATCCACTTCTTTTTTGCTCTGATGAATTCACTAAATGACATATTGTCAATTCTTTTTCAGACTTGTCAACACCAGAAACACATGCATCGACTCCAAGCTCTAAGTCAACAATGAGTAATAGTCGTTCGTCAAGTAAAAAAGTAGCGACAACAAACTCGACTCGGTCAACATCCTCCTCATCATCATCAGTAGCCAAAACATATCAACCATTAACAGCGACTGGTGCAACATGGGTGAACTCGAACCGTTTAAATCGTGGTGCATCTTCATCGTCGACAACAAACTCATCAGCATTAAATATGACGATAACAGCATGGAATCATCCACAGATTCCATCAAAATCCCCTTCTGTGCATAATAAAACATTGAATGCTTCCTCATCAGCTTACCACAATTCATACTCTAATATGAATTCAAGTAATAATCACAGTAATTATGGTTACACAAGTAAGCAAGGTACAACCTCAAGTAAACCTTATACTACGAATCATCAACAGAAAGCGGATTACACGTCAACAAATGAAACGACTCTTGTCCATCCACCGTTGACACCTCTCATTCCATCACAACCAGGTGTTCGAATGCCGATTCTATCGACATTATCCACTACATCTGATTCCGTACCGTCAGCACTGCTTTCGGCATCGTCGTCTTCTTTACTCGTTGTTTCATCTGCTACACCTACTCCAGCAAACGTGTCGCAACCGGGTGAATACAATCCATTTGCTTCGAATATTCTGACAACATCAATTGTTGATGTATTAACTAAAACCAGGGAACCGACTACATCTGCTGATGAATCCAATTTAAGCTCATCAACGAAAATGAATTTTGCTAATGTGGCAAAAATGAATATGCCTACAAAAGCTACTCATCAAGAGTCAATTGCTGTCACTGTGAATGAGCCAAATTCACAGCCACCACCGCCTGATCCCAAGATTGCTCCTGGTTATCGTGGTCCGTCAAGTACGGGAACAACACCAGTGCATCATCAACATCAGTGTCAACAGCCACAACCAATCATTCATTCAACTAATTATGATTCACTTTCACCTACATCACAATTGAGTCGTGCACCTGGCGCGAATCGGCATCAACAGTCAATATCACCATCGATGAACAAAGTACGTCTTGATCAAAATGGTCACACAGGCTCATCAACGGCTTCATCGACTTCTTCATCACCATCATCAATAAAACAACAAACAAATCAACTTATTCCACCTCAACAACTGTTTACATCAGTTGATCAACAACAACAGCAACCATTTGGACCTATTGGAGCTCATCGTCCAGCCATGCCACTTACCACTGATGTATCATGTACAGACAGTCCACTTCAAATGAGAGCAAAATTCAGTCGAACATTATCGGCAAATAGTACACCAATGTATCAGCAAGTAATACAACCAACATCATCATCATCACAACCACCCCCACTATCGTCAATGACGTTGAACAATCCAGCATATGCAAATATGTCACGGAGTCGATCGAATCTCAATCCGAGCGCACCAGAATTTCAACACTGTAATCGCCTACCGTCCCCGTTTATGCCAACACCACTAGTGCCGCCGACGCTTCCACCACAAGCAACTATTTCCAACGGACCACTATCGGCCAATATTATGAATATTGTTCGTATGATGGAACAGAAGCAGCAGCAGCAACAACAACAACAACAACAGTTATATCCAAATAATCCAACCATGCCAGTACCGCCATTGCCTGTACAACCGGTTATTGCACCGCAGGTGATGACGCCTCCGCGCCTATTACAGCCAGTAGATATGGAAGCAATGCAACAACATGTACAAAATCAAGTGTTACACTTTTGGCGTCCACCTCTAAACCAACAGCAGATGGTACAGCCAACACCACCTCCACCACAATTACTGACAACATTGCAAATCGCTAATATTTTGGCTTCCAAGGGACAATTGCCACAAGATCCAAATCAAGCAGCAGCACTTGTTGCAGCTTACTATACAAATTTGATATCAAGAACGCAGCAGCAGCAACAACAACAACAACAACAACAGCCGCCGCCACCACCACATCAACCAAATAATATTCCAGCATCGTCAAATGTAAATAAAGTTGTCTATGAGACGATCAACACACAACCAGTAGTCCCTTCAAACAGTGATGATGTACCACTAAAGACAGGTAATACACTACATTGAAACAATATACGCATGTAGATTTCTTTTTTCAATCGCTTTCAGTCGATTCAATCAATGGACAAGCTAAGGCTCAAGTTATCGTCGATCCGAATGTTATCCTTGCCAATAGTAATCATTCAACCGGTCCTTCTTCATCCGCATCGTCAACTGCCAATGTCGATCACAAAATGATACCAGCTGCGATCGGTAGTGAGCGTAAACGACACATACCTGCATCAGCTATCAATGGTCCGATGCCGGTCGCTGGTGCTAACGATTGGTCATCTGCTCAGAAACGTATGACCGCTTCTCATGTTCTTTCTGCCTCATCTTCATTTGTCTCTCCTTCTGTTTACTTAGAATCGTATCCGATCGATCCCTATTTACAACAACAACAATCGCAAGTTTCTCTCTCGTGTGAATATCAACAACAACAGCCGTCGCGTGATTATACACGCTAAAAAATCTTTCTATTCGACTGAGAATATAATGCATAGATTTGCCTCTTATTGTTTAAAAGATTTCATTTGTTTGTTTGTTTTTTATTGATGCACTCTTCATAACTACGTGTGACACAATGTCTCGCTCACTTGTATTGCTTGTGCGTGTGTGTTTTCTCTCTCTCTCGCTGTCTCTACATCACTTTCGTTCATTTTTGCTAACCGATCGTTTACTTTTTTTTCGTTTTTTCCCAATTTTATTAGCTCTTTACTCTACAGACGTTTTTCCCGATTTGTTAAAGCAGTGGGTTCTCCAATGTGCTGCCATTCGATTCAGTTCTCTTCGTGTTGAAGACGATATCGCAACAAGTTTCTCCGCCGTTTTTCTTTTCTTTTTGTGTCAACTTTTTTTTCTTTTCGATATACATACAAATACATATATACAGAGTTAAATCTACAATTCCTTTCACTTGTCGTCTTCATCAATAGGTAAGACAATGTCATCATTAATCTTTTATTTTTATAGATGACGGATGGTTGTCTGAATTGTCGTTTGCTCCTTTCGTTTCTTTGTGTCTTAACTTTTCTTATATCAATCACATTGAAAATCAACCAAGCATGGACACATATTTCCTGGTTTTTAATCTTTATTCCACTATGGATCTTTAATCTCATCTCATTATGTATAATTATCTATTTAATTATCATTAAGAGATGGTTGAGATCCAAAGAAACATGTTTACAAATTATCTATTATCTCTTGAGTCTACTCTCGGCATGCACATTCGAAGTTCTCCTATGTGTTAAATTGCAATATAAACGAGATATGCCATACTGGATTGTGTTTCTACCGATGTGGATATTCATGTTCCTATTGTTGAATATTATCGCCCAGCAAATGCATCGAACTTGTCAGGCAACAAGCGGAAAGACTCTATGATTACTGCCCTCGATAGATTCAATCTGTATATACAGTGCTTGTAAAAACTACTGGAATAAAAAAAGAACAGCTCATATTTTTGTACAATTGTATAGTATGTGAAACCATTGTAAATAAATCATGTTGTTATGCATTGCATACTTTACGAAGGATGTTTTTCATTGATAAACAATGTTTTGTGTAGTTTCCAAGTACAACGATGACATGTAACAAGCATTTTCGGTTAGGAATGTTAGTTTCTATCAGTAATTCAATGTGCAGTAGACGGAAGATTTCCTTTTGAGTTTGTTGATATTTTTTCTTCTTTTCGCCACCCACGAGTTTATGTTACATTGTATCTTTCATCAATCATTGATGTCGATGATACAGTTTGACGCCTCTCCTTATGACAGAACAAGTAAATTACAGTAATAGAATACAAGCGCTTATTTATACTATTAGGTTCTACTTGTCTAGCATATATACAATGCCACTTGGGTTCTATGTGGAAACTCCAGACGGTCGTCGTAAGTCTGTCACACTACCAACACATTTCAGTCTCGATGATTTTCGTAACATAATTGAGAAGAAAGTTGGTAATCCGGAACATTACGATTACTCACTTGGTGATGTCATTTTTCGTACGTGGGATGAGGAAGCGTTCAATCGACAACGAAGTGCCATTCACGATGGTATAACTCTTATAATACAATATCCACCAGTTGGACCAACGAGTCCACCTTGGCGTCAAGCAGCTGCTGGCTTATGTCTGGAAGGAGTTTGTTTAAATGTACAGTGTGAAGCTTTTGAACACAAAGTTATTATGAATCAAGGAGTGGGAACATATGCTGTTGTTCATAATTCAATCGTTAGTACATCGAAATGTCCGTTATGCGAATCAACGGTCCAACCAACGGTCTGTGCATTTTATCAATGCTCATGGCGAGTATCAGGCGTGAAGTCTGACGATACAACAGACAATCTATCTACTACGAAAAGTCTTACTTGGCAAAATGCAACACATGACTATCATCGATGGGAAGAAAATTTGACAGCATGGAAACAGTTATCAGTCGAAACAAGAAAATAAGTTCACGGTCATAACTGTCAAGAGCCTGAACATATCGATCGACTTTCATTTCTTATGTGCTTTAATCTTTGTTTAATAAATTTTATTGATGAATAATAGAAACTGAGTGGAATAATTTAATTTATTAAACATCAGATATTCTTTTACTAGATGTATATGTACATCTGCAATAATCTTAGTCTATATATGTGTCGCATTTCTTCGAATACCTTCAAAATCAATCAGAATTTCATAGACAACTGGTCAAATTTGATTATTAACTCACCAGTAGGATAGTCACACAAAGTACCCGCCCATCCCCTAAGACATTGGCAAAAGAAAGTGTTTGACGAAGACAGCAGGCAACAGCGACCATTAGCGCAGGGATTTGGATTACAAACGCTGGATACTACTACTAAAAACGAGAAAATCTGTTTTTTTTTGTCGATCAATGCAAGAAATGAAACGATACCATTGCTAGCCTCACAAAGCAATCCAGTGAAATTAGGAAGACAGGTACATCGAAAACCTCCGCCAGCATGGATTTGACATGATCCTCCGTTATAACATGGATTTGTCGAACATGCGCTAATCGACACTGAAAAATAACTGGAAGAAATTGACGATGCAGTGATAAATATTTGTATATTACTGTCAGGATAATCACACAAAGCACCTGTCCATCCAGTAGCGCATAAGCATGATTCGAAAACTCCGGGATTTGAGCTGCTTGATAAACAAGCTCCTCCATTAAGACAAGGGTTTGAAGTTGGACCACAATATACGACAGCTATTCAATAAATACAAAGTGAGATTATACAGCACGCATGAATCATTTACATCGTTCATTCAGCACTTCTCGTTGAACATAATTATCTTCCGCATTGATTATTAAGTAATGAATAAAAAACAATAGTAGGATGCAAGATGAATGCATATTGATGATATTCTCAGATATACTAGAATTCATTCCATTACTCTATTATATATAGTGGTGGTGCCAAGGGTGGGTTACAGGAGACTAAGCCCCCAGATTTTTCAAAACTTTCAAAAAAAATGACGATTTTCTTACAAATACATAAGACACTAGAGAGTGGGCCTTCTAAGGCGAAAATCCTGGTGCCGCCTCTACCTATATATCATCACTATTTTTTAAGGCTGTAAGAAAGCTATGTAAAGCCACCAAAATTACTATCATTCTCAGATTACATTGTTTTTCGTAGTCTGTAGAGCGATTGATGATCGAGCAAAACGAACCGAAAACAAACGACTTCTTTCTCTATAATTCGACTAACACTGTTTTGCATATACCTTTTCATATTTGTTAACGTAAGCGTAGGCTATACTTACTCAACAGCATGCAATACCTGTTTTTCATTCATGGTTTAGAAAAAGAAATGTTACTCAACATTTCACTAATTTTCGCAAGAGTTTCGTATATAAATCAATTCTTTTTCACAAATTTATTTATTTGATTCAAACCTAACTTGTTTAGATATTCGAGCTCTGAATGATGGTAGATGCAAGTACTCAGACTATGTCATATTGTGAATCTCAACTACCATCACATACGAGTACAATCACAGAAAAAGCGAACGTAAAGGATGAAAAAGAAGGAAATGCTATAGATTTCGATTCAGCGATTCTATCCATCGGTCGAGCTCAGAGCAATCAAGTACGCAGCCGAGTACTCTTTTTGCAGTTATTTCATCCTTCGAACAATCAGTCAGATGATTTATTTTGTACATTTAAGTGTAGAGATCAAACGTATGCTGGTAATCAACAGATGATCAATGTAGTTGATCAAATGATTGCTCAGCCACACGTTTCTTATTCGCTATTGCCAAAACATTTCAAACCAAAACAACAAGTCACACAGTTGAAAGATTCGAATCGAAAATATCAATCATGGTACTATGAATATTCATACCAGAGTTCACGTGGTAGATTGAAATCAAAATGTATCACTGACGATCATCGTAGAAAACTAAACAATAGTTGACACAGATTTTTTGTAGTCTTTATTTCATAAACGAATAAACTATTTCATATGCTGGACAGACGATAGATTAAATATGAAACTATGCGTGTCTTCTTTTTACCACAAGTGAACAAAGAAATATTGAGGATAAGGACTGGGATAAATTTATTTCTCAATTATTCCGAAAAGCTTATTAGATAAAAAGTTTTTTGTATAAAGATGAAACATGCTGCGATTGTCTCTTAACCACGTCGTTTATCGCTGCTGGTCGCTTTACGCCATTCGTCCCATTCCTATTCAAAGTAAAACACAGATTTCTGAGAAAAAAATGGCTTTTTGATTTTACCTCAAGTTTTGGGCACCATCGTTGAAGACCGGTAACTTTGTTGATACCTAAAGCTCGTTCGCATCTGAAATAGTGCGTATATTCAGTTGCCTATCAGAGAATTCTTCAATAAAAATTTACCGTTCTTCATATTTTTCTTTCGCTTCTCGACGTTGTTCACGGGGAAACGGGATACCAAAAAGACGTTTTTGTAAGAATTGTTGTGCATCTCGTGCCTCTAGAATAGAACCGAACATCAGACGAAAATCTGCAAAAATCTCCACATACCGAAATCATTTTCATCATCAGCATGAGCAATATGCACAAAGGCGATGATGAATAGAGCGCAAACGAGACCAAATAAGATTTTATTCATGATGCAATATTGTATGTATGAATACCGAATGATACTGGCTAACAAAAAAGTTCTTCTATTTCTTCTACTTGTCTTCTCGACGAGATTATCTCCTTAAAGCAATGATACAATCGTTTTGTCTTTCAAGTACGGATGATTATTCATCGGTTGAAATAGATACTATCTAGATATATTTGTCAACACTTATATCAATAATCATCACTTGTCTTTTCTCTTCGCAATATCGATTGAAAAGTATTTACATCAGTCGAATCCTATTCATATACATATAGCAAGTAGCAAGAAGTACGGGTCTGTCGATATGTGTTTCGTTTTCATAAGAAAGCTAAATCTGTTTTTAGAGAAACAAAATGAAAGCCTTTTCAATTGCTATTCTCGTTTGTACTGTTCTTTTGATGATGATTCTCAACGAGAGATATGCCCAAGCAGCTGAGGAAAATAGTTTTGAACAAGGTAAATATTCATTTCACTTGTAGGGAAAAGAATTCGTTGATTTTGTTTCGTTTTTCGTTTGCGAATATTTCTTTTACTTTAATCGCTTCGATGCTATGTGTGTGTGTGTGTCTATAGACGAAATCGATGCTCTTTCGTTTCTTGTCGACAAACGGGTTTACAAACAATTCAAAACCAAATGCGAAGAACAAAAGCGTGAAGCCAAAGCAGCTTACGAATCCCGTTGTGAACCATCAGTTCCTATCAGATTAACAAATAAGAATGCGTCGAAAAAACGATATTGTCCAGAATTAAAAAATTGGCCCACGTTCATCAAATATGAAGTTCAATAACTAATTAACACTGCTTTTTCTGTCATATTTCCTATACGAATTTCATCAATATATATCTCGACAGTGACACGCATTAGTCATCCCCCCGATTGATTTTGCTTCTTCTTTTTTTCTGGTCGAACTTTCGAATAGTCTGTTTGATTGACTGTTTTGTTCTGTATACTATAGCTCGTTCTACATCCAATGAATTTCTCCGTCGCAAACGTGGCATTTTCCATCCCGGAGTGACTGCATGTGAAGAACAAAAGCGTGAAGCCCGAGAAGACTACGGTATGAGCGTGCTTCTTAATTAACTGCTTATTTTGCGATCACTGTAGAAGAACGATGTGAACCATCAATTCCATGGCAACGGGATCGTAAAAACAACCGCTTCTGTCCAGATATTAACGAATGGAAAGAGCTAGATGCCTATGAAATCGGAGAGGGAGGTGGTTTTGATCTTGATACGTTGGGTAAATTGATTCCACAAAATGTTAGTATGGAAAAAATCATCGGTGGTGTTGTCGCTGGAATCATCACCGCTGGAGTTGGAGGCAAACGAAGTGTTGATGATGATGAATGACCAATGTCGTTTTTTCCTCTATATACTGTATCTATTTTTCAAGAATAATCATCTATCTTCTTTCACACATCGTTTTCTGTTCTCGCCTAATCCAGATTATGCCGTCAGCGCACTAATTTACTGTTCGTTCCTGTCTCTTTGATTATTCTAGATTGTAAACGTGTTCTTTGTTATCCTATTCAATATGAATTCGAAATCAAGCGTACTATTCTCGTTCTTCTAACTGATTTTAGAATCGGTCTATGCGAATCGCTTTCTGAAACGATCGTTCTTTCATCCGGGTTCAACAAAATGCGAGGAACAAAAACGTGAAGCACGAGAAGATTACGGTAATGGGCTACTCCTAATTAATGTCTTTAAAAGTGAATATTTTCTTTAGAGGAACGATGTGAACCATCCTTTCCGTTGTTTCGCAATACCGGCACGCGTCGATTTTGCCCAGACATTCACGATTGGAAAGCATTTGATAATTATGAAATCGGTGATGGATTTGAAAGTCGGGATCCTATCAGCGAAAGTAAAATTAATACAAATCGCGATCGAAATCGTTCACGAGATCCAAATAGAATGGAAACTGGTCCTGATCGTAATGGTGATTACGATAACGAGATGATTGACCAAGAATAGACATTATCTTGTTTGTTTGTGAAGTATTTCGTGTACTCATTCGGAATAAAAAGATTTGATTTTTACAAAGTAAAGTTAGCGTGTCAACAGAGATTTCCTACTTGTTACTTATCATTTCGATTCGCTGACATCCGATTTAGATAAGAAGAAAGATAAGTTGATGATAGTTGAAAGCATATTCAAGGCAAAATAAATAGAAGATATGTTGTTATTCATCTATGTCATAGTGTATCGTTTCGAATCAAATCATTTTTCGCAGTACTAATACGAGTGTTTTGATGATTCACTACACTGCAAACGAAAATAACAAGTTATAAAATCATGTCTAAACTCAAAAACGACGAAAGAGATCTTCTCTTGTGTTCGAGAAGTAAAAGGTATCATCTTTTCGCTGCATATTCACTGAACAAATCTTTTGAAATTCATAAAAATAGATATACACTTTATAGAAATTTCACATACAAATTCAATCGATTGCATAATGAACTGATAAAGGTAAACCCACTGATTGACCATAGATAGATAGCCAAAAGAGGAATTTTTTCTTTATCGGTTGATCAGCGACTTGTTTTAAAACGTTTTCCGTGTGACAAGGATGAAGAACGAAAAAAGGTCGATGAAGAATTGAATGTTCTTGCTGTGTAATCGTTTCGTACATCTTGGAAGTTTTCTTATGAGTGAATAATTGCCAAACGTCATCCAATGATAATAACGAGCCATCCAAATGACTAATATTAAAATAGAGAACAGGTACGGCGTAGCTCTCGCTATAGACAATATGAAACTCATGTTTCAAGTGATCTTGATCAACGAATGAATAAACTAAATACGAGCCTTTGGAGGTCTTTAGTAATTGCCAACGGTCATGAATCTGTTGTGATTGTTCATAGAGATCAGATATACATTGATTGAATTCCTCTAATGTCAATGTCATCATCTGTGCAAGCAGTTTTGTTACTCTAGAGTTCAAAAAAAACTAGTTGAAGTTTATTTTTGCTTTTGTGTATATACATATACATATATATGTTTTCTGTCGCGTGCTTCTTCTCTTACTAATGAAATGAAGACGTGATGCGCGAACGATAGTGTGCAAATGAGAATAGAATAATAATAATAATAATATATAAAAAGAAGAAAAAAGAAATAAGTAGAACAATGAAAAAAAGAAGAAACAGAGAAGAAGGAAGATCGACAACAGTTGTTGACACACTGAGAATAATAAAGAAACGAAACGAAAGAGAAGAAAGGAAAAAGATGAAAAATGAACAAGAACCATCAACAACAACAGTGACAAATGACATGAGAATTAAACATACGTTTTAAAAGACAGAAAATTAAAGACAATAGAATAAACATACACTATGAACAGATCGTCGTGCGATCGAAATCAAGCATGATCACTTTTGTATCTTCGGTGCTATTGCGACTGCCAGCTGCACATACTAGCGCCGAGTCGGTGCATTTAATCCGCCACACAACACCTAAAGCATAGTGATGAAAGGATATCTTTCAAAAACAGAATTTTTCTCAACTTACCACCACTGCCCATTGAATCCAATGTAACTAAATTTCGAATGAAATCGCCTGTGTTCAAATCCCACAGTTTGACAGTGCCGTCGTCACCTGAACTAACAACATAATTCAAGACAACTTGAACCCATGTTACAGCTGATGCATGTTTGTTTCTTCCTACAAGAAAACAATGATTAGACATGAAACGAAAGGCAAAAACAACAAATTAAGTTAACCATACCTGCAAGCGTGTGCAGACATTTGCCAGATTCGATATTCCAAATTTTTACAGTTGAATCAGCATTTCCCGAAACGAGTATGTTGCCGCGTAATTGCATTCCACTTGTTAATGACAAATGGCCAGTTAATTGATGTATACACGTACCTTGTTCAACATCCCATACACGAATCATACAATCCAATGAACCGGATACGATATGTTTACCATCAAACTAAAAGTGACACAGAGATCCATGAACTTTACCTGCTCTCCTCACTGAACTCTTACCACTAGTGAATAGACGCGATTGGTATGTCCTTCAAGTGTATGTACACATTTTTCTTGGTCTGGCAGCCAAACGCGTATAGTATGATCATAAGCACCCGATACAACATATTTGCCATTATAACACACGCAACGAACAGCTGCTGTATGACCACTTAACATATGGAGACGTTCACCTGTACGAATATTCCATACTCTAGAACACATACATGAAAGAAATCATTCTAGATTCGGTCAGTTTCACTTCAACGTACCGAACAGTAGCATCACGTGACCCAGATACGACGATATCACCATGTAATGCTAGACAACGTACTGTTGATGTATGTCCATATAAGATATGTTGACAAACACCTGTACCGATATTCCAGACACGAATTGTTCTATCTGTACTACCACTGACAATAAGCTCATCTGTCATTTCGCTGCACCATACACCACCATTATGTCCAATTAATGTTTGATCACACTAGTCGACATAGAAAAGAAACAATGTATTGTGACCATCTTTTGTAAGCTAGTCATTACCTTTCCTGTTGCTACTGACCAAATTTTTAACGTATTATCATCCGATCCTGATACAATACGTTTACCGTCAAACTGTAAACAAGTGATAACAAAATCTTCATGGCCACGCAATACGACCGGTTCAGGTACTAATTGTTCATGTTGCCAAACGTATTCCAAATGCTTATGACAGGCATAGGAACGTTTCCATTCATTTTCAATTGCTTCATCGAATATCGTTCGTAGTTTTTTCAATGGAATCATTTTTCGTTGACAAATACGTTTCCACAGCAAGATATCATTACACGTCTCATACCAAGATCGACATGTACGCGATGCACGCGCAACATCATTTGCGGGCAGATATTTTAATACATGTAAAGCTAATTCTCGAGGAAGATCACGAATGAAATCACGTTGAAAATAGGGTTCGATTTGATTTTTAATCTGATTCAATTGAAGTATATTCGTCGAACAAGTACGTATCAACGCCTCAGTTGCGCGGGTCCGATCTTCATTAGACATGGCCAGAAAGATATCTAGCCAATTGATAACTTCACTCGAAAGAGGTGAAGATGGCGGAAATGATATGGAATCAGTATTGTTCGAAGATGTTGGCGACGGAGACGAAGTGATAATGGCAGTTGATTTGGAATCACACTGTTCTCGAAGATTACTGAAATATACAGAAGAACTTGATTACCTCTTACGACATCCAACGACGACAAACGTCATTATCTATTTATGCAAGGTGTCAGACGAAGCTAATATGACCATAAGGCAGAATAGAAACAAAAATCGTTCCTTATGATAACCCACTAAATATCATGGTTCGCGTGAAAAGTTCGATTTCTGCGGAAGAAAAGAAACTAAACGAATTTTATCCTTCGTTTATATAGAACACTCTAATCTAAATGATATCAGACGAGTGTGTTGCTATAATATTGAAAGGTAAAATCAAGGACGATCGAGCATATGCTACACTTGTCATCAGCTCGACATAAGTCATACGACAATCTATTCTACCAACGAACATGATACCTCTTTAAAACCATGTGCTCGTACTGTAGCTGTCACTCAGATGTACGGATGTTTACCTGTTACAAATACGTTTAGAATCATTCGTCGTTACGATTGATTCTTCAATTGTTAATTGTCGTTTTCCAGGCGAACGTATTTGCTGTAGTATTTCACCGGGATAGTCCGTAGATATCTGAGTTGCTGTACAGGAATTCTGAGTCAGTTGATCGATCAATGATGGCGAACTGGATCGATCCGGTGACGATAGAATTCCCACAGATTCTGATGACATATCTACAAGAGTTAATTATAACATACAATATATATTTCTTGAGCACCTCTAGATTTTTTACATATAAATGACAAAAAAAATAATAATTACGAAAGAAAGAAAAGGAGCTAAGCGATGTTAATGAAATCTACATAGACAAACAGAATGAGAAAACATTGGATATATTCTCTTGGTCTGTGTATTAATCGCTGTCATCATAAGATCCATCATCATCATCTGCCATATCGGCCATTTGATCATCGTCATCCTAAATTCGAGCATTTCGCACAATGACTTTCATCAGAAGGAATGTGAACATGCAAAACTTACATCGATACCCAAATCGACATCATCTTCATGAGCCGATAAGGCATTGTAAGCTGATTTCTTTCCATTTTTACCATTATTTAAACCAAGTGCACCAGCACGTGATGGTGCAACATAATCATCAAGAGTTTTAGGAATTGTAATACCTTCTTGCTCGGCAACTAATCGTGATTCATTCACTTGTTTTTTAATGATTGTTTCATATTCATTATCTTTGTTTTCTTTATATTTTCGGTACATGACGCTAACAAGGAGAAAAATAATAGAATATCAGTTGATATGAAAGAGATCTTCGTTACCTCGCGTCGACATTTGCAGGCGATGAACAATTGGGTTCATTTAACAAACTGATTATTGACATGAGGATCGTGCGAACATTTTGAGTAGGATTCCAACGTTCACTTGGATGTTCACCCGATTGGGGGTCTTCCGTAGGTGGATGAAGGATCGAAATGCATACTTCACCATTTCTAAAATTTCCATATGAAAGAAGAACACATATTCAATAAAAGAAAAACTTACTCATAAATATTCGGATGCCACATTTTCGTCAGAAAACGAACCTAAAATCAGTTGAAAATTTCCATAACATAAACGGAAGTGAACGTGCTTATCTAAGATCCTTCGCCCACCACTCAAGTAAGAGCAGTAAATTCGCGATTCACTATCACCGGAGGTGTTCCTGCAGGTAACTTCACAGACTTCTCAGTTCAATTAGCAACTTTGTTCTCCTAACATTGTCAAACAAGCATGACCCAGATCAAGGCTTTCTGTTGTCAAAACGTGTACCGATAAGAGGTAAATATCTGTGTCCTTGACCTGGACTTAACAGTAGGCGAATACTTTCGTCTACCAACAACACGCACATAATTATACGATCCTACTCATAGGAAATGTAAATAATGAGTCATGTTTTTCTCGCATGTCATTATTTTAATTTTTTCATTGAATTTATGTACTTTGGGTGGAGCAAATGGATAGGTTGTTGGGAATTCCATATCAGCTTTGAAATAACCGCCTTCGTACAGAGTATCTGGAGGTCCAAATATTCCGACTAAAATGTCACATGATAAATATTGCGTTGAAGAAACTTGAAAAGAAGTTGTTTCTTACCGTGCCATTTGTACAAATTTCCATCATCATCGAGTTTCACTGTGAAACCTTCGACTGGTTCTTTTTGCAGTTTGGCATATTCGAGTTGAAGTGCCTTTATCGATGGCGAATTCGACGTTCTTGAAGATGTATAATGAGATGTTGAAGTTGTGAGGCCTGACATTTGTCTTGTTTGACTCATAACGAATTCGTTGAAAGTCTTCGACTAATTCTTAGAAAGTGAAAAACATCACCAGATTTGAACAAATCAAATAAATGACCCGCAACGATACAACGAAGAACAAGAAATAAACACAAATCGGACGGACGAACACACAATTAGAGAGAATAGAATGCACCAATCAGAACGCTGTTTGTCATAGATGTCATTTTCAGGCCATTCTTTATTTGTTCACATATCAACTTCTTTCATCTTCGAATTTCAAAACAAATAGCAGCATGTTGACGTTTGATGATAATTTATTCTTGAAAATTGTTGCGTGGTTTTTTTATTGCCCGTTTTATATCTATGCATTGATTGTGAAATTTTATTTCAGTAAAAAGCGTCATGTCACAGTTCATGCGCCACAACAACCGAGAGTTGTTGTAGTCACAGGAGCTTCACAGGGTCTGTTCAATTGTAATTAGTTCGATGTTGAATAGCCAACGAATGATTTTTGTATGTTTAGGAATAGGAGAAGGTCTTGTAGAATATTATTGTAGAAATTGTCCATCATGCGAAATAATTATCATGATCAGTCGAAGTAAAGAAAAACTTGAAAAGGTCAAAGAACAGTTCGATACGAATTCACAAAAGAAATTGCTTATATATGCTTGTGATGTGACCAACAGCGAAGAAATGAAAAGTATTCTCTCGGATATTCATCGAACATGCGGCCAAATCGATATTCTTTTCGCCAATGCCGGTGTTTCATTTCGACAACTTTCAGAAAACAATTCGTTTGACAAAGCAGTTCGAGATATATTCAAAATCAACGTCTCTGGTGTTATTAATACTATTATGCCATTAATTGAATTGAAAGCTGTAAGACAGATCGTTATTATTTCTTCTCAAGCTGCTTACGCACCAGTGATGTCACCTATTTACGGCGCTACGAAACAATGCGTACTTTCATTTGGTCTCGATCTTCGACATATGCTTGCAAAGGATAATATTGCTGTCAATGTTGTTTCACCCGGACCTATTGTAACGCCAATGCTGCTCGGTTCGAATCCAAGATCCGTTTCGCGAGGAGTTTCAGTGAATGAAGCCGCTCGAATAATGGCGGATGGTATTCGTCGAAATCAAGCGGAGATTGTCTTTCCTGCAGTTACTGGTATCTTCATGTACCTCTTACAATCTTTACCGACGTGTCTTGCTGAAGCCATTGCATTTCACCTGCTTGTCAAAAATTGAATTTACTTACTCTTTTTTTTCAAATAAATATATTTTCATTGAAGAAAAAAGTGCTGATCTGTATTTATTATGCTTTTATGTACATATCAAGGAAGAACAATAGCAAAAAGAAGACGACACACAACATTCTGACTAGTATCAAATATATAGTGTGTGTGTATGCACAGATAGATAAGAAAACGAACAAAAATAGGATTTGTAAGAGATCTAGTAATGATTTCTTCTTTTTTTTTCTCAGGTTAGATCATTCAGATCTATTTGACAGTGAACTATTTGAAACAAAAACTACTCATTAAGCCAAGGAAATGCATCAATTATATCTTTACGACGTTCGCCGTAATCGTAGAAAAGTTCTTCATCGACTTCAATGTCACGCAGAGCGACAAGAACAAGGCGAGGTTGATCTCGTATAACGAAAACTTTCGGTTGACAATTGCTATTCTTTCGACTGTGATTGATTAGTCGACCTGAAATCGACAAAAACTATTCGAAACGTTTTCCTTTCATTCATACTCACCAAGTCGATTAGTTTCTTCAGTTGCATCAACACAAAAGACTTTTTCTCCCCATTTGAAATAATACATATAACAACCAATTTTGTGATTTCTTCCATATACACTTTCTCGATGTTTAGCTTCATTCTGTGTTAATAATTCTCCAGCATATTCGACGATATAGTCATTCCGATAAAACTTTTTTGTTGTAAATACGCCACGTCCTTTTGCCGTTCCAGTGTCACGTGCTTCAATACCATCTTCACATTGACTTTCAATGAAGGAATCAAATGATGTTGCGGATTTGTACTTAGTGATACCAATACGTTTACTTCGACGTAGACTTGACAGAATTTCTTCATTTAAAAGTTTCTTAGCCAAGATTAACGATTTTTCACTATTGAAATCAAATCCGTTTCGATAACAAGATTCAAATTCTTGTTTTGCCTTACTTGTCGGTTGTCGTCGGGAGTAGCACATCGTTTTCAGGTATAGAGATATCAGGTGCAAAGAGAAATTGGCCTTTCAACAGACCTTTACGTAATCGTTCGGGTTTAACATTTGCAGTCGATTGAAAACGTTTAGCCGGACGGACTGGTATCATCTGAAAAACAAAAGAATTCCTTACAATTAAACATGTCTCGTTAGTTACATAAATGTTTCTTTTCATTCAACATCGATTTTATTTACATTTCATGAGAAAAAACTATGTCAAGCTTGATCGTCATTAGGTAATCGGAATAGAAGGTCCTTTTTGACACAAAGAAACATTTTGTCCAATTGGCTCACTTTCTGTCGTTGTGTCATTGATCAACAGAGGTCAGCTATTGTCGTTGTCAATAACCTCCCATTATATACATCAGGAACTCAAATTCAACAGATAGCTTGTATCTCAATGAGCATTATTTTAAATTTCATTGATAATCATTAGTTAACAGATCATTATATCTAATAGCTTAACATCTGAAAAGCAACAAGTAGCATCGTTTGTCAATGCTCTGATAGAATGTCTTTTGCTAGTTTTTCTAATTTATCTGATTGCCTGTTCTAGCACTTTCTCCGCCTCTTTACGTGCACACATACGTCTATTTACAAATTAAAACTCAGCATGCTAACTAAATAGTCATTGTTTCATTGCATCAATAATCAAAGTATATGCTTATAAGTAGATTGCTTTGGGTGCCATACGGTTCCTCTCGGATAATAATTAGTATGTGAAAAAGACGACGTTTTGTTACTAACTTGCCCACCCCTCATCAACATTCGATTTTCACACATTTATCTAATAACATTGAAACATGCACGACTGAACGGGTGCATTTTTTTTTTCATTGTGTATTGATTTTAGACGAAAAAGAAAGCTTCTCATCTTTGAACATTTGTCATATGTCTTCATTAATAATCAATCTATTTTCGATAAGTAATGATGATGATGAGCAAACTAGCACAGTAATTATCGGCCATTAGAGAGTCGATAGATTTCGATCGGACAGGAAAAAGAAGGGACGACTTAACAACCATTATGCCGTACTCAGATTGAAAGTATATGCCTCAAGGCAAATGAATGGACAAGGAGTCACTTGTCATCTGGTCGCCAGAGAGAAAATAGGTAATGGCATTCAATCCATCTATTCATTGCTCTTTTCTGTCTTCTAAACACAACTGATTAGTGTTATGTTCGACTTTCTCCCGCTCTTGACTATATCATAAGTCACATTTCATGATTAGCAATGACACACACACACATGCTTACAGATGGTCAAGCTTATTGAAACATGATCGCTGTTCAAATGAAACTCATTTGCTAGAAAAGGAGATTTGAACATTGAAAACCACAGCGACTGTTTCTTGCGATCTTCAAGTTGATTAAATCAAGATAAATTTTTCGTTTGTTGATAGATAAGAAGTAAAGAGAGAGATGTCCGAATGTGTTAATGGAGGTTGATGATGATGATGATGATCAGAGTACCCTGAAGCTTTCGAACTACTAGCACTTTCGAACACACGTCGAGTACAATGTTCGATGACGTGCAGCCTGAAGGCAATGAGATGAAAGCTTTTCTTCATCTCCTTCTTCTTCTTCTTTTTTCTATATCTGTACTTCTTTTCCAGATGTAAAGGCGGAGCCGCCGTTGTATTGTGCTCATTTTGCAGATTCAAAATATTCGCTCGAATAGACGCAATCCAAACAANTCGGATGTGACTATGGCGTGAAGGAAGGAATCGACGGCATGCTTTCCAAGACGGAAGTCAGATCAGTCTGGGTGCTCTCTTTCACGCTATAGATGACGATTACTAATCAGTCAATACCGTTTTTGTTTCTTTCGAACCGGATACAGTCAATAAATGCATGTGTCGATTGATAAGAGATATTTGCAATCGTTGAGATCAGAGAGCAAAAGGAAAGAAAAAGAGAAAAAAGAGTAATCAAATTTTTTTGAACTAAATCGTTTTCGATAGCATAGTGATACTCAAGAATGTCTGTTTGTCTATTGGGATTTAAAGTCAAAATCAATATCACAACACTTTTACTTCAGATGTCAGAATGAATTTAATCACATATGTGACTATCTAAAAACAATTGATTTCGATTATTTCAGCATTAAATAACAATATTCCACTACGCCCGCCGCCAACTTCATCGTCTTCATCAGCTGCGTCAAGTTCATCGAATCATATAACAGTAGGCTCGGGCGGCTCGAAATCGACTAATAATGGAAATAATACGCGGAAGGACAAAACCACACGGATGCGTACAGTACTTAACGAAAAACAATTGTTAACATTACGTACATGTTACAGTGCAAATCCTCGACCGGATGCACTTATGAAAGAGCAGCTTGTCGAGATGACTCAATTATCACCACGTGTTATTCGCGTTTGGTTTCAAAATAAACGTAAGATGAACAAGATTGTAGCAATTCTTTTTTTTTTCTCACTCATATCGATATTTTTTCTCAGGATGTAAAGATAAAAAGAAAAGTTTGTTAGCTAAACAAACTCAAGAACAACAAAAAGTTCTGTCAAGTCTTAATCATGGTATTTCATTGGTCGCTTCATCGCCCATTCCAAACGATATGAATCTGGGCTTAGGACCACCTTCACTCGTCGAAGTTCAATACCATCCAGGTGGCCCATGGAAAACTTATAACGACAGTTACCCGTCGTACACAAATGACTATAATCCTCATCATCAACCTTCACATCGTATGCAGCGCCATCCAAATTTTCATGATAATATCCTAAGCGGTTTTGCCTCGGAAGACGATAGCAATTGTTTCGATGCTTCACAATTCAGTGAAGAGCGTAGTGAGAATAGTTGTGATGGAAGTGCAAACGGTCAACTAACTCTCTTGTAATTTTTCTCTTTTCTCTTTTTTTTTGTCTTCGTCATTAATAACAAATCAATTTTTCGAATATTGAATCAACAATAATATACATCACTGAAAAAACAGTCTAACATACATCTATTTGCGGTTGTATTCGGTTAGAAGTGAAACGTCTGCGCCGGAAGACAATATTAATCAATGATTGGATCCAATCATGTGTCAATGGTCACACACCTTATCTGTCATTACGATATAGATATATTCATCTTCATTGTCACCGTTCGATCCATTAGCACTTGCGGGAAAAAGAAACAAACTGCAACACTGTCTTGATCAATCTAATATTACGAAGGTGTTGATCGAGTTTGCAAACTTGTTTTGTTTCGTCTTCGATCACACGTTTAATGTGGCATAGATCAAAGAATCGTCTTTTGAAAGCAGAAAATTGAAAAACAAAAGCATCATCGAGACAATATGGAAACGTTTAGTATCTGCCGACAAAGTTACTCTATAAACAACCAGAAGTATTCTGATTGATGTCATTATATGAATGCGTCGGCAACGACCTGTGACATTTGTAGAAGGAAAAGACCGTGTTCTTTAAGTACTTTAAGACAAACTATTTTTTATTTCTGTCTGAATACATCGAACTAATTCGATTAAATTGTTTACACCTTTCCTATTTTTGTGACTTCCTTATCGTGAATGAAGCCACCTACCGTGCAACACAGATGTATAGATTAGACTTCGTAGTCTATTAACAGATGTCTGCTCGTTCTGTTTACATTCACACGATGTGTCGACTGTATGTGTTCGTACTTAGGCTGATTTTTGAACAATCTTTGAACTTGTTTTCAGAAGCATATAAAACTTTTTTTTCCAATAACACTGGATTCAAATAGTTCGATTGTTATTCTTATTGTTCGTTGAAATCCATTATCGTGACAAATGCATCTATGATATTTGATCAAACAAGGCTTCTTTTACACATGCAAGGAAAACTTATCGAGAACAAAAACATTCTGATAAATCACTATAGGTATTCCTTCTTTGTTTCTATAAATAAGCAAAGATTAACTGATAAGAACATTTTTCTCTAGACAAACTAACATCAGAACAACTTGAATCAATTAGAACGATCATAAACATCTATGTTGCACTTGACAAAGCAAAATTTTCAGTCCGACATAACAAACTATCTAAATTAGCTCCTCATACTTCTGCTAATGAAATCATGTATTTTTGCTTTGTTTTTGTAAAGAATGCCAATAATGATTACGCGAAATTATAGATGTCGGCTGGGGTCGAGCAACTAGTATATTTTATCAAAGAAGGTAATTCATGAATCATTGACCATATGCTAAAGTGCAAATAGTAAACGATAACATTTGAAGTTTTGTTTCATTAACACAATCACAACAGAATGTGGCCATACACAGTCTTTGATTATAAGACTTTCTTGCTTTTTACTCCGTTTACCGTTGCATTCACTGGACTACTATGGCGAATCATCAAACGATATCCTTCCACAATCATTATGCAGCCGACACGCGAAAATCAATATTTAATTAGTGAATGTTCATCATTGGTTGAGTATCGTCCAACGCCTTGGATATTTAACGGACATATCATGACAGTTTTCGGTGTACTCTTTCGTCCGTTACTTTCGATGTCATTTGAACGTGTTCTTCTATCGATTGATGCTGAGGGTGGAACAATTGCTATTGATTGGCACCGTCAACCACGTCCTCGTCAGCCAGTTTTACTGATTCTACATGGGCTAACAGGTGGCTCTGATAATGAGTATATTCGCTGGATGATTTCTTATGCAACTTCAAAACTAGATCTATGTTGTGTGGTGACACATGCACGCGGATGTGGTAAATCAAAACTCACATCACCGAAATCGTTCAATGCTTCAAATACTGATCATGTGCAAGAATCATTGAAGTACATTCGTTCTCGTGTGGGTGATGAGACGCCAATCTTTGCTGTTGGTTACTCCCTAGGTGCTGGAATTCTTGCAAAATTTCTCGGTAAAGAAGGTAGTGATTGTTCTTTACAAGGCGCAATTGTTTGTTGTGCAAGTTTTGATATGCATTTATCATCGAAGAACTTAGAACGATGGTTATACATTCATATCTACAATCGACGTTTGACGAATAATCTAATTCGATACTTACGGCAACATGAAGACCATTTTTCTAGACACGATTCCGATATTAATCTTAATCTTCAAACAGCGTATCGATCAAAAACACTACGAGAGTTCGATAAGAACGTCATCGTCCCTATGCATGGCTTTCGTGATGTTGAACATTATTATTCGGAAGCATCATCGCATGAATGGATTAAGTATATACGTATCCCCACATTGATCTTAAGCGCAGCTGATGATCCTATATGTCCCATTGATGGTTTACCGGTTAAAGAAGTTCTAAACAATGCATCTATTATTGCTGTGAAGACTTTAGAGGGTGGGCACGTTAGTTATCTTCAAGGTTGGTGGCCAAGATCGTTTTCATATGATAATATAGTTGTAGGTGAATACATACAAGCACTATTGAAAAAAATCAATTACAAATGGCCGTAACGAACCAAAGAACGATCTTAAAACGATACTATTGATTGTTTTTGTCTTTCCAACGTATATATTTATAGGACAAATTGTAACAGTAATACTTGCGTAGATAAATACAATAGCAGATACATAAAAGTTACAATGATTTTGTAAAATATAGAAAAGAACATGATATTGACTCGGTGATTTATATGCAACTTTCTTCGTCATCTGTCGAAAGAACGGATCTATTACTAGGCGTGCGTTTTTCACGTGCTATTATTTCTGAGAGGTAAATGCATCCAGATATTGACGAAGTAGACGACGACCTATAATCAATAGGTTTAGTAGATGAGAGTGGATGAGCTGTTTCTGGTTGTAGAAATCTTGAATAGCGACGTATAGCAGAACCTAAACTGGATAAAGACGAGTAATTGATAGTGCTCGCGTCGGTATCGGGATATGCTGACGATGTAAGCTGTGACCTTTTTGATACCAATGAATCTCTCGAATGATCAATAGATAAAATGCATGGCATACGTTCGATGAGCAGTTGATATGGATCTTGGTGATCTATTTGCGAATCGGCGACATGAACGTTTGTCGAAGCATCAATAGATATTGTTGAGAGAACTTGAGGAGTAAGAGACCTAGATAAGGATTTCTCCAGTTGCCGGTAGATAATAGAAGGTTCAACTGTCTGCGTTTCACTCGTACTGACAGTTGAATGAGGTGTCGATTTTTTCATCAATGGTTCGTCGTCAATCGAAATCGTCTCCAGATTCTCACGTAAGCCTTGTCTATATGTAGAACATCTTTGATTCACAAATTCTGTTGCATTTTGCTTTCGTTTACGAATTGAGCGTAAAATAAGTGTTAAGACAAATAAAGCCAACGGTACGCAAATCAATAGAAGCAGAACTTTAGAATGTATAACGAAAGAGATCGGTATTGATGCATTGACAGTCGATGTGATTTGTTTCGCAGAAAGAGATGTACTGGGAATGATAGTGACTAGATGCTGTGGTTTTCTTAAACGACGATTACTTCTGTACGACGAGATGTTTCTCATCGTTGTTTAAATCGATGAATCTGATTTTAGATATTGGATAGTCCAAAGTGAGTTATTTCATAGTTACTTTGTGGAAGAAAGGCAAAGAAATTATTAATGTTTCAAAGATAAAGAATGTTTCGATAGCCCCAAGCACAGGTGAGATAAATGGAAAAGAATTATCTTAGCAATATTAACGTTTATTATCGTACGTAAATACAGACACAATATCTTTGTCACCATAAATATGGTGAAAATACAGAACGAAGGGTTTTTTCCGGTAAATATTCATCAGCATCATCAGAAACGGTATTTTTTACATTTACATTAGTAAGTGTCATATCTTCTGTATTTGTCGTCTCAAATACTGATATTTTCCAACAATACGTTCCAATTCAGTAGTAGATACAACGATCAAGGAACATAGGATAAAGATATCAAGTATTTTTACAAAGCTATCAGTATACATAGAAGACTGTGCAAGATAAGCAATCTTCATTCTTTCCGTCTATTCTATTTGATTATCAACGAGAGTAGTCCACAGTTGAATTAGATATTGATATTGTTTTATTGTCATACTACGAAGAAACAAAGCACACACACACATACAGACACATAAATGTATAACAAAAGATTATTGAAAATGGCATAACAAACGAATATCTTAACGTTGATTTAATCTTCTTCTTCTTCTTCATCGTCATCATCTCGCCCTCCCATTCCATTTCGTATTGTTTTCGTTTTCTTTCCGAGGAGATTTATTGATTTCTTTTTTCCTTTTTCATCTGGTGGTGAACTCAGATCACCTTTATAATCGATAACGCCACCACAACCGAGACGCCATTCAAGAACTTCCGTGGAAAACTCATCGTGATTGCCCAAATCGGTAAATCCAATGATTTTATCTTTGACAATATTATCAATCAGCAATGCAAGGGTTGGTATTGTTTTAATATTCAAACGTTCAGTGATAAATGGTGCGCGATCAACACTTAATTTAACAAATTTCGTTTCGATATGTTTTCGAGCGAGAATGTCCAAATGTTTATCGACGATTTTACAACGCATAGTCGAATCCCGATAGAAATGGCAAACAATACGTTCACTCTTCTTCGTTATATCAAACAACTCTTTTTCACTAGGCAATTCTTCGTATTCACCGTGACCTAATACAGTAACATGTAAAGAGATTGTCAGAATAGGTTTTCGAACTACGTACCATTAGCAAGCCATTCTTGACGTTTTTTATGTTCCTGTTTCATGGACTCCAGTCGTTCAGCACGCATTTTCTCGATATCTGTCTCACTTAACTTGTCTAATCGATTCAATTCAGCATCGACCTAAACAGAACACGTTTTCGAATTAATTACACTCAAACATCGTTGTACTTGTTCTTCAACAGCTTGAGCAGCTTGACGGAGTTTTTGCTCTAATACTTGATCCATTTTCTCTAGTGAGTAAACTTCTAGAATACAATACAAGTCAGTAGTGTATATATATACGATTCGTCTAGTAGAACTAGAAAAAAAACATGTTTGAACTCAAATTCACAATGAATACTCGTTGCTATCGGAACTCTCATTGGATAGTAGTAACTAGAGGCGTTGATCTTCGAAAGCAAAGTATTGGCAACTAGTGTCATCTTGAAAGTAAAGCAGATGTCGATGTAATTTCGACTCGAGATTTTTCGGATGTGAACGTGTGTATTCATACAATAGTGTTAGTAAACAGAGAAGATTGATGGAGTACTTGATTGAACTTTCTTCGAATGATAGAGGAAATGGAACTGAAGTGCATGTTTTTGTTCCTAAAGAACGAAAACTTCTTCGTTAGATTTATTAAGTATCTGTAAACACAAGTCATCAAGAGATAGTCCATGGACGAATCGAGGGCATTTTTCTTATATGATCGTCACACAAAAATTTTGACCCATCGTTTTAAGCATCGGAGATGAAAAAGCCTCTCCATCCAGAACTATATAATCTTCTCTGGCTTAACATTCGAAAAGCGTTGAACGAAACTTTGAAAGCTTTTGTATGAAATTTTGAGCAAAATCATCATGTTCTATGTCTTTTTACATATTTTTTATTTAAAAATTTCGTCGATTTTCGGACCGAGTAGAATTTCTCATGCACTTAATTTCGTGCAAACAATTACGCAAAGTACGGGTAAAAAGTGGTTGAAATAGATTCGCGTAGCAAAAATGATTTTGTGTGTCTGGAAATGCTCAAGTTAGTCGTGGACTGTCTCATAAGCAACATCAATTTTCTCGAACATGTCTGTCTCATTTAAAATCATAGAATCCATATCGACAGGCATCGCACGATAAGATTTCGGTTGTTTACGTTTCATATAACAAATTAATGTAATAATTACTGCTGAAATGATGAGAATAAGTGTTATGGTAAGAAGAATGTAAAACACTATTGATGAAGATTTCCGTTCGCCACATGACATGTACATTAACGAAATGGGACAATCGAAAGATAACGCTTTTTTCAAAGGTTCGTAGAAATCAGCTAATGGCGGCGGCGGTGTCTTTAGCCATTGAACAAATGGTTGTAAGCCGCAATCACATTTGATTAGATCATTATCATAGAAATTTATAGTCAATAAATGATAGTAATCACTTAAATCGATACCAGAATCGATGTTTTCAATGGACATATTGCGAAGAGAAACATGAGTTAAGTTTTCATGCCAAGGATAGAAGACATTCCAATTTAGTGTTCGATATTTTTTATCCAGTTGATTGTCATTCAAAATTAGCGTGTGAATATTCGATAAATTATGTAAATAAATCAGATTTTTCAAGGATTGGAAATAAATGGAACTTAAATCGAGATATTGTATTGTAGGTAGATCAATATTACACGTGGATGGAGTGACGGAAAGATTTCTATTGTTGTTTAAAAGAAGTTTATATGTCGATTGTCCATGTAATTCAATAGATTGAAGATTATTTTGAGACAAATCAATTGTATGTGGAGATTCATTCATCCAATGGATTTCAATCGTCTCTATTTGATTGGAAGAGAGATTCAACGAGTTCATAAAGGATAATTCATACATTCCCTGACGAAATTGTATGTGATTGATGTTAATAACCTTCAATCGATTGAAACTTACATCTAAGGAATAAAATGTGAGATATTTAAGGAAATCTAATGTTTCCAATTGATTGAAACTGAGATCGATAAGATCAATATGAAGATATTTCAACGTTGTTTGATTGAAATCAATCGAAAACTCGTTCATTGAAGTCTGAGAGATATTCAATCGTTGGAGATAAGTATAATCTGATAATAGATGAAGTTGCACTTGTTTTAAACCAAGATTTTCACTGAAATCAACTGATCTTAAACGGTCGTAAACATTCAAATGGATAGAATTCAACTTGTTTATCTTCCGAATATGAATAGTTTCGAGGTTTGTATTCGATCGGAAGTCATTTGTTGAAATTGAATCCAGCGAATTTTGATCATTTAATATCAAATTTTTAACACACGAATTAAAAATCTTCACTGATTTTATACTTGTTTGTGAAAGGTCAAGTGTCAATTGATGATTGATATCCGAACAATTTGTCAGGAATTGTTCGTAATCATTCATCGATATCTTCTGACAAGAACGACACACAAGGACTTCTAGTCGCGGAAAAAATTTCAAATCGAATAGTTGTTTGATCGACGTGGCTGAAAGATCCAGAAACACCAACGATTGAAATTCGTGAATTTTATCGCGAATGATTTTCAATGGATTGTGTGAGAGAATCAAACTTTCGAGCTTGTGCAAAATATCGCCCGTTAGATTTTCGATCGAGTCGAGTCGATTGTGCGATAAATTCAAAGATTTCAAAACATGAAAATTTTTCCGGTTGAATATCAATGGAGTTTGATTGGTGAATTGATTGAACGACAAATCGAGTCGAATTAATTGAGGATAATAAGATGAATTCAATTGCAACCATTGCCAACCTTTCGAATCGGAAATTGTCAATGTTTGCAGAAGACGAAAGTAAATCTTAGTAGATCGATTGTACACAACCGATGATGAGAATGTATTGTTGATTAAAGTCAATTGTTCAATATTCGATGCAACAGAACTGAAGAGATCATTCAATGGTAATTGAAAATCTGTATACAGAATTTGCACGTAATGATTTTCGAGTGTGTATTTTAATTCATTGAACAACGGAATCGGTCGAGTAAATGTCGTGTTCCAACAGGAAAACAAGGTTATTCGATCATAAATACATCGTTGAGGGATTTCATTCCAATATGAACAATAGGAGAGTCGAAAGAATAAAACAATGAAGATAATCGGTAACTGTAGTGTCATTTTGTATACTCGCGTTTAAACTTACAATAATAAAAAGAAAAAAAAACTTCTTTCTCTGTTCTATTCTTATCGTGAGATTTTTGTTTCTTGACAATGAAACAAATCGATATAGTGAAGTCTCACGTTCTTCTTCTTCTTTTTTTTTCTTCGGAGCTTATTGTGTTACGGGATCAAATAAAACACACGTCAAAGTTGTAAAAAAAACTACAAGTCATCCCAAGGCTGCATTTTCTCCTTTCCTACGGTCAAAGTAGTTAACAAATTCACGTTATACTACTGGACATTATGAAAATGACGGAAAAAAAAATTGTCGATGAAGTAAGTAGAAGGCATCTGTAGAGAATGATGTTCTCTTCTTTCTCGTTTGAAATAATTACGTAACAAAGGTGAGGAAACTCATTTTCTTTATATAATCTGAAAGAAAAAGCACGGAAGTTGTCATGTGAAATGAACTAGTTTATGAACTTCATACCTAACAACTTCTCATCGACTTGATGGAATTCTGACAGGAGAAAAAAAAGAACTTCTATGGTTGTTGATCAAAGTATCATCACATAAGCATTACAAGCGAATTTAATGTAAAGATATTTTGATCGAATGTTTTCTTTCAGCTGCATACGAAACCTAGAATAGATGTGCACTATCCGAGGGCAGAGAGCAGCTCGTATAGATGAAGAAAAACATGCTCGTCATCAGATTCGAACCGTGTACCTTCGATCAGTCACACTAATGTCCTAGTCAATTCGATCAAAAGAGATGGCATCTAATCATAGTTTTGCGGCGAGATATATGGTTTCTGGCAGTAGAGGCTATGAAGTAGAAAAATAGATAGCAAGAGATTGTTTTTAGTTGAATTTCATATGTATTTAACAAAATGTCCAATCTTGATGATCCCTCGGTCGACAAGCGATAGGACAAGGTAGTTGATGGAAATCATTCGCATGAAGGCAACAAGGTTTCGGACAGCCGATAAAGCAATAGTTGGTCACATTATTTGTCAATCTTTGTGTCGGAAATGCTCGGTGATGTCTGTTCCAATCGGTGTCGCTACACCAGTAACTATCGTGAGTCATAATGTAATATTTGGCATATGGCCATACGTGATCCGCAAGAAATTGTTGATCAGTATTGAGAGGATACCTAGTTATGATGGACTGATTGAATAGTTTAGAACGAATGAGACGTGAAAATTGACGATCATATTCGACTCGAAATGCCCACATTCCACCCATCATTGGTGCCTAATGATATAAGAGTACATTTATCAGATTCGACTCTTCTTTTTGGTTTTTTACTGCCACTAACACTTACTTTATGCTGTGGATGATCGCGCATCATGTGAAAACTCAAATTTGTTAATAACCATTCATCGATTGCAGCACGCTCCCGTTCAGTCAAAGGTGAATCAAGATCACGACTAGTCATAACACTTACGGTTTCATCAGCAGCCGGCAAAAATCGCCAGATTTTTGGCGGTATAAAATCTAAATTCATGTTCGTCACATTACAGAAATCGATCAAATCGTAAAGACATTCAAAATGACATATCGTGTTTCGATCGAGAAGTTTTTCATCATGATAAATGCGTAATATCCAGTCATCATGATAAACCTCTAACATTTCATTGATCAGTTGTTCAAGAAGTAAGATTGAATTATTCATTGAAAACATTTCGGGATTTTCAATCGGTCCAAAGAAGCTAATAGAAATTATCTTTTGATTCAATCCACGGTTTGCACTCCGTATTGAACATAAAGACATTTGGTTATCATTAGTATAAGTAGACGCTGATCGATAACACGAACAGTACTTATTATTATTGTTTAGTTCATTGTACCTACTAAGATCTAATAATAGAATCGCACTGACGGATGAAATCCACTTACTGAATAAGAACAGTCAGTGAAATGACGAAAAATATCGTCAGATAGACCTGTTTGTTCCTTCTTTTCGTCATCATTTTAAAATTATGACCTAAGTTTTTCGCAGTTATACACTGCAAATCAATGACATAGTACAAAATAGTCAATATATGCTACATAAAAAGATTGATAGTCCAAGATATGGACAACACGAATACATTAAAACACATCTCATAGATGGTAGGTCATACTTCATGAGAAGGAGCAATTTATTGTAACATTAAAAGTAAAATCTATGTCCAATATGATTTGACGATTAAATTAAATGATTTTTCAGGAAGCGGATATCAATGAGAATGTAATCTTTCGAGTATTAGTTGATGTTTTGGCGTCGCTACTTCATTATTTCAAGTGAGATATTGATTAAGAGAAAGACAAGAAAAACAGCAAGTGTGTATGAGAAGAATGTCGGCATTGAATGCGTTCTTTGCTTTCTTATCCAATGTCTAAGTCAATTCAATAGCGTCGTTTGTATTGCTTTTAACTTGATGAACTAAAGAGTAGTGTTCACACAATTGATTTTGATTTGCCTTTGTATACAAATTCGATTCGAATTTCCACTAGACATGTCAACACAATGCTACTCTTGATCTCATCGATCTATTAAGAAAAAAAATGAATTGTTAATGTCCTGTCCATTTCGATAATATGTCAATGCAGGGATTAATGCATATATATCTGTTTCTCACGGTACAATTGCATCATTTTTCTTAGAAGAATTAGCTGCTTTATAGCAACCAAACAAACATCTCACGGCCACTTGAACAATTAGATTCCATGATTAGAAAGAATGTTCGTCCCTTCTTTTCTCTATCGATTCTCATTCGTCAAACGATGAAATCGTATAATCATGCAATTCGTTTTTCTTATTGGATACGATGAAAGAAGAAGAAGAACGGAAAGAGGAGAAGAATTCTTGTTCGAAATTCATATTTTAAAAATTGGAATGGAACATACAGAACAAACAACAGTGTCTTCATCGAAATTGAGTCTTTTTGTAATTATAACATTATTCACCACGATCTGTATCATTATTATCATCGCAATAGTTCTTTTCACTGCGAATCAACATCGGCCATCCTCAACGCCGACTACTAATCCACAATCGTTAAAAACAATTCTTAAACATTCAACTCCTGGTATGTCATTTTGCAATTCTCGATTCAACTCTTCCCATAAAATAATTTTAGCGACTACCACCACTACCTTATCTCCAGAAGAACATCATCGTATGTCCGCATACAAGGAATTCCTTGATCTCCCATCCAATCATCCAAATCCGAATCCATCTCGTTCAACAAAAGCTATGCATACATTCATGCGTTCGATGTACCGACAAATCTACGACGAGCAAGGTTCTTATCGACGGAAACGACATGATGATAACGAACATTCAAATTTCTATCTATCAGACACATCAGATTTTATAATTAGTTTACCAAATCAACGTCATTCTTCATCGTCGAACATCACATACCATTTTCAATACAACGCTTCTCTTGAACATCTATCGTACGCAGAACTTATTCTACCAATTCACGAATTTTCTACACTTGATATTGTTTCTTCGTCATTTCATATTTCCTTAAAAGCATCCTTTCGAACGAACTCCAACTGGCTGAAGATTAATCTTACACAATATGTCACATCGTTCCCACTGACATTTTATCTTCGAGTAAATCACACAAAACAAACATTCGCTTTGCTCTCGTCTGGCTTTCTAACTTTGCATTTCCGCCAATCGTCTTCTTCGATGTCACGTCGACAATTATCGTCATTCTATGATAATCAATTAGTCACCTATCCTGATGAACCATCCTATTGCCAAGTTCGTCCATTACGTACATCGTTTTCTGATTTACAATGGTCTTCGTGGATTCTCGAACCAAGTTCGTACGAAATGAATGTTTGCTCGGGGAAATGCCAGAGTCAATCGAATATGGACACTTATTTCCTGATCCAAAATCTCCTTCATCAAAAATATCCACGAACAATTCCTGCACCGTGTTGTAAACCGAAACGATTTTCGCCTACGATACTTTTATATTACGATGGACCGAATCTAGTTTTAAAAAAGCATGAAAATATGCGTGTAGTGGAGTGTGGTTGTTCTTAAAAGGACAAAAATAAAAGTTTTCAATAGTACGGAGATACTGCTGTTTTGTTTCTCTTTGGAATCGAATCAATTCGACCAGGGAGAAACGTCGACAAGCCATTGAGAATACAAATAGAATGATATCGAGCAATTTAGAAATGCCAGATGGCGGCCGATTTGTGACGGACTCTTGGCAACTGTTTTTGGTCATAATTGACATCAATCGAGTAACAACTAATAGTAATGAACACTTGTAAACATAGGATTTAATTTAATTTAATATTACGGTGTCGAAGACAGGATGAGTTAAAATTAGCGATACGTCTGTATATTTCGAAGGGTTAACAACCCGAAGAAAAGCATGAAAAAGAGGTGGTAGAAGATTGAATTGAATGAGAACTTGAATACCGTTGAATAAACCATAGAATTCCGGAGACTAGCATAAGCAGAGCAGTAAATATTATAAGAATATCGATGTTAGGCTAGCATGACGAAGCAAAGATTTAGCTAAAACTTGTTTACTGAACAAGCCTCGTTCATAGAACTAGTCCATTGGATATAAAATTCAATTCTGCATCGTATGGAACACTTATTCATGGGCAAGACTTATTTAGTAAAAAATTTTTCAGCTAAATCTTTGTTTCGTTGTGCTAGATTCACGCCGATCTTTAATCACGAATATCCGTTGAAAGAAAAATATTAGAGATTTGTGCAGTAATCCTTGATATAAATAATTACATTAAAATCGGGATTTTTGCTCTAGAAGCTTATTTATTCATGATGATTCAACGATACTAAGAAAAAACTAAATCATTGGATAAAATATTCACTACATAGAAAATAAATCCGATTCTGCTAAAAGAATCGATTCTAACACATGCTGAAGGTAACATGATCAATAGTTTGGACTATTAGTCGGAATCCGACTGACTCGAAGAAACTGCTCGAAAAAAGCACAAATGAATATTATTAAACCGGTTATTGTAGAAATGATATTCATAGTGCGAGCTGTATGCGACGCAATTAATGCGTTTTGTATTTGTTCGGCGTAGATGAGCTTTTTTGTTTTATGTGAGTAGTACCAAGCAATAGCACCAAAACATGAACAACAACAAAATGTATTGATAATAGACCAAGTTGTATAAGATTGAATTTTATCTACCGGCTGTATAGAAGTCGTGCCTATTGATTGAGGTTGATCAGTTCGTATAGGAGATCGCGGAATTTCCATCAGTCCAGAAGATTGAAATACTTCAAGAAAATCTTTTGTATAATTTTACAAACGGCCTGTGAGATATATGATTGTACACCCTATAAATTAATACCAAGCGAATTATAACAACGATCAATAAATGTTATTTTGTGTATAGGAGAAGAAATCAATACATCGCCTACGTACATCGTTGTCTTCATCAGTATGTCAGATATAGAAACAAATGTTAATGAAAGAACCCCCTAATATTCTCGCTAAATATCATAAGGATAAAAGACAATATAATGCGTTATAGCGATTTCCGGGAAATCGTATGCAAAGACAGTTAGAAATAAATTTCTATATTGGGTACGCTAAACTGAACAAACATATAACTTTTTCATTTTCCATGATTAGCTTTAGATACGGGTGTTTGCATAGTCCTTATAGTGTACTTTCTCGATTTTCAAGTCTGATAGTTAGGAGTGGTACTCGTTATGTGGATGTTTTTGTAGGATCTAATGCCCTTAGTGGAAAGGTGCGGATAAAAATGAGAATAAGTAGAGCTTGATCCTTATTATTTTCGGTTCTAAATATTTTCTTTCTGATTATGTATAGAAAATTGCTCTACGAGGTATTTTTTCGGTTCTTGTTAGATTTTTCGCGTTAGGGATTTTGTCAACAGTTCAGCAAAACGTGTAAAGGTAAAAGGCATTTTTAGAAATGGTCAAATATGATCTGATGAATAAACTAAACAAAAAGTTCATCGCGCCTCAACGATGCTAGTCGGGGATACGAAATGCTTTCAAAAGCGAGACGGTGACAATTGGGACGCGTTACTCGATCTCAGTATCACGACATTGTAAGTCAACTTTGATGATACATAAAATAGTGAGTTTTAATCAAGAATTCTCTAATAAAGCTGGTGGCTTTCATCGGAAATAGGTGGTTTGAGGGAGAATTTTAACGATGGTTAGGTCATGGTGCTGCGTATTCATTGTTTTTACTTCCTTAGACACTATTTTAGTTCTTTCAGAAAAAGATGGGCGCTACTTGTTGAAATTTGACGTTCTATTTGTAGTTGTTACTGACAAAAAGAGCTTTTACTCTTCTCAAATTTCCTTCAAAGTTACAACTTGAAATGGATTTCTGCATGACGTGAAGATTTTTCTTACACTGCATATCTTGGCAGTTTGAACTCTTATATTAACACATACTATCCATGAAATCAATCCTTATTCCTATCTTAGCATAGATAAAACATCATAGACCTGTATGATTTTGTCGGACTTTTTACTAGTTTGACTTCAAAAAAAGAACATTGTCTAGGTTTTTATTCGTGCAAAGTTATCCTCCATGTCTTGCTTGATCGCGTTCATAAACTTGTCTTTCAAATGTTTTTCTATTCGAAAAACGACTTCTGCTCCGTTTCGATCTCTTGTCAGCCATGCATCTCCATTTAGGATAGGATTCAAACGAAATATACGCAAGTAAAATGCGCCCGACCATCCTGTATGAAACCGACATTGATCTGTATAACCAAAATTCACTAAATTTGCCCAGTCGTATCTGAAATTTGAATTGACGATGATTTCATTCGGAACAAATCCTAAGTCAGCAAGATAATCATTATGCATCATTTTCCTCATTGCATCGTCAGCAGTCGCTAACCAACGTTGAAGGAATGTTTCATCACGTGATTTCACGATCGATTGACGAATCGTTTTCGCAATACTCAATAATGAATATGGATCTTCGATATTCTCTGATAACATCATTAATACGGCATTAGCAATTAGACTCTTTGGAGCAATTCGATCAGATACTCCACGATAGTTGATCGATGTGTTCGTACGTAGGACACGGTGTCGATCATCATTGTAATAACAGGACGTATTCAATGTGAGTATGATGTATGCGATTAATACGTCATGAATTGTTAGTTGATAATTTTGAGGAGCTAAATCGTGTAAATGTTTAAGCTGAGCGCCGGAAAAACATAAATTAACTTGATCGTATGCTTCTTGGTCGACCATGAATTTCTTCCACATTTCATCGAAAGTTTTCGCATCTCGGAAGTGTTTCATGAAAGGCAAGAACGATGGGTCAGCTTCATTTTCTTTCCACAAACATCGTTCAAACAAAGGAACCGGTATTAATGGTTCTTTCTGTTGATATAAACAAGAAATTGTGTTGAGAAAGCTCAAACACGATGCTGCATCGCCAAGTTCATGTGCCCAACTTATACCTAATACCCATTCATTGCTTTGGACAATCTCGGTTAATTTCAGTCGTACCAACGGTTCATCTTCTGTATTAACGAACAATTTTGACACTTGAACTTCGTCAAGATATGTTGAAAGAGGATTTTCGTAAAAGTCAATGATGACATTGGAATTGAATGGCCATTTAACTAGATCGTAATTCTTGTTTACTGTTACTGGAATGGGTTTGTCACACATTTCGATAAAGTAACGTTCGTTTAGATCGATACGAGACCGACCAACAACATAAGGCCATTGGCAAAGAGTATCGGCAAGCGCTTTTTGAAATCGATCGACTTGAATTACCGATGGATACACAAAAACATTATCGATACGCGCCATTCGCCATAGATCCAAGCCAGCTAGTTCTATGCGACCACCGCAAGTCGTAGAAACCGAAGGATAAATATTCAACGTCGTTGCCATTATTTTTATCTTATGACACACATTTTTCCATTATCATCTGAAATGATGACGATGGTTAAATATGGCTGCCGTGCAATCAAAGAGGACAGATAATATTTATCATGGAACAGGGCAACACAGTATGGGTTTTAACCATGTGTGTTTGCAAATCAATGTCATTTTCGGCGAACTATTGAGATATGATATATTCAGATTCAAATCTATTATTTTATTGATCTTATAAGCAGAGAAACAATGAGTGAGAACAACAGTATCGATGCGTTGTGTGAAAAGACTGTATGAAATGGAGATAATGCTGTTGCCACCGACTGAGTTGATGTAGCATTGTAAACCGAGTAAGCAGACGATGGAATAATGATTGTCAGATTTAATGGTAATGATGTTTCGGAAATAGTGATTGTCTGATTGTAAATCAAATTATTTCGATAAAGAACCTGAGATGAATAGAATTTAATGGAGATATTTTGATATATTCATTGGATTGTCTTACTTTTAAAATATAAGTACCGGGTAATAGCACTCTCCAAAATTCGCCTAAATTTGTTACTTGAACCACAGGTTTTCGATTGTTGATCATCACTTGAGTAGATGGTATTGGATCAAAGTATTCATTGAGAATCAAACCTTTGACTCCTAAATGACACTTCGTCAAAAACAAACAAATCTTCCATAGAATAACGGAACCCTCACCTCTTTGAGCTTGTAATAACAATTCAATCATAGCATCCCGATTATAATTCCAGTAATTCGTAAGAGTATCGCTTGCTGGATATTTACAACATGAAATTTCCATTGTTAACTCAATAGTACCATAATTCCAATATCCATAATCTTGCATACCGCCCACAATTTCATACCAATCAGCACCACGTGTAACGTCACCCGTATTTGTAAAATCGCCTATACAACCTTCACTTGTAAGAACTGTTCGATTAACATAAGCATGTCCAATCATTTGGTAAATATCGTCGTCATCACTTGTCGATAGACGTCCAACGTCTTCAAAACAAATCAAATATTCAATGAACTTTCATTCGGATAAAGACCTCTTACAATATCGATCGTACGGTGTGTTAATAACAAATGCTCCGCCGTGATAATTTGCTGAGAGTACAAATGGGACATTCGCTAGCAACGATATCATTGCGCTAGTTTCCTGAGCTTGAATTGACGAGTCCAATTTTGCACCATAATAATCGGGAAAATTTCGGTTCAAGTCAATGTTATTTAAAGTATATCTATACGAAAATCTAAATCTCAAATTCAACTTTCTTTTCCATGAATTACCTTCCATTAGTCGATGTACAATCACCATATTGAGATATTTCTAATCCATCAGGATTCATAGATGGTATGATCCAGATTCTTGTACTATTCATCAATTTTTGAACCTGCGTATCATTTGATGTTAGCAGATACTCAATCAAATAGAGTAAGACTTCCAAACCAACAACTTCATTTCCGTGCATATTTCCAATATATTTCACTTCTGGTCGCAGCAAAACATGTTCATTAGCTGAGTACGCGCTCAGTGCCATAGCCCAAAGAGATTTTCCACCTTGAGATTTGCCGATCTCAACTAAAGATGCTTTCGTGGGATATGTTGACGACAAATTCTTCAATTTGACTGTCATTTCTGTATAAGTATGGTATCGAATGTCAATGGCATGATTCACATAGCAAAAGATCGCTATTACAAGCAAAAGTTTCAGCCAAATTTGAACCTACGGAAAACTAACATGTTTATAAATCACAGAAAAGTTCATGCTCACCATATAAATAATCTATCTTTGATGTAGGCAGTAACGAAAATGATTTTCTCCTACTTTCGGTACTATTTGGTGAAAAAACAAGCAAAAGAAATGTGTATGTTATGACATACGGCGATGTACTTTTTTCTTTTCCTGATGTCACATTTTCTCTCGTTTTATTTTGTCAGTGAACGAACAGAACGGCAAAAGTTTGCGTTTATACTGTAATGAGCTCACTCGCATGTAATTACGAATCATGCATAGTTGAAGCGATATTATGATTCATTGATATTGTTTTTGATTTTGTCAGGAAGTGACCATGTACCTCTTTCGCTTATCGATCTAAACAACGCAGTTATGTGCGCACCTAACAAGGTGAATATGATATACAAAAGGACAGTTTAGCGAAAGGTGCATTCGGATAAGTATAAAAATATAACTATGGAGGTATAAATTACGATATTCTATCAAATATAATTCGGACTCGAGAATTCCAGACGAATAATGATAAATTTAGTGATAATAGTTGAGTGTGTACATAATTTGCACATTGATATTTGATTCTGTTGACCTTTCATTAATGTATATATAATTATGAGAAAGATTCGTTTTTAGATAACGACTTTTTTGCCTTTAATTGAAATGAATTAATTCCTATTTGAAAAAAACATATTACAATAAAAATAAATTAATGTCGTCTGATGTTTTGCTTGCCGTTGATATCTTGAACAACAACTCAATAGATAACGATAGATGTAAACAAATCATTAACATTTACTTTTTAGTAACGGTCTGGCGTCGTATTCTTCGTCGTTTTCAGAACTTTGCTCTAAATTCAAAATGAATATTTCGACGAATTCTTTTTGATCCATTTACCATGCGTAGAATAATAGTCTTGATCGCTATTAAAATCGTTTTGTGAAGTATAAACTAGAGAAAACAATTTCAATGTTTAAATGAATGATTTATGATGACGTACATTTTGATACTTGAGGAACTTTTGTGTCCGATATATCAAAAGCAGCACACAACGACGCTTTTTGCTTACGAATCAGTTTTACTTCGGATTCTAAATAGAAATTCTCGATTATTTACAATGCCAGTCAAACAATCTACCAGAAGAAGTAAATAATTCATTATTAGTTGAGAAGACTCGACCAAATTCTTGTTGCCGAATAAGATAATATGTCAGAGGATAACGAGTTTTAAGTAATTTATCAAGTAGATAACCTGGTTTTGTCTTGTTCATGATGACGATGATTACTGAAATTGCTTTTGATTCTGCGCTACTATCGTTCGTTTGTTTTTCTATTGGTAATTCCGATCTTTGTTCTTCGGGAGAAACGAATCATATATTAGATTACCTTCGAGATGAACTTCAGAAAAACAAAGAGATGAAGCTAGTGGAAAATATTTGTAAAAAGTTTTATTCATCTCAAAGAAGAGCTTTCAAAAAAAGAAAACGAGTTACGCAATTTGATTGATTTCCGAAAAAAAGAGAAAAAAAAAGCTATTTTGATTATCGATGAAACAAGTCGTTTACTAGCAAAAAAATGGAGAGTTACGAGAAAAGATCGTGTCATGTAGAGATTATATTTTATGCATCCGTATGTCATTTTTAGTTGATACAGCCAAAATATTCGCACCAAAGAGACTAACATGATAAGGCTCGGGAGTATAGTCGATCACTTTCTTGACTTTGCCGTCTTTTGTTATATACAATAGACGTTTGGTTTCATAATCAGCGACAAGCCATTCGTCTGAACGCAACGTACAACAGCCAAATTTACGATTTTGATTACATATAATATCTAATCGAAGTGACCAAAGACGATTCAATGTTTCTGCATCTCGCGATTCAATTCGTAAGGTTTTCTTGGTGATATTCACAATGATTAGAGCCAGTCGACCATTGTTGTATACAATACCACTAATAACTTCGTCTCGTGAACAAGTATGCGGTGTCTTCAATTCTCTAATTAACTGTATCGAAGGTAACAGTTTGTACTCTTTTATCGACGATGCTCGTTCACCTGTAGATAAGAACAGAGATGTATTAGAGCATGTACATGATAACCAAAGGCCCGTTTCAATTGTTTGTACATTGTCGATAGTCATTGTATTCTCATCGACGAGTAAAACATCATTTTCTTCGATGACGATGAAGCGATTTAATGTTGCTGACCAACACATATCATAGATAGCATCATATGACCAAAGCGTTTGTTTAACGATGTTCATTTCTTGATCCACTAGACACAGATTGGGCTGTTGGTGGATCAGTAAATATCGATCATTACTAGCTAGAGCATAGCTTCCAGCTGAACGATTGATTGTTTTGTAAACAGGTGAAAGTGTTGATATACAAGGCTCTTGATCAGCTTTCTCTTTGACGCTAACTAAGGCATTATCAAGAACTAATGGACGTGTGTGAACAGTAAAACATGTTTGTTCAATTTTATCGATTGTTCTTCCCAGTTGACGGATTGTGGCTGTTAAGGAAACGATATCTTTACGTGTTGTTTCTTGTGCACGGATAAGTTCAGCAACTTTCGTTTGAACACGAGCAATTTTTTCACGTTGTTCGGCTACTTTCTCATGAACAAGTCGATCGAGTTCTTGAAATTTCTGTTCGAAGAATCGATCGATCTTTTCGTAGCATTCATCGCGCCACTTTTCCAATTTTCGACGGCAATCGCCAATCGCATGTTGAGTATGAATTGATTTGAGACGATCGTCGAGAATGTTGATTTCTTCAGCTAGTGGATTTAATTGTGAAATAAGTGTTGCATTGTGTTCATTGATATGCTGCAGGCAAAGATTTTCTTGGCAACAGTCACACAGCCAACGTGATTGACGATGACACTTCGGTACTGCACATTGTTGAGACATTTGATGAATGTGCAAAACTATTTTGTTCGGTGGAAAGAAGGAAGGAAGACAATTTTTTCTCTATCAAGGTTATAGAACATAGACAGAATAGATCAAGTGTGTACAGGACGTCGTACACATCTAGATCAAAATGCATTTCATGCTAGACAAGAAACTTTTAGTATAGACAAAAAAAAACGTTTCTTGATGGGTTTTTCATGGAAAACAATTTTGCTTTCTCAATGTGAAACAAAAGAAAACTCAGACAGATTTCTCATGTATACAAAATTGACAATTCAGATGGAGTAACGTTTTCAAAGCAAGGTCTTGGTTAAAAAGATTCAAACTATACACATCAATACTAAAATGTGAATAAAATCACCATTATTCCAATGCCCTATATAGAAAAAATTCCCTTATCTTCATCTTCATGTACTGACTCATCATGCTCACTCCTATTACTGTACAGCCTTGTTCAAGAAGGTCGACAGACATGAACTAGACATCTAAACCAAAGGTCATAGACTTCCTGATATCGATATTACAAGCATATCGAATGAAAGTTCTGTGTTTTATAATATCCAAAACGAATTCAGACCTATTTTCGGCCATGTTCTTCGATTAATTTTGACGGTAGAAATTCTACCGTCTATTGTTGTAAGTGTAGGACGTAGACGACAATGAGACAATCAATTACGTAAGTATCAGAGACAAAATGCATTCGAAAACAATTTATTTCTTTCAATGAACAAAAAAACACAATGAAGACACGCGAATATGTATCAAGGTTTATGTTCGGCTCGAAATCAACATGAATGTTCTGAATCAAACTTCACTTGTTATTGTTACTCTCGTCGATGTGCTAATCAGAATGAGTGAACAGTTCTACATATAGCAGTAGTGCATAGGTACATATTAAACTGTCGAGAAAAAGATTAATAGAAAAAAATCACCAAGGAGAAAGAAGAAAAATTCCCTAATCAGCTAAAGTTTATGTAAATTAACACCGTCGTTTCTTGACACGGCCAACATGTCCCCAAACAGATTCGCACGATAAGGTATAGCACTATATGGAACGATTTTTTTCACTTGACCATCTTGTGTAATGTGCAACAGACGTCTGGTTTCAAAATCCGAGACCAACCATTCATGGCAGGTTAGTGCGCAACATCGGAATGCTATACTTTGAGTACATACAATATCTAATTGACGTGACCAAATACAATTCAATGTTTTGACATCGCACAAGACTATACGTAAACTTTTCTTCGCTTCATTCATGATCATTAAAGCTAGTTTACTGTCATTATAAACAATCCCACTAATAACCTCATTTTGCGCACATGTCACTGGATATTTCCATTCTTTGATGAATTTTATTGAAGGTAATAAACGAAATTCCACGATGGATGACGTGTATTCGTTTGTAGACAAAAATAATGATGTATCCGAACATGTACATGACTGCCAATATCGTTCTTTTGACAGTTTAACATTATCAACCGACAGTGTACTTTCATTAACAGTTAGGATTAATTTACCCCCGATGACAATAAATCGTCTCAATGTGGTTGACCAGCACATATCATATATCGCGTCATGTGACCATGGAATTTGTTTGACTATGTTCATATCTTGATCTAGGATGCTAAGATTTGGCTGTTGATGAATCAGTAAATACCGATCGTTACTAGCTAATGAAGCATAACTGCCATCGGGACGATCGATTGTTTTCCATACAGGTGCAAGATTATCTAAATCGATCTCATTTTCAATGGCATCTAATGTAAAGGCTAAAGTATTATTGAGTAAACAAGGTCGACTGATGATCATTAAATGTGTTTGTTCAATTCGATCGATATCCTTGTTCAACTGTTGGATCGTTAATGTTAGCTGATCGATATCTTGCCGAGTTGTTTCTTGTGCGCTGATCAATTCAGTCATTTTCGATTGGATTGCGATGAGTTTTTCGTGCTGTTCACTCGTCTTCTCGTTGACGAGTTGATCGAATTCTTGACATTTCTGGATGTATAATCGATCGATTTTCTCATGAGATTCCTCACGCCACTGCTGTAGTTTCAGACGGCATTTGTCGATAATGTGTTGAACGTTGACTGATTTAAGACGATCACCAAGTGCGTTGATTTCATCGGTCAATGGATTTAACTGTGAAATGAGTGAGGCGTTATGTTCATTTAAATGCTGAAGACAAAGATTTTGTTGGCAACAATCGCATAAACCACGAGATGCACGAGTGCATTTGTGTGCAGCACAGTGATGAGGCATTTTGAGGAATGTACAAAATTATTATGTTTATTCGGAGCTTCATTGAAAAAACAAGAACGACACGTTTTCTTTTTGTCCAAGGTAACTCTCGTTAATGTAGGAGAAAAATGAAGAAAAATATTTCTTATATCGATATCATTCAGACGAGAACTAACTTCTAAGAACAAAACTCGATATGAACAACCTTGTGCGTCTTATGACGATTAAGAATCACTTCAAATCTCGAGTTTTATATTATATTAACGAGTGATGAATTCATTCATTTTTCTCTTCGTACAGTAAACACGTATTTTATATTTGTCGTTCGCGACACATATGACTGATTGCTGATCGATGAACACCAAGCGGAACCGTACATGATAATAATTGTTACCTGTTAAATATCGATCGAAAAATTCATCTCAAGGTAATTGTTACCAAGTCATTCGAAGCAAGAAGCTTGCTCTATACAGTTCTAATCACGTTTTATTAAAGAACGCGAAATATCTGACACAGACAATGTCGTCGATTTACGATGAATTCATCTGCTGTTCAAGTAGTAAACGTGCCATTTGTGCAAATGTTGGCGCTGCGATGACGGCTGAATCGTCCAATTCTCCATTTACCGGTGGCTAAAAGCGATTTCAACATGTTCAGCTAGGAAATCTGATCGTTCGTCTCTCTTACCAATGGGATAAATTTGAATGAATCTTGATTACATGCTGGTCTTTGCATCGAACCGTTTGGTGATGCAAGAGTGTGCGCAACGACTTCTTCATTTGCATCACTTGTAAAAGTCTATTTAGAAAAAACAATTTTAGAAAGAGATATTCGACAGTTGATCTTTCAACTGACACTAAATGGAATAGAAATACTTGATCCATCATGAACATCGTCAGTATCAATTTTGGCAAGGATAATATTCGTGATAGGACCTACGAATAGACCGAAGGGTAAAATCGAGAATGCGTAGTATTTTTCTTCGTACTTGAACATGATTTTTTGAAACGAACTTGTCCTGATGATAAATCCCACATGGCACAATCTTTATCTAAACTACCGGAATATAGAAGTTGCTCATCACCACTCAACCGAAGTGAAATGACTGCACCCCTAGGAGAAATAATAGCGAGTTTCACAAATCTTCATCTTTCACAAGTCTCGATTTTTATACTGATGATGAGTCAATTGTTTGGAGTTGGTATTATCAATTGTAATTGTTGGATTTTGATGTTGATAATTACCAAACTATGAAACGAGAATGTCAAATCCTAAGTGGTAAGTCTCATCAACCAATTTACCTGTGTTGTCAATGTTCGTAACGGAACGACAAAGATTACGCCTGTGTCGGTTCCACAGTAGATCGTTGTTGAAAACGATGATGCACAGATCGAATGAATTTCATTGGGAAATAGAAATGTGCATAGACATTTTCCCGTCACAATGTCCCACAACTAAATTTGAAAATCAGATTTGTTTTCAAGAAAAAATTTTGAACATACTCGAACACTTAGATCACTAGATGCAGTTAGAATTAAATGAAATTTACCAATCGATGTTTGACAAACATCGTGAATGGGACCTGTGTGACCTTGAAAGGATTTGGATGGTGATATATCAATATTTCGATCGAGATTGATTCTTCGATGGAAAGAAAAATAGTTCATAGATTGAAACAGAATAACATGCGCTTACTCTTCAATATTCCAACGATGTATCAGATTATCTTCTCCAGCAGATATTAAACAATCTTGATCTTCATCGAATAGCAAATAATTGATTCTTCGAATATGTGCCGACAATGTTGTCAAGTGTTGTCCATTATCAAGCTAGAAAATGGAGATTTTCCAAACAGATTCGGTAAGAATGAGTAATTTACTTTGTATAGAAATATCTTATTTCCAATAGCGCAAGCCAACACGGTCGAATCTCTGATGAAAGTCATGCAGTTCACTGGTCCGGCAACTGTCATCTTTTTATAATCACGATTCTAATCAAAGGTGAATGCTGGTAAAGCAATGATTAGTAAAACGAGAACCTACTCGACTATTCACATTCCAAACATAGATCGATGGACGATCAATTGCAGCAGCATAGATATGGTCTCGAGAGCATAGAAGACCATGAGATACAACAGGTGCATCACATTTAAATGTCAGAAGGACGTTACCATTCAATCCATTGAAACCGCTGATCGTCCATGGGTGAGCTTGTTGAGTAGTAATTAGAACAGTTGGTTGATATTGAGGCACATTTGTTGTTTTCGAAGAGAGCATGATTGAAATTAGTTAAATCTGAATGAGTTTGAAGAGAAAAAAGCGAATAATATATTCTATTTGAAGATAGATAAACTTATTGGTCAAAAGCACAGATGTCGCTGGAAACAGATGGATATTTTCATTCATAGATTCATACGACTTTTATTCAGAAAGCTTTTATTTGCGTATGAGACGAAAAAGAAGCTATTCATGGACTTGGAAAGGTGTACATGTTGGTAAAAGCGTTGAAATTATTGCCACTATTTTGTTGCGGAGTATTCTTGCCTTCGGCCCACCAGATTTTACCATCGGGACCGACTAATGAAACGCTCACGTAACCTGGATTCGCTGGATACGGAAGGCATTCAGTCTGTTCGAGTTGTGTAATTCTATAACTATGTTTTACACCATTCAAATCAACCAATACAGTGTAGAATCCTCCATTGGGTTTCGTGTTTTTAACAATGGAATGTACGACAACACAGTCGTGTGCATCATTACGATATTGAGGCGTCTCACCATTGACATTATTCTTAGGATGAACACGATACCACCAGTAGAATTGATCTTGAGTGACAGTAGGTCGTGCGTTATTTTTATACCATTGAATGTAATGTTTGGATAATTCTAACCAAGCGTCATGATGCATGGGCTGTGGAATGTTGATCATGTCACTAATACCGCCCATGTCTGTAGGTAAATCACTGCTAATTGAACATACATAAGAAGATTCGGAGTAATCATTCCATGTGATAATTTGAACAAAATCTGGTTGTAGAGACACGATCTGTTGCCATCTTTCTGGAAGAAGTTTTTCTGAGCCATAGATCCAATTTTTACTCCATCCGGAGCCCCAAACACGAGTGTAAAACCAGGGAGCAACTGGAGCCATGTATGTTTTACCTGTTGCCCTGGCACTAGCTAATAAATTTTTATCACCAGATGTGTCGAAATGGGCGCCCGGACCGGAATTACCGGCAGGCCAAGCATTCCAAGTAAAAATGCAATCAGCAACAGGATGCGATTGTAATAAGTTAGCAGTTGGATAGTTTGGCCAACTTGGACAGAAGTACGGATTCAATCCGCTGGAAGCTTTCCAACCTGACCAAAATAAATCTTGATGTTCACCAGCAAATGTCGAATAGAGAGGTCGACCATTGACTTTGAAGTAATTAGGATGGCTAGCAGCAAAATGAAAACGAGCGAGTACACCGTTGTCAAAGGTAAGAGAAGACATGTCAAATGAGATGAACATCGAGAAATCACCGTTATTCTTAGCGGCAGCAAGTGCTTTAGCAACACGATCTGGTTGCCAGCTATCAATACCAACATTTAAAGCAAATCCATCAATACCAGCTGCTTTCGCTTTCTTAATTTGACCATCAAAGAAGTTTTGATCCGATGGATAAGCGAATCCAACCATATAATGAGCAAAGACTTTTTTACCTAATCCCGATGACGTACCTGGTGATGAAGTACTAGACGAAGGATTCGTTGGTGAATTGATCACTTCGGCCGTAAGAGGATAAGCGAAAGAGCCAACAATTTTCAGACGAACTGAACCAGTAGACGTTGAGAATTTACAGTCTGGGCCACCTCGACCATCACAACCCCAGTGAACATCCCAGGAGTTTCCAACCGTTACTTTCCAGTAGTACAATTTATTCGGTTGAAGTCCATGAACATCAACAGCATATTCACACGATTGAACATTCGTATCATGCATCAGACCTTTTGACTCAGCAGGATTCCAATTCGAACTAGATCCAGCATCAACAGCCCAATCACCAACAGCACGATAAGGTTGATCAGCCCATCCACAATTGGGATCATTGTATCTCGCCGAAACGATGATACTATAGTACACGGTCGTAAATACTATATATGAAATTCTAACATCGATCATCTGCAAACGATTTCAATAAAGTTTACTTAGGATAAGATAGACTTACTCGTTATATATATATGTCATTCAATTATTTGACAAAACTTGCACTTTGTATCACTCAAATAGTAATCAATACCCAGTATACTTTTATAATTATCTTTTCTAATCTTATATCATTGTCGTCGTTTCTCAATCAGTTATAAGATACTCGTTGTAGTTTACTTCTGAAATCTTCTATAGTAAAAACAGCATCTCCTGCTGCAGTTACATTCATTCCATCGTTTGCAGTCGTTGAAGAAACCGGTAGATGTCATCAAGAGATTTCTGTACATTAACCATCCTTCAAGGGATTGGTTCGATGATTTCTCCAATGATGAAAACTACGATAGGATAGACTCATGTAATGTAGGAAAGAACGAGCCGATCACTGATCGATTACTGTGCTTTTCGTTTGCTTCTAGTTATTTTGATCATCATTCGAATGTTAGTCTGTTCAAACTGTATTGTGCGGTTAACTCCATTGGTATGCAAATATCTAGCCACGTCTTCTTTATCCACAATATCGTCGAACTCATGGCTAGCGCATAATAACGTCCTTGGCTATTCGTTTCGAACAAACCTATTCAATTCCTCACAATCAAAATCTATAACTAGTAATGCTCTCTATTAGAACTAGTCCCTCGAATTTCTTTTATAATTTTAGTTTTGTCACTACCACATACACGCTCGTTTCATACATCAAATAAACGAGATAAAAAAGATTACTATGACGTATTAGGTGTGCCGAAAACAGCCACTGCAAAAGACATCAAGAAAGCTTATTATTCTGTATGAATCTCTTTTTTTGTTCGTATAGGGAATGTTCAATTGCTTTACTTTTTGATGTAGTTAGCCAAAGAATATCATCCAGATACGACACAGAAGAAAGATGCTGCGACGACGAAAAAATTTCAGGAAGTTTCAGAAGCTTATGAAGTTTTAAGCGACGAAACAAAGCGAAAAAACTATGATACGTATGGAATGAGTGGTAGCCCATTTGGATCAGGCGATGGTGCATCATATCCTGGTGCAGGTAGTCGTACTGGCCCAGCCGGTCAAGGCGATTTTCGCGGCTACGAATACTATCAATCTCAGGTGGATCCCGAAGAATTATTTCGAAAAATTTTTGGTGATGCATTTAGTCGAGGAGGTTTTGGTAATCATGAATGGATGAATGAAGCACAAGAGAATCAATTTGGAAAGCAAGGCATCACTCAAGTAATTCTTTCCCTTATCGACACTTCTACCACACGAACTCCTTTCGTTTCTAGTTAGCGCTTGACTTAACATTTCAAGAAGCTGTTCGTGGCTGTAATAAAGAAGTCAATGTTCGTATTATCGATACATGTCCAACCTGTAAAGGTTCTCGGTGTGCTGCTGGCAGTCAACCACAAAAATGTCGAACGTGCAATGGAACGGGCATGGAAACCATCGAAACTGGCCCGTTCTTTATGCGAGCAACGTGTCGAACATGTCATGGTCGAAGAGAAACAATTTCAAGACCATGTCTTGAATGTTCCGGAAAAGGCAAAACTGCACAGAAGAAATCTGTTACTATACCAATACCAGCTGGTAAATATCTTTTGATATTGAGACTTATCGTTTGAGAAGAAATGTTTGAAATAATTTAAGGTGTGGAAGATGGACAAACCATGCGAGTTAACATGGGCTCATCGGAAGTTTTCGTCACGTTTCGAGTGAAATCGAGTGAAAAATTTCGAAGAGATAAAGAAGATATTCATAGTGAAGCCGGTATTTCCATCGTTCAAGCCATACTTGGCGGTGCGATTAAAGTACCAGGAATCTATGAAGATCATGTTCTACAGGCAAGTAGAACCTATTTTGTTTTTAAATAATAAAACGTTTATCTGTAGATTCCACCTGGTACACAATCCCATCATCGTTTCCGTTTGATTGGTAAAGGTATTAAACGTTTACATAGTCCAGGTACCGGTGATCATTATGTTCATATCAAAATCAAAGTCCCTTCGTATGTTGAATAAGATATTTCGATTCATTCTAACTACTCTACATTCTGCTAGACGATTAACCGCTGAACAAAAAGCATTGGTATTATCGTATGCTGAATTAGATAAAGACACTGATGGAACAATCAATGGTTTGACACAGACAAAATCAGGTACGATCGAATTTTAATGAAAGTTTATGAAATATTCTTTTTCATGATGTAGGAAATCGAGTTATCAACGAAGATGATTACCCACTATTGAAATCTGTAAGACAAGCATTGTCTAATCTACCGTTGGGTAGTAAAAAAGTGGCTGATACGATTGATGAACGAGAAACCGACACAAAACGTAACGCAACAGCTAAAAAACAATAAATTACTGTGTACTGCCAGAAGAAATTTGTTTTTTTTTTTCGTTTTTTTGTTAACTTTATAGAATGTTTAGGAAAACAGTAATAAACATTAATCTGGCAATCATCGCGTAATGTGATTTTAATAAGAATTCTGTTGAATTCAATTTCATTTATTTAAAACTGAATGTGTTAGAAACTTAACATTGAGCTTTAAGTACATTTTGAGGAAATTGACCCATATAGTTGCCTGGTGGTGAGTAATTAGCAACAACGAGAGCTTTACGTCCACCATCAGCATAGGCAATGCCAACACCAAGTTGTTTCGAATTTTTCCAAACAACTTGTGTGAAATGACCGACTTTGGCTGAGAAACCTGGTTGATTGTAGTTGTAATCCTTGATTTCATCATACCATGCTTGGGTGGCTTTACTTCCTATACATATGCAGAGAGGAAGTTATTATCAATATGTAAAATCAGAACTGCTTCTACTCACCAGCGACTTTTTCGAAGATTGAGACTGAACTGCCCATATAGTAAAGATTTTCACCATATCCGTTTTGTGAGTGTTGAAATTTATTTTCAGCAGCAAGTTTATTAGCGTATGCTTGAGCAATTTTGTTCAAATTGTCATCAAGTTGAAGGCCACCAACGCAATGACGAGCTCGAAGTTGGTTATGATGAGCTAAGGTCTCTTGTTGAAATTTCACTTGAGCTGGTGTGAAAGCGCTGACTACACACAGAGAGAGAGAGAGAAAGAATGCATTGATCTATGGTATCGTTTAGTTGGGATTTACCTGACACAACAGCGAGAACAACGAAAGCTAACGTTGAAGCTTGAATCATGATTTTCTCGACGAACTACTGAGAAAAACACGGGGATAGAAGACTCGTCAATTGCGAAAGTATCACTTACTTTAAATTGACTTCACAATCGATTGTCATTGTGTTTTTATATGCTACTCAGGGGTGAGGAAATCATGTCTAATTTCCAATCATATGGAATGAAAACAGATTTAAGTGGAAATCAATTATCAATCAGATTTAAGGCTATACTTTAAATCAATATTTTCTTATGCGTGGGTCAGACTGTTATTTGATAGGATGTTTTTGTTATTCATTAGGTTCTATTTTTTTCAACAAAAAATATATGTCACAATGGTTATTGTATATCATTCGAAAATATTTTCGTATAGATTTTCTTTATGAAATCAATGATCAAATGTTCACCAAGAGATTTGATCGTTTGCAGTAATAACAAAAGAGTTGTATAGAGTGCATTTGTGATCAGTAGAAGATGCGACAGTCAACATCTGTTGTATCATCCAATGAAAATAACTATCGATGTATAATCTTTCTTCTCCTTCGTCTGTATTGTCCACAGAAATCACTGCCTGGATGATTCTTTCTCATCTATGAAACGTTAAAGAAAAACAAGACAGTAACCTTCGAACAGTGAATGTAAATAGATTCGACTAGCTCATTTCATCATACTTCCATCGTTTCTGATCGTGATCAGTTCATTGTACGAGAGAAAGTTTCCATTTTATATTCAACTTACAATGAATGATAATAATTCGTGTGTATCATCATCACCAATTCGTGTACATTTTTCGGATGTAACAAATAAGAAGACTATGATAGATGATGATCATCGATGGAAGATCCCGAACAGTAAATATGCATTTTTTCCAACAAAAGATACCAGCTCGATTGTCTGACTGGATTCTAGGTGCACCAACAATTACGATTGACAATGATGAAAACGAAAACGATGCTTGGAATGAATATCGACATCTCTTCGAAACCAATCGATCAAAGATGTTAAATTTATCACCATCAGTTGATAATTACTTACTGCGACACAGTAGTGCGAATACAAGTTTAAGTGAATCGACGTCACTTGAACCACTAGTCGATAATCATGATGATATTTTTTCAATGATTGAACAAGCTGGAATTACTTTTGGTATGTCTTTTGATTGCCATCGTAAATCGTTGATTGGAGATTTTCATTTGTGTTCAGAAGCATTAGCTGGATCGTCATCAGCTGATTTACTCGGCAGCACAAGTGGTTATCATTCCTATGAACCATCGCCATTCAATCATCGATCGAAAAGATCATCATTACTTGATCCATCGGCAGCTGAATTTAATATGGAGATTGAACCACCTATGACGGCTACACACTATTCAGCGAATCGATCTTCATGTCATACCGATCAGCATGTTCGTCGTTCTTCACGGTCACAGCACAATCAAATGCCACCACGCATTTCGACGTCATGTAAATTTTGCCATTAAAAAAATCGAACGTTGAATCATTTTCATGCGTTGTATGTTTAGACGAATACAAATTTGGTGGCTATGGCCGTGGTATCAATGAATTTCTCGAACCAAATGGTATTACATTTCTTTCGGATGGAACAATCACAGTTGTCGATACGAATTCAAGTCAAGTTAAACTTTTCGATCCTGTTCGTCGAGAATGCGTAATGAAATTTGGTCAAGCTGGAACAAGACCTGGCGCTTTGCTTTATCCGTATCGTGTTGCTGTCTTACCCGGACATGACCTAGTAAGCGATACGATGATGTGTTTAGTTTTGTTCGAAACAATCTATGTATGTAGCTCGTGATGGTTCAACGTTCTCCACGGCCCATGATACAGATCTTTGATCGTAATGGTCAATTCATTCGTCGTTTCGGAAACGATCTCGAAAGTCCACGCGCTATTTGTATCGATCAACAAGGTCGAATCATTATTATTGAATCCAAAATTATGAAAGGTAAAGTTCTGTGCGGGCGAAATCTGATTATCTGTTCTTCGTGTTCTAGTTCATATTTATGACGCCAGTTCGGGCCGTATCTGGGGTCAATGTGATTTACGTGATCATTTAAGTTTTCCGACAAGTGTCTGTGTCAATGATCGACATGAACTTTACATTAGTGATAATGAGTCACATTTCGTTCGAGTCTTCGATTATAACGGGCAACATTTGAAGAATATTGGTGCTGGAATTTCGTATCCTATCGCATGTCGTATTGTAAGTGGTATTATTTTCCTAGTTTTTCTCATAAAATCATTCGTTTTTGTAAGAATCAACCACGACGTGAACTGATTGTTGTTGATAATCACGAAAATTTCAATATCACAACTTACGATTATGATGGAAATAAAAAATATTCACACTATTCAGTAAGTCCTTGTCGACCTTCGCACTCGGATAATATTTCTGCGTATATTTAGTTAATGAAACATTCTCAATGTTTCGATGTTGCTGTTGGATATAACGATGAATTAGCGATGGCATCGAAAGATTACAAAATCTACGTGTACAAACTCGGCGAAGGTCTCGAATCAACAAGCAGTGATATAAATCCAAATTATTATTAATTCAATTCTTCTCTCGCTCTTTTCTCTCTTTGTTCTTACAATGGCTCTTGTTCGTTCTCGTATGTTGTACAAATTGGTTTATATCTACCGCTCAATAATCTAACAAATCTAAATTATCTTTCTTCTCCTTTTGTGGTAGACGAATTAATTTTTTTCTCTCTATTCATGTTAGCATTCCTTCATTTGATTTTCTTTTCGTTTATCTTTTATTTGTTATATACACTTCAACATTCATAAAAACAAACAGATTTCTATACAACTCCTCCTCATGTACACATCCAGAACTATAAATTTGAATGTAATGTTTATGCTGAGAGACCGACAGACTTCATACGGAAACAATTTTGACATCGAATTCAATCTAAGTCATTGTGAAAAATCCTTCGAGAGTAATGTTCATTTGCAAAGCTGAATTAATCCAACAAGGTTGTATGATTTGTCATCCCACCATAACGGCAACAGACCGTATTAATTATTACATTCGTAGTCAATGCGACTATTTAGCATATATATAATGTCTTTTTCCTTGAATTTATATATATGTGGTACATATGTCGTTGTCCTTATCTAGATAATAATTTATCGAAACGTTATGTGATCAATGGATGTATTCATCGCTTTCGACAAGTCGTCGTGCGTTTTTCTCGATGCGTTAGAAACTAATTATACAAGTATTTCTGGCATTCTCATTTACAAACTCAATTAATTAAAACTTCTCTCATGCATAGATAAATAATTATTCATAAATATTTAATTATTTCATCAATCGATATATTCAAGTTGATTTATTCGCGCAGGGATATACATTCAACCTTCCAAAACAAATGTTTTCTTTCAGACAGCGAATTTATCGACTCGTAAGCTGCTTCCCTATATTTGCATTCTTTTCTCCCGTAGTTAGTCTGAAGAAAAAAAAAATCTCAAATCTAAACGACTGAGAAAGCAAACTAGTATGTTGTTGATTGTATTATGCAAATATATCGCGATGTTAAACTTCTGGCCTTAATACCCTCGTCGCTATGTCTTCGCAGTGAAGTGTGTACATGAATACCCTTGAAAGCTATTCAAAAAAACATTCGCGCACGATCAAACACCAATTTATGTGTGCAGAAGCACGCTTATAAATCACTCAGTTCTTTCTTTTTCTGTATTTTATTTTCGACAAGATCGTTAAAATATGTTTATAGTGTAAGAGAGAAAAGGGAACCTCAGATTGATCGTGTTGTTGTTTTGTTTATTCACTGAGAGAATGAATCGACTCATGAGAAGAAAAAACGTCCTTTTCTGTCTCTCAAGGAAACTTGTCTTGACATCAAAAATCGATATCATATATAATACACTCTTTGTTTCAAAGGTAAATTCCATGTGTCTCGTCAATAAAAAAAAAGAAGAGAATCATTTGTATGAAAAGAATAAGGCTTTCTGTCTTAGAGCTTAGAAAATAGAACAATAGTTAAAAAGAAAGAGAAAGAAAAGAAAAAGAACGCGCTCGTTTGCAAATTTTTTTTTAGGCAAATAGGAATAACATCAAAACATTGAATAATGAATTGAATCGAGTAAGGCCTATGTGTTTTTTTTTCATGTATCAGGAATGTAACAATCGAAGATTCGTGGTGTTAATGACATTGACCTTGACGATTTGCATCAGTCACAATCTGTTGTCGAATTGATCAACATATCTTCTTATTGGCTGAGTAGATTACATAAAGAACATGGATATCTAACCTACACTTTATCTCATGGAGTAAAAAAAGCATGCATGGTATGTTAGAATGAGAAAAAACAAAGAAGAACACGTGTTAATTACTCATAAAAAGGCAACTAGATGGCTTTTCATCAAGAAATTCTTTCGCGAAGAGAGAGAGAGAAAATAATAAAATGTCTCACACAACAACCGCACATAAACCACAAAAAAATACCATCGATTTATTTAGGATCAATTTAGCATACACAACACTGAAGCAGAAAATCGTATGTTTTCCTGTCTTCATCCACGCGCGTGTCATTAAAATACTTCTTATTGTATATTATATATATTTACACTCCTATCGTCAATTTTTTTAATTCAATGTCAAACTGAGAAGAGAGGGAAAAAAAACAGAACCTCTACGTTTCTTTCTCAACAACAAGACTCGAGGAGGAAAAAATGTCATATTACTTTTTTTTCTCTCTCCCCCTCCTCTCTTTCTATTTCTTTAAGTTATTTTCTTTTTCAATACGTTTTCAGACATCTTTCCGAGTGTGTTTACATACATACTATTCGAATAACATACACACGTATATTTGTGTAGAGATAATCACATCCTTCAAGTATGTTCAATTGTTTTTGCTCTAGATTTACTTATTGACGACGAAACTTGTCTAATGGGAAGTTTTGGATGGGATAATCAATGTTACTTACAATATCATAATGGCCGACCGTTGTCCGTTGCGTTGACAGAACCATGCAACTGTCAGTTTTCCAACTTCGTCGACAGTGATTTTGCCATACAGAAGCCACATGCTCGAAGTCACTCATCAGGTCGACGATTCAAACGCGAATCATACAGTAAATTTCCGCGAGAGAACAAACCATTTCGTTACTGTTTGATTGAATTATCTTAGGTATATATCAACCGAACGTTCAATACACGAATTTTGTCTATTCACCGCCGTTACCGCGCCGACAGATCATCCGCAGTAGATCAGGAGATTTACTCGTTGAAAAACTAGGTAAGAAGATTTCCGATAGAATTATGATCAACACGTGCAAATGTTTTCATCAATAATCAATTAGAAACAGTAACAATCGAAGAAGAGCAATGTCGACCTATTCATACTGGGGTTGCGTATGTGCGTTCACCATCACCTCTTGTTCGACAAGTTAAAATACGTTCTCGACCTTCATCGTGTTATGATCTAAATAACAGAGAATCAACAGGTAAACAATTGAAGGAACTTTTTTTAATATGATTTTCAAGTGTTTTATAAGACGGCCGATGTACAAAATATGTTGATGAACATCGAGAAGAACATTTTGAATTCAACTATAGTTTTAATCGACCCAATGATCGTACTGTACCAAGTAAGAAGAATCTTTTGCTTTGTTTCGTCACGCTTCTCATTCACCGATTAGTTCAACGCGATCCAACACCTCCACCACCACCACCCCGAAAGATTCAACAGAGTGAAACAGTAACAACAGAAAACTTTAATTTCAAAATAACAGCTCAGCCAGGTTTCAAGCAGAAAGAATTGTTTTCGGTATTTTTATGTTCTGCTTTTCATTAGCTCTTCGACCTTCTACAAGAAGTGTTGGAACAACAACAAAAGATCTTAGACCATTGAGCAGATCAGGTAACCAATCCAACGAATGAGATCATTTCACTACGCTTAACTTTCTTTGTGTAAACAGAAACACAAGTGATTGAACGATTCGAAAAAGACGAAAAGATACGACGTGATTCAATGACAGGTTTGAAAGAGCAAAGGCACACATTCTTTTTCTCTAGTCGATGTTTGTTTTGAATAAAATAGAAACCAGTACGATGGTCGTTACAGCCGAACAACCCAGCCAACGTTCTCGTTATGGTAATGACTTCTGTTTTTGATTATATTTCTCATCTATTTGATTGTTTTGTCTAGTATCTCAGTTGGATACTCGAAATGATCGGACTTTTTCAAGTGAGTATTGCTTTGCCTACTTGATAAAAATTAATTCTTATTTTTCTTAATAAACCCATAGAAAAGAAAGATAATAAATAATAAGTAAAAAATAACTTGCGTCACGTTTGTTTTCCTTTCAGCATTTGGCCCAACAACGTCCAAATCGTACAATGCATTAAATCATTATTCCAATTATCGACAAGATAGAGACGATTTCGTCACTCGGTACACAGCGGGATCCCGTGAAGCTGTTTGTGACACATACGACGTTATCGCGCCTCCCACCCCCTCATACACATCAACCATTCCGATAACATACGAAGCGAGTTCCAAGTCTCGATACCATTTTGATTAAAATTGGTTTAATCGAATCATCAATTTTATACATAAAAAAACAATAACAACAACAACGAACAGTTTTCTTTTGTATATTCCAAAATTACATTCTTCTTTTTCTTCAATCATATTTTTTTGTCTGTGGTTCAGATATGTGATTCTCTCTCGTTCTGAGGTCGTTTTTTTTATCCCGATATACTTATAGGTTCACATTCCAATCGAGGAAAAAGAGAAAAGAAATCGTTGTAGATAGTTTAGAACATCCAGATTAGAGACACAATATATTTCGTGATTTCATATACATTTTGTCATTATTTATAAGAAAAAACATGAAAATCGACGCGAAAGACGACGAAGAAAACAGTACAGTTAATTAAATTTCTTGATTATTTTCATATTTTCATAGCCTGATGCATATAATTGTCCTGTTCGGTCGAATGAATCGATTTGATACCAGTAGCAGTTGCTGCTGCTGAAGCACGTCCTGCGTACCTGTCAAAATAGAATAACATTTGAATATCTGTGACTTCTTACGAAATACGCATACTCGATTTTGTCGACTCGATTGTCGTTCATCTTACGAAGAAGAAGATTAAGGCGTGCTTTACAGAACGAATACTAAAGAAAACGATGATCGATAGGATATTTCGAATGATTGATTAAATTGATTTACCGGTCCCATGTTTTTGTGCTCTTCTTGTGCAAAACATATTGCTGCTGATTTGTATTTTTTCAACTCGATCTCGATCAGATCGAATGGAAACGGAGATAATTGTTCGATACGGACAATGGCAATGTCCGATTCAAGTTCCTGTACTGTCCGCGCTTTGATTAAGTCATAGTATGTTTTGCCCGAGCAGAAAACTAACTTTTTCACGGCATCAGGATTGTGCCCGGCTGCACCTTCTTCAGGATAGATACGCTTGAAAGTTGTTCCTTAAAAAGCAGAGCGATATAAACAGAAACAAAGCTTCGCAGGGGTATTTTGGTACCTTCGATTATCTCATCAAACGATGATCGGCATTCAGTCAAACGAAGTAAAGACTTGGGCGTCATTAGAACTAATGGTTTTCGGAATGGAAGTGCTAATTGTCGACGAAGAATATGAAAATAATTTGCAGGAGTCGTTAAATGAGCGATGATCCAGTTTGCGTTTTCCAATTGGTACATGGAAAGATCTGTATGAGCACTGTTTTCGAGATCTGGCACCTGGTCTGCATCTTCAGCAGACATCTGAACGAATGAAATAGTTTCAGATTAGGTGGAGACAAAAAAAGTCAGACAGTACCTGTAAGAATCGTTCTAATCTTGCTGATGAATGCTCTGGCCCATATCCGTCATATCCATGGGGTAGAAGAAGCACAAGTCCATTCTGGCGAACCCATTTTGCCTGTCCACTGGATAGAAATTGATCAATAATACATTGGGCGTTATTAGTAAAATCACCTAACACAAAAGCGATTACAAGGGAGAATTCGGCTGGATTCTCTTACCGAACTGTGCTTCCCAAAGGACGAGCGTACATGGACTTGTAATCGCGTATCCCAGTTCAAAACCTAACACAGCAAATTCCGATAACGAACTGTTACATATTGTATAATGTCCTTGTACTGCAACTAATTCGTTTAGTGGTACATGGAAGACTAGATCTTTTTCTTGATCATGCAAAACATGATGACGGTGAGAGAATGTGCCTCGTTCGACGTCTTGTCCGCTAAAACGGATATACTGACCATCGAGTAAGAGACTTCCTAATGCCATGGCTTCTGCTAGAGCCCAATCAACTTTACGTTCTTGTAACATCGTTGTTCGAGTTGCAAAATTACTTTTCAAACGTTCGTGAAGAGTAAAACTCTCAGGTAGTTCGTGAACTTTGCTTCCAACTAATTGAAGTCTTTCTTCTGGCACACCCGTTATTGGATGAGCAAAAGGAGGTGTTTTTGTAAAGAAAGCTTTCCATGGCGAGTCAAGCCATTTTTTCTGTTTATCATAGATAACACTCTTGGAGTTAGCAAGCGCTTCGACAAGACGCTTTTCATAATTAGCGACCTCAGTCTGGAAAGAATATGGAGCAGACTTCCTCAATCAAACTGAACAGTATCAATACATACTTCGTACCAACTCTTGTTAATTCTACCTTCGTTGATCAATTTGTCAGTCCATTTTGTCAATATCGGTGTCTGCTTTTCGATTTTCTTATACCTACAATGCAATGCACAGGAATCAAATGATACAGACGTAAAGATGAGACACGAACATGTATGGATGCGTGAAATTAGGATTATCCACTTCGTTATGACCATAACGACGATAACCCACCTTCGAACGAAATACACATTACTTTAAAATTGAAAAATTAGTAGGTCAGTGAAATAATTACCAGATCAATGACAACATCGCGTTTGAATTTACATCTTCACTCTGCTGCTTCTTTTGCAACGCGTAGAACTGCTTCTGGATCGTCAGCATTTACATGGAAGATCGGTGCATTGACGACTCTAGCGACATCAGTACAATACGGACTTGAGCGTGCTACACGAGGATCCGTCGTAAAGCCGATCTAAACATTTATACTGAATTTCTGACGGATAAACGTTTTTGTCATACTTGATTATTACAAATAATATGAACTGTCCCATGAGTTGTGTACGCAGGTAGATTCGTTAAGTGGAATGTTTCATAAACGACACCTTGACCAGCGAAAGCCGCATCGCCATGTACCAAAATGCTCATTACCTTGTCACCTTTTTCGTCACCACGGTAAAACTGTTCGGCTTTAGTTCGACCTTGAGCAACGGGACTGACAGCTAAACCGAAGAAACCCTTGTTTTCATGTTTCATAAATGTGCTTTCTTTTTCTCGCGTCGATTACCTTCTAAATGCGATGGATTAGCGAGCAAGACATATTTTATCTTGGAATTTGTCACTGAACTCAAACGTTCAACGCATGTGCCCAGATGATATTTCACATCTCCACTTTCCTACAACACCATATCGAAAGCTTCGGTAAAGAATGTTTTGATAAGTTCGTACTAACTGATATGTCAGACGGTTTTAAATGTTTGTTAAATTGACAGAAAATTTCTTCCAGTGGTTTTTGAATAACATTGGCGAGAACATTAAGGCGACCACTAAATAAAAGAAATTTCTGACCGAACAATGAACATGAATATCTCACCGATGTGGCATGCCCATAATAAGTGTATCGACACCGGTTTGAATGACAGTATCAATGACCATTTTCATCGCGGGTATTAACATGTCGCATCCTTCGACACCGAAACGTTTTTCAGTCGCCCATTTCGATCCTAAGGACTTTTCAAAACTATGCAGAAAATAATATTGATTTCTGGTATGACATTTCTTCGTACTGAGCTGTTCGAATGAGTCGTTGAACTGCACGATGAACCTCGTCATTTGACAGTTTGAACTGCGATGAATCTTCAAAACGTTCTCGAATCCAATTACACTGCTCACGATTGTTGATATACATATATTCAATACCAATTGTTCGACAATAAACATACTATCAATAGAAAAAAAACGTGGCATTCATCGATACCTCGGATATCGAAATCTTCAGTCAAAGAAGAAGCATCGTAGAGAATCGAGAATGAAAGATTAATATAGTGGCCCATCCAGAGTACATTGTGCATAGAACAGTTGCTGTAACCTACTGGCGCAAAGGATAGATTTACCTGAGTTTAAGTATGTCTTTTAGACTAGAAAGATCTCGACTAATGACCAATGAAAACTGTGGTCATATTTGACTTTATAGAACATCTTACGTCTAATCGGCGAAGAATTTCACGTAAAGACAGTTGTGTTTCGCGGCCACCGATGAATGTGAATGGTGGCAGAACAAATTGCCGGTTCAGATCGGCTTCGGCTGCAATGAAAATTCTGTATGAAGGAATTGCATTATTGAAGTTATTTACAAAAATTGAAGAATTGATACGATAGATCAATGGGCCTTTCGCGATCTAAATCAATCGATGAAATACCAAGTGGATCGAGTTGAGCGACTTTATGACCGCGCGTCTACAGAAGAAGATTTTCTCCGAAAAGTCATGTATATCCAAACGATAAACCTGAAAAGACTGAATAAGTGCTGCGACAGCCATATGGTCATTGACAGCTTTGGCATCAATGCGAAAATTACTCGCAGACACCGCTGTAGGTTGTATCGGATAGATTTGAACAGAGGTTGGCATGGAAGATTTTCCTTGGTTTTGACTCCGAAAATACAAGTCCCAAGACTAAAGGATCAATCGGTTGGTTTGAGCTCTCTTTTTTTTCATCTTTAAAAACTAGTATTCTACTTTATGCACTGATTGTGGATTGCTCAACCACTCTTTATACATTTGATCACGATAATTAACAGAAAATCCATCGGATTTAGCCGGTGCATACGCACTGCGGATTGGTAATGTCAGTTTTAGGATACATCGAACAGTTAATAAACGCGGTCGTGTAACTGATGAAACTAGACGTTCCATCTGAAATACTAAATAGATTTATAAAGAATTAAACAAGCCTGCTTTTGTTGTTTTTTTCGCAAAAAACTGTTTTGTTGCCAAGGAAACCATAACCAGCTGATCGGCGTCATAAATCCAAAACTTCATTAGTTCTTCCCTTTATCCTCCATGAGAAATTCGTGTTGATTCATGCATTCGTCTTCTAAACAGCATTTTTCTCTCGAATAACTCATAATTGTCGAATATTTTCGTCTTTCATCTGCTTACTAATTCTATCCGGAGCGCTAGGTGCAATCTGATTCATCGCATCTTTATTGCGCGTTGTTGTCGTCCAAACATAAACGTTTAGTGGAGGAAGGAAGAAAGAAGTGAAAGCAAAAATACACACACTATTTGAAATATATGAAACCTACGCATTTTACCAGATAGTTTCATCGAAAAAATACCCATTCGCATTTTGAATATCAACATCTACATCCTCCTGAGTCATTTTCGTTTTTAGGCGTCCTGACATTTTTGTTTTTTCTCAATTGACTGTTCTTTCTCCTTCATAAAGATTTTTTTCTTCGTTTCATTTTCTGGCTCATACGCAATTAAGTCACTTTATTAACGAACAAAAAACCTTTCTTTGCAATAATTGTTTCCTTCATATTAAATCATCTGACATCGATTGCCCCGTGATAACCTGATTTCTTTTTTTTTTCTTTCGTTCTCTTGATTTTCCCCCTCCTGCCCCATTAAGCATCGACGTCGTCGTCGTCGCTATTGCCTTCTTTTCTCCCCTATTTATTCTTTTTCTTCTTTACCATTAGAGGCGAACTTGCGTTCGGCAGCAAATGCTTCTCGCAACCTCTTTCTTTTTCGTCGACATTGTTGTCTTCTTGTCCTCCATGAATAACAAAAGGAAAAAACGCACATTGGTAAAGATAAAGAAAGCAAAACCTTTTCTCTTTTCTTTCCAGATCTTTCCCCCCTTTTCTCCTCGTACTTCCTAAACAACAATTGAAATACTCGTCTCATTACATCAGGCTCAATTTGTAGATTGTGTCGCGGAGAATGGCACTGAAACGTATCAACAAAGAATTACTTGAACTTGAAAAAGAGTAAGTTCAACCATGATTGGATAAACGAGACATTTGTTGTTCTTTTAGTCCACCAGCAAACTGCAGCGCTGGACCTGTGAATGACGATATGTTTCACTATAAGTATCTCGGTTGAATGTAATTCTTTTAATGATGATTTTCTTTTTACGGCAGGCAACAATAATGGGACCGGGGGATAGTCCATTCCAAGGTGGAGTGTTTTTCCTTTCGATTCACTTCCCGGCGGATTATCCATTCAAACCACCAAAAATCACGTACGGCTTCTTTTGTATTTTGCGTCGAATTTTCATGTCAGACGGTATTATTCGTCTAGATTTACAACGAAAATTTTTCACCCAAATATCAATTCAAATGGAGCCATCTGTCTTGACATTCTCCGTTCACAATGGTCACCAGCATTAACGATTTCTAAAGTTTTACTTTCAATCNCACATTTACTTTTTTTTCCTTCTTTTTAAATTCGTCTTTCTTTTTCTTTGTTCGTGTATTTGAATGAACATGAAGTGAGTGAAAACGAGAGAGAGACATATATATTCAACAGATTCTCATAACATCATCATCAACAACATATACTTTTCTGTGTGCGTGTATTTATATGTATGTACGATGTGTTCGTGTCTATGTTATGAAAGAAGAAAACTACAAAAGGTTTATAGAATAAGCCAAATGTTCAACGTTTGATACATTGATGACGATTCTCTATGTCCTTTACTGTTTTTTTTCTCTTTGTTCACTGTCTTCGTCTATTTCTTTAAGTTCTGTTCTTTTCTTTTTTGACTAAAACAAATTTAACGAAGAAATGTCTGTTTTCTACCAACTATTCGAAAAGAAAGAAAGAAATTACCAACGGATTGTTTCATGTTTCTCTTGATATGTTGTACGGTGCAAAGAAAGTGACGCAATTATTTCATTTCGTACTCGAGCGTTGTTTCGACGCGAGATGTTTCGTTTTTTTCTCCGAAATAAATACTCCATATGTTTTTTTTTGTGTTTTTAGATGATCATTCATGACAATAGCTGTCTCATATTGATTTTTGAGGATGCATGACTCATCCGTTACGAAATTTCGTCTTTGATGTTAAAAGGAACAGACTCGTGACGAATTTATTGTATACTAGACCAGTAAAAAGATAAGACGCGTTATCGAAGTCGTTTTCAGCTAATAACTAAACGTAATTCCCACATGAGATAAAAAAGATGCATTGTCAACTCGTGTTCATCACTTCGACGCTTATCTCATTTAGATAAAGACAACTTCGTAGATATATTTCAAATGGCACTCAAACGTATAACAAAAGAGTTACAAGATTTACAACGTGAACCACCTGCCAACGTCAGTGCGGGACCCGTAAGCAGCAAACAAGTTTTCTCTTTCGGATAACTTTATTTATTTTTTATCACATGAAAAGGTTCATCCGAACGATATGTTCACTTGGCAAGCAACTATTCTCGGCCCTGGTATGTTCAATTACAATAAAAAAATGCGTTATGATCAACTTTTGTTAAATCTAGGCGACTCCCCATATCAGTCTGGTGTGTTTTTTCTTTCGATAAATTTTCCCACCGATTATCCATTTAAACCACCGAAGATCACGTAAGAAAAATCGAAGTGAAACCACTGGTTTATATTCATTCGCTTTGTTTGAATAGTTTTACAACCAAAATCTATCATCCTAATATTAACTCGAATGGTGCAATCTGTCTCGATATACTCCGAAGTAATTGGTCACCAGCGTTAACTATCTCCAAAGTTCTTCTATCCATTTGTTCGTTATTATGTGATCCAAATCCAGATGTAAATATTTGTCATTCTTTCTTTGTTTTCCTGTCATTCTCAAAATTTCTTTTCCAGGATCCGCTCGTTCCCGAAATCGCTCGCCAATACAAACAAGATCCCGAGGGTTACAATACAGTAAGTTGATAATTGCTCATTACCAATCGAATTGTTCAAATATCTTTTCAGACCGCTCGTCAATGGACACAAAAATATGCCACATCGTGATACTTAGAAGAAGTTCATTCTTTTGTGTCATGTGTACTACAGTGAACTACAACGAATAAACATGAACGCTTCTCTTTTTTTTGTTGTTGATGTTATCTAGCGAAGTTCGATGTATATAAATAAAGAAGAGGGAAAAGAAAATCAATTGGAAAACGAGATCCGTTTTTCCATAAATAAAGTTCTGACGTTGATGCGTATTCACATAACAAACAGAATTCATATAATATACGATAGAAATTATGATGGGAAGGATTAGTAATGGCCTAGAATCATGCGCATGACCCTATCCCTATAAGGTTTAGGATATCTAATTTGTTTTCTTTTCCTTATTCACATGTGCTTACTTACTTTTCTCCTTTCTCTTTCTTTTCTTTCTTCTTTGGACGAAAGACCTCTACCATAGATCTTTTCTCTATTGTATATTTTAGTGTGAAATGTCCGTCGAGTCAAGCCATTTCGCGCACACAGTAGGTGTACGTTGATTCGAATGAAAAGATCAAAGTATAATCTTGATTTCTGATTCATATATTGTCATGTATGGCGCGATTCTGTTGTCGTTGCCTTTCTCGTTTTGATCTTTGCACCTTTTCATTTGTAGATACGTTGAGTGCAAATAAGATAGAAGAAATGGTTACTTTAGCATCGCACATTTCTGACTACTTCGAACAGTTCAATAGTTCACTAACGAATGACTTCAATTCCAACACGAATGGTTTATCAACAGATAACAACCTTCGAACATATTATGTATTTGATTTTGAACGATATAGTGATAAAATAGGAACATTAAGTGATCTTCGAACATTCATGATTCAACGTTGGCATAATAGTTTCTTCTATGCTATCGCATATTTACTATTAATCTATGGTTAGTTTGGAAGCGAGATTTTGTTTTTCTATATCGGAAAAGTTTTGTGTTTCTAGCTGGTCAAATGTATATGAAGAACAAACCACGATTTGAATTACGGTTATGGCTAGCAGCGTGGAGTAGTTTACTGGCGATATTTTCAATCTTTGGCGCACTTCGAGTTCTACCCGAATTGATATTTGTCATCTATCGCCAAGGAATCAAAGATTCGATCTGTAACAATTCGAATGCGTTCGGTGTCGTCGGATTTTGGTAAGAGAAAACTCTCCTATTGCTGAAAAATGAAACAAAAGAATCTACGAGTGTAGGACATGGGCATTTTGCTTTTCCAAACTACCGGAATTGATCGACACTGTGTTTATTGTTCTTCGCAAACAACCATTGATTTTTCTTCATTGGTATCATCATGCATCCGTTTTAGTCTACTGTTGGTTCAGTTATCAAGATTATAGTTCGACCGGAAGGTAGACCTAAACTAGGAAGTTGAAAAGAAAATGAAAATCTTGACTTTAGATGGTTCTGTGGATTAAACTATGTTGTTCATGGTGTTATGTACTCGGTAAAGCGAATCTAATCATAATCGAGCAAGTGCTCACCGATTCTCATTCGTTTTTAGTACTACGCTTTTCGTGCCCTTCGTTTCCGTATTCCACGTTGGATATCAATGATAATCACAATGCTTCAATTAACTCAAATGGTGGTCGGATGTTGGATCAACTTAAAAGCTTGGCAATACAAAAAGAACGGCGAAATTTGTCAAGTGACCGACGAAAATCTCAAGGTTTCACTAGTGATGTATGGAACGTATTTTATCTTATTTGCTCATTTCTTCCTTGGTACATACGTATTCAAAAGAGCACGAAGCAAAACATCAAGCGAAGAAGTCAGAAAGAAGGTTGAGTAGAGTTTTCTCTCAAGAGCATCGTTGTCACCGGTGAAAAAAAAACATATATACACGTCGTTTCCTTGCGAATGTCAAACCAAGTTGTTTTATGAATATTTAAAGAAAAACAAATAAAAGTAACAATAAGGTGACGCATGATATAATTGGCATCTTGTTTAATTGTTCGAATGTAACGCAAAATATCTGCTGATTAATCTTCATACAAGATTTTTCTCATAAAAACGTGCTCGAGGGCCCTTCAGACATGTAATTTCATGCAATTAACAGTCATTCTCTACATCTAGTTCTTCTCTTCTCTCGCTGAATATAAGAAACATTGCTGGTAAATACTCATTTAGCAACAAAATTAATGGAGAGAATCGAATTCGTTACGTGGATTGTCTTTCTGTGTTTGATCAAGAACGTTCGATTGTTTAAAAATGAAATGAACTTGACGATTGCATCGAAAACTACACATGAAGTAACAGCAATTCTCAATGAACTTGTGCAAGATTATCAAGCACACATTCGACCGAGATTCGGCGGTAATCGAAATCTTTCATCAACCTTGACTGATCTCATTCTCATCGGTAAATAGATGGCCCGACGAGAGTCTATGCTGACATTCTAGTCAACTCATTTGGTCCGATTCAAGAGATAGACATGGTTTGTATGGAATTACCTAGGAAAGATTCGATGATATCTGATGATTTAGTCATATACAATTAATTGTTATTTCCGACAACGATGGAGAGATGAGCGTTTACAATTTGCTGAGCATGTCGGTGTTCTTTCATTGTCCACCCGTATGCTTGAACGTCTTTGGAAACCAGATACAGTTTTCTACAATTCCAAACATTCGTTTCTGCATTCAATTCCAACTAGTAATCGGCTGTGGCGATTGTTTCCTGATGGAACAATTTGGTACTCATCACGGTGGGAAGAATCGAATCGTTTCGGATTTATGATTATTACATTTGTTTTTTTTTAGAATAACTGTCAAAGCAAAGTGTAGTATGAATTTGAAGAATTTTCCTGTTGATACACAAATTTGTCAGTTATTCATTGGTAGTTGTGAGTAAACGACAAACGAAAAGAACTCAACGAAAAGACTTGTCTATAGTTGCAAATTCCGCATCGGATATTCACTACAGCTGGCGCTTAGGCAATAACAAAAGTGTCAATTTTGATGGAGAAGTTTTGTTATCTCAGTTCGATCTCATCCAGTATCCGCAATATAATGAAATAATTTCTATAGATGGACGTATGTGACAACACATGAAAATCATCTGAATTTGCTAATTTATTCCAGGAAATTTTTCTGTTCTTCGCGTTGATTTCGTTCTCAAACGTCATATGGGTTATTACATTATCCAAGTGTACATTCCCAGTTCCATGCTAGTCATGCTATCTTGGGTTTCATTTTTCATTCATCGTGAAGCCACGGCTGATCGTGTCAACATCGCTGCTATGAGTGTTCTGAGTTTAACTACATTGAGTTTTGATATTCGAAATCATACAGCGACTGTGTCATATCTAACAGCATTGGATTGGTTCGTCATTATGTCTCATGTCTTTCTTTTTGCGTCATTGATTCAATTCGCTTTTGTCCATTATTTTACCAAGGTTCGGATGGAAACGCAATATTCTGACGATTTTTTTCCCCAACGTTCTCTTGTCTTCATTTAGTTTGGATACGGTGAACCATTGATACGTTTGCAAGATTCATTCGATAACGAAATTCTCACGAATGATAGCATGTTGAATGCTCGATCTTCAATAATCTATTCCGATGTGGCAAATATTCATGGAAAATCGAAGACACTGTTCTTGAGTAGTAGCCATCGTTACTTCTATCGATTTTGGTTTTGTTTATCAGGTAACACAGACTATAAACGTTCCATACGTAAACGTACATCCCGTTTCGGCGTCAACAGTCGAAGTGATTTAGATGTCTATGCTCGTATTGTATTCCCGCTTAGTTTTATTGTATTCAATATCCTATATTGGTTGTATTTTCTCTACTTCCAAAGTTAAAAAAAATATAATTTAGCGCTTTCATCACTTTATGGTTGCGTCTTACATAAATTTTCACATTCTTTTGTTTGAAATAATATATTATGCATCAATTACCTATGTTGAATATAATAAACTTTCTGGCAATTTACATTCAATTCTCTTTACAACACACATTCCCGCGAAACATATACGTTCCGATACATTCACTGACTGAATCGGATATTTGCTCAGTGGTGAGCATTGCATTACCACAAGACGGCGGAGAAAAAAGGAAAATCTACCTAGATCGACATAATAGTCGTCGAACAATGCTTTTTCTCCTAAAGGGATTCATTCAAACACCAAGATATAAACGCTTAATCAAACTTATCAATGATTGTCATCCCAACATCCAATGGTCAAATGTGGAGAAAACTATCATTTATCTAAGAAATCAAACTGAACCGTATCAACGACAATATTCACCTAGACACATTGGTATATATTGGGAATTTAAAGTACCGATGGAGCTCAGTGTACTGGCCTGGGCGCGTGATCAAATCATTAAAAATCGCCCAGAAGGTTTTCTACCAAGCGAACTGAAAATATATTGGAATTATCATCAAATTGAATCACTTACAACTTGTAAGTTTTACAATACCATATCAGATACTCATGCAAGACATACTCTACTAACTTGGCCGGTAAACAAGCGGAAAAATCAGGGCACAATTGATTATATCACAACGTTAATTCACCATGCCCTAATTGACGTACCAAAAGGAAAACAAGCAATTGTCTTGGACTTTGCTGATGAACGTATACCCGGTGGAGATTTTCTTGAAGGTGTCTACATGCAAGAACAAGTATGAGTGAATGTTCACACAGACGAATTTCATTTAAACACTAATAATTCTTTATTTAGCATATTCTTTACCATTCTACTGGATATCGTGCACTACTAGATTTGAAATATAGGATGATGGGTGGCGGTTACTTCATACCAGAATTTGGTGTGCTTTATGTAAAGAATGTACAGTTTTTTCGTGCATCCGGTTTGTTAACACGCTGCGCAGATTTAATTGTGGCTGCGTGTAAGTGTTTAAACATCTATGATAGCACACAAATCTTGTATGATTTGTTTTCTACATACAGGCTATGATTTAACAGGTGATAGAGGACTCTACAGGCTGCCTTCACCACGTGACGAAGCGGACATACGGTCACGTACTTTGAGAAAATTTCGAGCGATAATTGCATCAGCAGTTGCTAATAGCGAAAAAGATGGCAGTGATACATATTTACTATTGGGACCAATTGGAACAGGTGCGTTTAATAATTCTATGGAAATGATTGCAAGTTTATTCGCGGAAGTGTTAAATAATTCACTGATGAATTCAGATGGGCCTATACGATACGCATTTGATAAGATTTGGTTTGTATCTTATGGCGATCTCGACGTTTTTAAAAATACATTCGAAGGCTACTAAAATTTTCTCGCTATTGATCGAAACGAAGTTCTTTTGTTAAATAAAGTTTTATTAAATAAAGAGAGAAGAAAAAACGATCCTACAATTGACATCTATTTTTTCTGTTTCTTTTACAAAAAACAAAACAAACAATAAAATTCTATCCATTTCTTTTTCTTTTTCTCATCTGTCAAAAAAAGTAAATCTAAATATATTCTGTTGTATAATATTTATTGGCATCCTTTTTCAATATCACGTGTAATGGGTTAAATGGGATTGTATTGTGTGATGACGTATCGGCGCATTCGGATATAACAACTGTTTCGAGATTATTGCTTTCTGGAATTGGCACGGGCTGTTTTAAATGCGATGTTCGTCGTGATTGTATGGCACTACCACAAGTTGTTCCTTCGTTTTCGCTGGTAGTTGCGTCGATTAAATTTGGATATGCGCTATGGATTGTATTATCTAGAGTATATCCCTTTTCATGAGTTAATAGTGGATTTAATTCCACGTGATTGGGTACAACAATAGCAGATAGCGTTGTATTTTCACTAAGTGGATTGACGACAACAGTTGTGACCGGTTCTGGCACTGATTCAGCAGGTAATGTCGTAGATGGTTCTGCTTCTGGCTCAGTCTTAGCGACGATCGACGCCGCTGGCTCCGGATCAGATGCAGTAGTAGTAGTAGCTGGTGCGACCGATTCGGTTACTGGCGATATTTCCACCGATGCCGCTGGTATGGAAGATGATGGCAGTTCCGGCGGGTCAGGTATTGACGTGGGTGGTGGTACCACGGGTTTTAACGGAGTCTTTGAATCTTCAGATAGATCAGCACCATAGATACCACTATCGGCTGCAGTTAAGGCAGGCTTGGGTGGACCAGCATCTGATTTTGATGGCCCTGGCTTAGAATCTGTAGCAACATTCGGTTTAAACCGAGTAGTATTAGCTTCCCCAATTTGTACTGTTCGTTCTGGGACTAGTTTCGGTTTTGCACCTGGTTTCGATGTATCAGCTTTTTGTTCAAGTAATGGTGCTTTGTCAGATGATTTTCCCACTGGCTTAGCTGCCGTCGTACTGCTGCTCGTCGAAGCAACATTTTTCTTTCCCGCACTGGATGCACCGGCTGATCGACGTCTAAAATTAAATATACATTGAAATGTCATCAATCACATTGATCGAGGATTTGAAAAAATCATGCCAGACAATCAAGCTTCGCAGAGATTACTGCCTCTCATAAGCCTGACTTCCGAAAGAATGATTACAATCGATAATGATAAATACACGTCAGAGAAAATGATCAAACTTGGAACTAGATTATTTTTCTGTGGGCAAAGCAATCGCGTGTCAATAGATATAGATCGAAGTAAATGCGATTGAAAGATTAAACTGACTATAAAATCTGTAAGCATACAACCATTTCCGACCGAGTTCCGGTACTCTGGGAATTGGAGCGAATGTCATGGGTAAACCGGATACATTTCTTGTCGAGGTTTTTTCCAATCAAGATATGTTTCAGTTGAAGCAATAATAGTTATGTAAAAGGTCTGAGTCACTCAAGGAAGCTCCCTAGTGGATAGCAGCACTTTTATTTCTCTAAAGACATGTCAATTTGATTGTTTTTGAACGAAAGACAAGAATGCGATCTGAAAATCGACGATGGAAAACGACAAATTCAATTTCTATTTAAACGTCATTCTAATGAAAATAACCAAGAAGAAACAAAGCAAACTCGAAGATTTTCATTGAGAATGTCAGATTATCTTATCCTTCCTTCCTTCCTTCCTTCCTTCCGTCAAAAATAGGAATAAAACTAATTTATATAGAACACAATAGTCAGTTTTTCTTTTCACTTTACTCATTAAAAGCCCAGAGAACTATTTAATCAGCGTATTGAACAAAGATTTACCTTTTAATCAAAACCAAAACGATAATGCCAGCTACGATAGCGCTGAGAAGAATGATCACGCCCGCAATAATTCCGATGACAACTTCTAATCAGATGAAAACAAAGGCAGTTTGATCAAAGCAGAATCGACATTTTTTCTTCGAACCTTTCTTGAAAAATCGTTTTGCTGTTGTTGCGTTTATAAGCTTCATATCTGTGTCATTCAACAATGGAATGATGGAAGTTGTCGATAAACTAGTCGTCGATGACTGAATTGTTACCGCTGATGAATCATGTCCCTTAGATGCTGAATCGATTGCAAGTCCGTCGAAATTGTATTGTGAACGAGTTGTAGATGGAACAACTAATCGAAATCGAAATTGAACTAAAGATATTTACTCAGAAGAAAGTGTTTACTTTTATATCGTATTTTGAAGTAGCGTGGTTTCTTCGAAATACTTGTTCGCAGAGAAATGTATAAAGAATTCGATGTAATTAAATATCGTGAGTTTGGTAATGGATTGTTTAATGATCGATCAGCACCACACCATGTGTAATATGCCTTCCAATTGAGATTTTTATCTTGATTTGTTTCATCAAATGATGAATCGTAGCCGAGAATTTCAATAAATTCTGTGCGACACTTAATTGCCTCTTGTAAACGTATTTGAATCGGAGATAATTCAATATACATCGAAGGATCAGCTTCTACAAAACGAAAAAAAAGAATCGATTGCAATGAAAAACCGTATCAGTCCTACCAATCGTTATTGAACAGGTCAAATTATCAGCCATCGGATGCGGATAAGCTGGGGAGATGATATATCCATACAATGTGTTTCGTATAGGCGTTGTGTCTGTGCACATTGTATGAACTAATCAAAGAAGAAATAATCATTTGAAATCTCGATTGAAAAAGGCCTATATTTACTTTGTATACAAGTATATTTAACAAAGAAATACGTCGGCGCATAAGATTTATCTCCGCATTGCAGATAGTCTCGACTGGAGACATCTATTGAACAACTTTTGTTTCCTTCACATGATGATCCATCAACGAATGCTTGACAGTGAACAAGATACTCGGAATGATCATCAGGTGCACACATTTGTGTACGCCGATAGACTTTGCGAATTGTTATATCAGTTAGCAATGCACGCTCATCGGAACAAGATATTTGATGATGACCTTCTTCAGTTGCACACCAGAATTTATCATAGGTTTTTGATTGCACTAAATAAAATTAGATCTGATAGATTCGACTAAGTTCACTTCGACAACGTCTCGTTCATTTTCAAGTATAAGCCGATCATAATTAAATAAGTGCAACATCATCGTCAAGACTAACGCGGATGTACACGCGCAAAAAAAAGAAGCTCCGAGTTTTATACACTTATATAGGTGAACTCGATTGCAGACATGAACATCGCAATAAACTAGTTAGATATTCCTTGTCATGTTACTTGCTTCTTTTATGAATTTTCATCGCTCTAAGATATATCCAAGTGTATTTTATTAGTTTTTCTCATATATGATATATTACTTTCCTTCGAACTTCCACTATTTTTTCATTGGATACAAATGACTAACAGATTCTATGACAACAATCTCGCAATACATACGATCGAATTATCCAGAGGATGTCGATACTCTAACATAATTCTCGAATCGCTCACTCGTCATGAAGCAATGTTAGATATATATATCAAGTTGACAGTGATCATTGTGAAGCTAAAGCAATGAGAGATACATACCTAATTGTGAACAATAGTACAAACTGGTAACAAAGGCCAGGATGTACTCAGGCCGAAGCCATACGACCATCCTACATCGGATGTATGTATAATTCAATGTTCGAGAAGATTTCTCATCATTGGTAACAACGACGGGATCATTGTATGAGAAAATGCGATCTGAAAACATGAAATAGAATAAGTTAATATTAATCATTATTAGCAAAAGCAATTTCAATATTAGAAATTTGCCATCACAGACATTCTCTTGGGGAAATCGATGAAAATTTTCATATTTGCTACTACACAAGAATGTTTTACATATGTAAAGACTTCAAATGAGAAAAGAAAATACGATCGATAATCGACAACAAGTTGTTTTTACTAATGGATGAAAAGATGTTTTATTTATCAACTTACATAATTATTGCTCGTGTTTTAGCAAATAGATGATAACAAGATCTGCGTGTGTTATTCTGTTCGATGTCCATTGGATTGTATATCATTCGGAAAGCAAATCATTTACAGATCTCGCGTTTTGTTATGATAACATACAAAGAGATCGTTGTTCTTGCTTGTCATCTTCGAACCGTTCTATACACATTCTCTCACGTACGTTCTCTGATGTCTATCTTCTCGTCGTATACAAAGCGTCTTAAAAGCAATCGACATAATGAGTCGATGAGAGTTGTTTTGATTATAGACTACGGGTTACTTTAGGCGGTATATTCATCAGATGATGAAAACGCGGAATCCTCTCAATGCATTCGATTCCTAGTCGTCATTATCATTGTCTGTCTGTCCATTAGTCAAAAGAAAACGAGACAAAGAAGACTGATGAAAGAATTACATTAGAATATCCTTTTTCTCCTCTCGCTCCCGCTCTCTCTCTTTCGGTGTCTTTTCTATTTGTTGAATACTCAAATAAAAATAAATCAGGGATCAATTGATTTGCTTACACACGCGCAAAAAATTGTTTTTTACATGTTGTAGACTAAGCGATATAATTTGACATCGCACGCGTGAACAGCAGAGAATAATTGACTGATGATGATAGGAAGATCACTCTCAATGAGTTTCTGACAGTATAAATTAGAAATTCAAATTTGAAGAAGATCGATGTGATTTGTGTTCGAATTTTCCTCTCTCACAAATGCAGATGTCAATGTCAACAAAGAAAAACGTGTGTTTATATGCAAACTACTTTCCCCTCTGTACTTTATCATCATAATATGTATAAATAGAACGACAGTTGACAATTAATCTCTTCCACGTGTAAGAAACACATACGAATACGAACTTTGACAGCTCACGACGTACTTAGTCCATTCGAACGATGAGTGCTATGATTGAAAAAGAAAACTGTTATCTGGCAATTGTATTAGACTATTAGATGGAACGATCTTGTCGAGCTGTGCATACGCGGTTACTACTAAACTAGAGTGAAAAAAGCTAGCAGGATGTAAGAAGAGAAAGAAAAAACGAAGGCTAGAGAGAATTCATTCTTTCTTCTGGTTTTCATTCCCGGAAGAACGACGAGCGCAATGTTAATAGAACGTAGAATAGAATGTAAAATGAATGTGTCGATTCTCTGCGAGAAAAAAAGATACTGAAGAATAGAAAGCACAGGAATTATGTTCATCAGCATTGAAATATCTTTATATTCGCTGGCTATATAGGTAGACTGATATATGTAGTTCCGTTGAAGACTAATCAGAACACATTACAGATCTATTTTTTGCTTTGAGAATGATAATAGTGTAAAGATGACGATGACGACGAAATAGAAGACGAGAAGAGAAGAAAAAAACTCAATCATGCAAATTTATGATTATTCTTGATGAGATGTATATATGAGAGAAGATTTAGTTAGACGATGACTATGAGTTCAAAGAGAAAGAAGAAAAGGAGTAAATACGTACACAAAGTCCAATTAAGATCAAAATTTCTCCTTATTGGAACACCTAAAATAGAAGAAACAAGGAAGAATGAGAGCGGAAGGATGGTACTCGATGCAAAATCGAACTCGACAATCTAAGCGTGCGCGCACGAGAGAGAGAGGGAGCGAAAGGGAAGGATCTAACTAGAAGCAACTGTTACAGTTAGAACATAATAATTCTCTTCAATCAGAAGAAAAGATTTCTTCGACTAAAACGCTTTCTTTTTAAAAAAAAAACTGATCGACATTGTCAAAGAAATACTTCCTTTTCTTTATGACCGAAATCTCCTGAGAAAAGAATGTCCGTTCATTTCTTAGTACGTGCTAAAGGAGAAATTTTTTTTTTCGATGCTTTAGCTCACTCGACGAGTTTCTTTCCCCTCTGATATCAATAATAATTTGACGGAAACAAGAAATCTATAAAAGCTTGCATTTTATTTCTGTATACGCAGTCTTAAAATGAGAACAAAGAACCTTGATTTGTCAAGCAATTCTTTTTTTTACGATGTAACTCATCGAAGAAAAACATCAACATTACGAATAGTTGGTCGACAACGACAAGAATCGATCAAAATTATTTTGTCGTCTAGTACGAGTCTTCTGTTTCCTTACTGTCTGTCTGTTTTCTTTTGTGAGTGAACGCATACAACAAATAAGAAGAGAAATGACAAAAAAGGAAAGATGGGAAAAGAGAGCATTGAACAAGTTGATGGCAACGGCTTCACTATGTGCATCAGCCGCCTTACATTGATCATAATGATGATAACGATCACGATATTGCATTGACATACATATATACATGAAATGACATGGAAACTAAATAGGACACCGAAAGAATCTGATGTCCGTTGTCGCCGCTAGCGAGTTGTTCGCCTGACTGTATTAAATTGCGTACACTTTATCAATCAGTCTTTTCTGCTTTATTCTCGTTAACACGCTAATTGAGGGGCGGTCGACATGTAACAGACTGCAATTTGAGAGATTCATTTGGGCTTTTTTCTTTTACTAAAGACAAGCGAGAGAAAGTCAAGAAAAAAAAACGCACGAGTAGGATGAATGATGCTAGGAGAAGAAAAAGCCGGAGAGTGCATGAAATAATCGATTTTGGTTCGGCTTTTCCGCACTGTCGTTTTGCGTCCGCACATCCGTAGCATACATAACACAAGCAAAACGAGAGAGGATGATACAAAAAAGGGAAAAAAGAGAGAAAACCGATCTTCTATCGTGACAAGTTAGGAAATATGTTATTGTTATATGCAAGCAATAGTCAGAGACATGTTCTGTGCAATTGTTTTTACTCAAGAGTATATTCGACTTTTCTTTTATCGAACTTGTATACATAAGTATACACAGGTTTTGATTTCCCATGCGATATGAAAACAAAGAGTTAATGATAGACATCAACATGATAACCTTTTATTAAACAAAATCAATTAGTCATTCATTTTATTTATGTACAAACATGTCTTAGATGATATATCTACAATAACAGCAGTTCACATTTCATTACCATTAATAGGGGAATGGTTCAGTGCGACCGAATTTTAAGATCATCGTACTAGAAACAAAAGAGCAGAGAATGAAACTATGAAATTATCTCATGACGAAGCGAACAAACCTAATAAAAATAGCCAGATTCTGACCAAATATAACTATTCCAGGGTAGAGAGGCTCTCTTTTCTGAAAAACATAGTAACCAAATAAGAGCCAAGTGCTTGCAATCAATGAACCAAATGCCAATAAGAATGAAATAAACAGAAGACTTCGAGCGCCTATGAAGAGAAAGAGAAGCGAAAGAAAGACGATAGAGTCTATTTGATCTTGATCATCTGAATGATTTTCATACCGAATTGATTTAGACACCGATCACCATCGATGTCACCAAGCACTTTCGAGTTCGCGATTGAATTAGCTCTGAAATCTCAATCGATTTATTTGCTGAAAACATCTCTTGCAGGAAACTCACAGAATAAGTGCAAACGTTGCCACAATGCCAATCAAATAATGGAGTTTATTGACATGTGTCGATGATGAATACTGACAAGACATATCGATAACTAACCACCAGCCAATTGCAAACTATCGCGAAACAAAAAACAATGCGAAACATGTCATGTACATTCATTTTCTATCTCACATACAAGAACACCAGATAGGATCGAAGCAATCATGTTTCGATTGGCATGTTTTGATACTCCGAGTTTGGACATTTCCTATGCTTTTTTTTGGCTGTAATAAAGAGATATCTAATCTTAGTGCACTTTCATTCTTTGCGGAATGATTCGATTTAATCCAATCAAATGTAGATATACGTAGCATGCTTTTCGAGAGAGGTCAACGAACCGACGGTCAATAATGGAGATAAAGAAAGAGAAATTTTCTACTCAATGAACATGTCCTTACTATCAACGCTCGATCCAATTATTCGTTCGGTATTTTCCCGATGGACAGCTTTGCAATTAGCAGTCGCTCATTCCATGGGAGGTTCAGAGAGTGAAGCAAAGTACGAAGCGTTCATTAGTACATTTGCAGAGTTTTTAACACGAAATTTACGACCATCACTACCTGTGTCAGCTGTGGAAAGCGAGATTCAAGTATATCTGGACGAAGTTCTCGACGAAGAGTTCAACACTGAATTAGACGATGGTTCAAGTCAAGAATTAGCTCAATTATTTGTAAGATACATTCATTTAATCTTACAAGGAAGACTAAATGATGTTCAGCAAGAGTTACAATTACAGCAAGCAATGACGCCAGCAGTTCAAAAGTCGATTCGGAATGAGAATGATGCTGAGAGTTCAACATCGGATGAGGATGACGATGATGATAGAATCGACGAAGAGGAAGAAGAAGAAGTCGGTGAAGGAAGAGCGAAACCACAATCAATGGATGTTGATGAAGATGGATGGACAACAGTACACCGAAAGCATCCAGGAAAAAAATGAAATTTTCTGTTTTTGTTAAAACTTCCGTGATCATTTTTTAGTTGAACTCGAAGACAGATCTTCCTTGTTTTCTAGATGGGTATATTCCGTTTCGGAAATGCTGAATACTCGACTAACTTTTTCGTCGCATCGATCTGCATGTTTCTAAGTACCTTATGCTGTATATCTGCGTTTGCTTCGCCTTATTGGACAAAACGCTACCTTGATACACCGCAAGATTTTCAAAACATTGGCCTGTGGGAATTATGTTTATACAAATATCGTCATTATAAAGATGATCTGCAAATACCATATACAGGCTGTTTTTGGTTCTGGACAAACGAAATGTATCGTTTTCGAGATTGGATTATTCCACGTAAGTTTTTGAAGAAAGCCAAACAACAGAATGTTTAAGGAAAGATACGTTTAGCGTGGTTCAAATGGGTACAAGCATTTGCGACGCTGGCGTTTATTTTTACTATTGCAACTATCTCCAGTTTGGCTGTAGCAGTATTTTCGGCATTTCGCTGGCAATGGAGATATCAACTAATTTGGTGTATCATGTCGTTTGTAATTGGTAATAGCCGAAAAATTCCTTGTCTTTTCTTATGTGAAACAATCACTTTTTATATTTTGTTCTAGTTGCATGTGAATTGGTAGCTTTGTGTATCTACGGTGTTTATAGTCAAGATCGGCTTTGGATGCCGCGGCCCGAGTTTAATTATCTTTCGTACAGTTATTGGATTGAAGCTGGTGCACTTGTTTTAGCTTTAACTGCCTGTACGTTTAACAGAAGCACACATTCGCCAATAGAATTTTGTTTGTTTGCATAGGTTTATTGTTTGGCGCTGAAATTCAATTTCTTCGTGAACCGTTCGAAACCTATATCGACGAAAAGCACTATCACGACCAATTTCCCTATTCACCATCCAATGGTTCACATCTTCAACTGACTCAATCTCGCAACCGTTTTTCTCAATATGAAGTCTAGATCAAAATCATCTACTACATTCCAAATAATCTCTCTCTCTTTCTTACTATTTGTACATTCCGATTAATCTCTTATCTATTATTCTAATCATGTGAATAAGCAAACGATGTTTAGATTTAGTTTTAAATGTAAAATATTAAACAACGAACGAGCGTGTTATCAAAAGGACAACGCTCACCGTCTCAACCGTAAATGAATTGCTTGGAAACACACGTCATACAATAAGCATTTATTAAACACATTTTCCTCTTTTAGGCAGAGAAAGTTTTTCTTCGCGCCATATGTCGTGTTTGCTGTCCCTTGAAGAAAGAGTAACTTCTTGTTTGTTCTTTGATGAAAAAAATGGAAACTCTTTCTCGCACGTTCCAACCAAGAGTTGCGGAGACATTTCCGATGAACGTTTTAAATATAGAAAGCCTTTTCTAATTACTTACAATACTCGATTCTTCCTTAGTGACAAACTCAAATCAGCACACTTGAAGAACAAAGATTAGTGATTTCCCGTAATGGTCAAACCAAAACCTCTATTTATGCTATTTTTTCTTGTCCTTGTCGTTTTGGCCATTCTGAAGTATCTACGAACAAGAAAATTTTTACCAGTGGCAACACCAACTGATTCAACAATGTGTCTCGATTCATTTGATGCCAATGGATTGTACAAATCAGTTTTTCACATGTCAATGGTACAGTTCATGGTTCCAAAAACGTTAAGCCATTGGGTGGAAAACAAATCAGGCTTTGAAATCGGTGCACCATCGGTGTCCACTTGGGGACATTTGGGTTTATATGATGCTGCAGCGAAAGTCGATGCGACAAATTTCGCCGCACAAACTCTATGGGAATCGGGTATTAAAGAAGGCGGACCATTTCTTTGGAAGAATAGAACTCTGGGAAAGCATTTCATACGTGATGCAGTCGACTTGCACGGCATACCTGATGAATCGTACGATTTTGTATGTGGAACTGATATTTTAGAACATGTCGCGAATCCATTCAAAGCATTACTTGAGTGGTTGAGAATAATGAAGCCAAATGGTTTACTGATTGTTATTGTACCTTATCAAAATGTTACATTCGACCATAAGCGTAATGTGGCTAAAATTGAACACTTGATTGATGATTATCAGAAGAAGGTCACAGAGAAAGATCTGACACATCTAGATGAGATTCTTCGTTTGCATGATCTTGGAAGAGATGCAGCAGCTGGTGGTTTCGACGCTTTCAAAGCACGATCGGAGAAAAATTTCGAAATCCGCGGATTGCATCAACATGTCTATGATCAAAGATTACTCTACTACATTTATCGTTGTTTAAACGTCGAAGTTAAATCTCAATATATTTGGGATTATCACCAATTAATAATCGGTCAAAAACGATAACTTTTTGCAGGTTTTTTTTGTTCTACAGCTTCTTGTATGCATCATTCTTCTCTGTGATATTAGTTAACGCTCATCTCCTAATAAAATTTCACTTATATACGGCGTTGTGAATCGAAATAGTGTATATTACTCTGTTTTCTTAGGAAATGTAACCTTGTAAAGAATTAAACATGGCCGTAAGTAATTCATCACTAGAATGTATATCGTCCTATATGCTCAGAAAAGAAAAAGTATAGTTTACTATTCGACAACTGTATTAAAAAAGGAACGGATAAGAAGCACATTGACAATGAGAAAGGTACTCAATAAAATGCTCACTAAACTAGCCAGAAAAGCAGACGAATGTTGAATACTGATACACGTCGTCTGCGCTTTACGCGCTGATTGATTAATTAGAGCTGTCACAAACATCATAATACGAAATCATTAGCAAGCTCTGTATAATCGGAACCAGCATTGCCATTACGAAGCCTAGACATAACAACCGCTCGCACACTAATCGTCGCCTGGATGACTACCAATAGAGCTGTTAGGTAGAGCAAAACATAATTGGGCCATATTTGGTGTGACAGGTTTAGGATCGCAAATGGTTGCGCTAACTTCACTAAACCAAGAGTTTTCATATTGAAACAAAACTATGTAAGGTGTATATGAAAATGAAAATAGTATCTCTAGTGTATACGGTGTCAAAAAATATGCGCGAGAATTTCCAGGACTTTATTTGATGATATTGATCTGTTAGCCTAAATGTCATTTGATAAGTTTATTCATTTTTTGAAATTTTTCAAAGATTCTGGCTCAAACGGATTGTTTTAATGCGTGTCCAGCGTTTGATGCGGCAAATCAAGTTTTCCGGTAGATAATTGGACTTTTTAGACCGGAAAATTTAATGCAAACGGCGTATCTTAATTGAAGCGCGCACTTCTTTGTTCACATTAATTCTGATGCGATGTATTTTGGTCGAGCTCTTCCACCAGTAAGTCTCGAAAAAAGCATTTGAGAACTCTAGTTTCATGATATTTCTTCTTCCTGCATTCCCAGCGAGTCATCTTGAATATCTCATCTATATCTGGAAAAAGTCATATTTTCAAAGAGTACAAGTTCTAACATCAAGATTAGTCGCTTTACTACAAGTGTAGTCTTGTTTTTCTATCGTATTTAAGTATTCAACACAAATTCATTTTGTCGTTCAGGTTACTGTGTCTTTGGTAAAGATGTATCGAAAGAGTTCTCTCTATTTCCGTCGGGAAACGCTGTTTGTTTGCAAATTAGACACTTTCTATCACCAAAATAAAACTTTCTCCTCACCTGATCAATTTCGAACAAGTCACGCATTTTTTTAATAGTCTATTCTCTGTTTTGCGTAGATAGTTTTATAGTGCCAAGCATAGTAAGTCAAAATATTTTCTTCATCTTGCATCGATTAGCTCCAATGCTTTCATGACATACCATCTGCGTCGTCAGATTTCTTCGTCATCAGGGAGGAAGATTTCATTCTCAATTGGAAATCGTCAGAAGCTAGTTTATTGATATGGAAATGAAAGCTTCTTAAATTCTCTGACGAAGACTATTAATTTGAACACGACACAGCTTTTCTAGAAAAGCATTAGATATCTTTATTGCAAGAAGTAAATGATTTATTAGACGCTAGGGTGAACAACAAGCAAACTAAGATAATAAATTTAAAGACGTGGTTCACTAATGTGAATAGATTCAACAAAGTGAATTCGAAAATATTCTCTTTGTTTGATTATTTAGTTCTTTCCGTTTGAGACACTTTCCGTCGATACAGTTATTCCAGATTATGATAATAGTCAAAACTGATTGAATTATCAAATTAGTAATCCCTATGTTTACTTAGTCAAACGTACGAAAACTAGTATTGGCCTCATAAGAATGTCCACATTCTGTATGATTAACAAGTGCCAGTTATTTAGATTGTTTGTCTCTTTTTCTTCTCACACGATAGAGATACTCATGATTTTTTCTCTGTCCGACCATAAAATCATAGATATTCAAAGAAAATATGCTTTTATTTATTAATCTTTGTCACTACTACTCTTCGTTTGTTAACGTTCTTGACAGACAAATATACTGACGAACAGCAATCGCTACGTTTGGTTGAAAAAAATTTCCTTTCACTATAGTTACAAGATAAAAGGGCAAGCGAAAGAATAGATGATACTTGACAATGAACAAATTTCGATGATGATTGATTCTGCAATTTGTTCGAGATTTGATACATGACTTGACCGACATTCAATTGTAGACATCATTAGATAACAAAAATAGCTTTTTCCACTTAATTTCCACTGAAATGCGTGCTTGCTGTTGACTAGCAGTGCAAATTTTCTATTCCTACATTGACGAGAGCGATCGCTACTACGTCTTGCCAATCAATTCATAGTAATACGAACTATATATCATTTCGATAAAAATATGACGGGATGACGAGACAATGTCGGTTGAGTAGAGCCATTTTGTTCCTGATAGCACATATCAGATATGTTTTTTTCATTCGTATAAACAAAGAGGCAAACGATGTAACCTTAAGTCAATAAAATCGCGATTAGAGTCCGAATAATAATAACTTCCAGAATCTCGTTTTCTCTCTCTCTCTCTTGTATTGTACGTCAAATGAAGATGGATCGACTGCTGTGAGCATTCAACATTGACACATCGATAACTACTGATAACATCGTTAAGGTTTCTCTAACACAATCTCCTTCGTCACAAATGTGTAGAATGTTGAGCTAGGAAATATACGTTTTTGATTACAAGTTTGATTTAGTACTAATGTAAGTATCATGCACCTACATTAGTTTTTCTCTTGTCGTTTTTATGAGAGAAAAAACAGAGACAGCAGCATCAGAGTGAGCCTTTAAGCTAAGAGAGAAGGAGAAAAATGAAGAGAGAGAGAGGGAGAGAAAACGAGAAAAAAAAGGAAGAGAAGCAGTTAGACTCTACAAGGAGATTCATTTAGAATTTCTTTTTAGTTTCTTGAACGCTGACGATGAAGGACATACTCAATATCACATCTGCTCAATCGACTATCAATACTCAGCTAGCTGATCGCTTACTTTCGGTGTACTCCTTGGTTCTTATATTGATCGGCACACCGTGCAACTTCTTGTGCTGTTTAATCTACTTTCAGAAGGGAAATCGTGGAAATTCTATCAAGACCATCTTCGGTTATCTAGCTGTACTTGACACTTTTGTTTTATATACGTTTAATTTGAATTACGTCGTCCGAGAATTCAATATCGATTATGATATAGTACATACTCCAAAATTGAATTACACAAATCATACAATTGAATATATACGAAATGAAAGCATTAATATTGTAATTAAAAAAAAGAATCTGGAAGAATATTCATTATTCATGTGTCGATTTCTTTCATATCTAGGTAAGAAGAAATAACTTGACAAATCTGTCAAGTGCAATCAAATAATTTCAAATTGACACGCTTTTAGAAACATTCTTTTTTCCTTCTAGCTTTCTCTATCTTACAAACTTCCTCTTGGGTGTTGGCATTTGGCTCATTAAACCGCTATTTACTAATATCAAAATTAACTTTATTTGAATTCGTATGCAAACGATGTTATACCATAATTATCTGTCTAAGTATCACCTGTACATTCTTTCTTGCCAATATGCACATCCTTTGGCTGAATGGTTATTATTCGAATACCGGACAAGTGATTTGTTATCAAAATCCATCGTATCCAATATATATGTTATGGTATCAGCGCGTGCATCTTTGCGTTTATTCGGCGTTGCCAAGTGTGGTTCTGTTTATTTTGAATACTTTACTCATGCGAATAATCTTTGCAAGTAAGAAACGTTTGAACAATCATCAGCGTGCAGTTCTGCTTCCTGAAAATGAAACGACGGATAGTCGACGAGGAAATCATCTTTTCAAACACTTCACTAATCCATTGACGAGTAAATTAAACAAACAAGGAGCAGGACGTTCAATGAACCGACATAGTAGAAAATTAACTTTATCATTAATATTTATCACATTATCTTATTTTATACTGACATTTCCCTCTACAGTTATTTTCTCTTTCTTTCGTTCATATATCGAACCACCTCGACTACGACGAACTATTTCACTCTTGTTCACGAATTTATCTACTACAACACATGCAATACGATTTTTCATCTACTTTGCTTGTTCGATCGACTTTCGCAATGACTTTTATGGTTTATTTCTATTTAAACGATCCTTTCGTATACAATACATTAAAACTCAACCAAAGAAACAAGAACAACGTCCTGAACAGCCCGAGCATGTAGACGATGGCCCGAGTGATTCAGTTGTCATTCACGACAAACTCGAAACAGATTTATAAAGAAACTTCGAAGTTTTTTGTTTCCTATTGGCTGACTTAGCTACCAAAAAAAAGGACCTTAAAATGCACTAAAGTGACGTTAAAGCGATATTTTTTGTTCATGCGCGTGCTTAACAATGTTCAATGTTGATGAACGTGCTTCTCTGTCAACAAAAGCGATCAATTCACTTGTGCATAGATCCCGACTTGAATAATTGCTCTCGATAATAAAAGCGACGCAGCATCACGAAATTTCCGTCATTGTCAATTTCCAACAGCTCTCTTCATTAATTCCGATATTGTCGTCATTCGTGAGAGAAGCAAAAAAAAAAGAAAAGGAACTTAATTAATATGATGTTCGCAATCGATTACCTTCGGAGAATAGCCTTATTCGAGATGTTGTGCCTCAGGATATCAAAATCAACATGGAGTGTTTTTTGTTCAGAGAGATTCCCATTGATATGAAACATCATCATAGACAACAACAACGAGTGCTGTGAAGTGGATTCGAACCATGTTCTCTATTTATTTCAATACATTTTACGAATTCATCCAAAACATTGCATATATATACAAAGAAAATTTTTTTAACTATCTAACAAAATGTCAATGTTTGTGCTTGTCAAACTTCGTTTTTGCACATTGTTTGTTGAATACGTTTGCGTAATTCATTGACCTTGGCTTCTTGAGCACGGATATGTTCATCGGTGATGTTCACATACTAGAAAGAAAGTGAAAAATACAAGATGCAGATTGGAATTTCATTTAACGAACGTCAATTAATGGTTGATCACGTTGAATATAAATCGTAGGATTCTTTTGGAATTGTTTATTTTGGCCGAATAATGCACGCGAATTGCAATAGAGATGAAGTGATGTTGCTAAACTTATAACCACAGTTTCTGGCGACATATTTAAACCAACACCTGCGCAAAAAAAGTAGGTAAAAACATATATTGACATTACTTGAGTGCTAAGAAGGTCTCGATGAGATTAATGATCTCTGGCAGAAATCTTTGAAATGATTAATTAATAGCGAGCAGGAAAAATCATACTTTCATTTGTAGAGTATTAAATGTCAGGTACAAGACTTTTCAGTATTCTGATTAGAAGAAGAAGCAGATCATCGCTTTATCCAGATGTCCTAACTGTCATAGGTTCTCTTTAGTTTCATCCAGGTCTACAAATACTTTTTATAGGTTCTGGCAATTTCACGTGTTCGAAGGGTTTTTCATCGATATCGATGGGCCGAATGTTTTGAAAGCGTTTTTCCCAGAATAATTGCCGTGGTTTGGTTTTCTCACTCGGTTTGCCACCGTTAGCCGACGCTGTTGGGTTATTTGGATTGATAACTTGCGCTTTGACTTCATCGCGCTCGATTGGATAGTGCGTAACAGGTTGTTTAAAGATTGGTAAAGTTTGTCGTAAGGGACATCGTAGAGAATTATCACCTTTGGAGCCTGAAGAGAGCGTGAAACTTTCTTTATGGAAAAATGAGAAAGAATGGACTTACCTCGAGCAACAGAATTACCATCGACGGCTGGTTTGACACCGTTCGTATGGCTAATCTTGAGCTTTTTCGACGCATTATCTTGTTGTAATGTTCGAGTCAGTTTTGGTGGATGGATGTTCAATGAACGATTGGAATTCGACGATAATAACAATGATGAGGATGAATTGCTTGTTCGACCTGCTGATTCATGCATGTTTTCTATCTAAAATTTTATATATTTATTTACAAATTATTGTCAAAATTACGAATAATAAAATCTACATAAATTGATTTATTTCGACATATTTCAATAGAACTAAAATACAAATGAAAGAAGAGATTCCATGAGTTCTGTTTTTTTCTTTGTTTTGACTAGTCAAAGCGAGATGAAATTGTCTGAATTAACTCGTTAAGTAATGCTGAGATTGTAGAATCGAATGTCGATTCAATTGGATTGTCGTTCGACGAGAAAGAATGTGTTCGACGTTTTTTGTTGACTGTCACTGATGGAGTAGAATTTTTAGTACGTAGACGTTTACTGCCACGACTTAGACTTTGTTCGTCGGTTACCGGTTGTTGAAAGAACTGGTCGGGAGCGATTTTAGTTTCAGTCGGTATCAAATTTGGATGATGATAATGGCAATAGACTCGTTCGATAATCCCATCGATATGGGAAGATTTTTCATCGAATTGTTTACTAGTGAGTTTCAACGGGTGCGTAGTTGAACGTCGTTGAGGTGTTTGTTGTTGTTCATAGTATTCCTTCTGATGCGGCTAAAATATTCCAATAGAATAGATTAAGATTTCAATGAGATTCTACCTGATAATCTCGTTTAATCGATAGTTTTTCAATGTGACTATCGAAACAATAAGGTTTGGTATTAATCCCAATATGTTTCGATTTCGGTAGGCGTGTAAATGCCCGTGCTAGTTTATCCACACGATATTCACAAATAAATAGATCTGTAGACAAAATTCGACTACCATATTCACAGAAAGGTTTTCCTTTACAGAACGTTCCCGGATCTAATACATAACACGGACGAATGATCGATGTAAGTTCGATGGAATCAGTCGTTGATGGAAAACGAAATACTTCATTGGGGAAAAATTTACGATTTACTTCGTGAAATGTTTCATACGGACGTAAATAGTAAAAGCCCGATGCACGTGCAACGTTCTTCTCATCAAACCAAAGACGTTCGATACAAAGAATCTCATACGATGTTGAATCTTTGCTTTCTTCTCCTTGTTTGGCAACAAAATAAGAGTCGTTAACGCGAATCATCAAACCATCGGAACGTGTTATAGTCGAATAGAATGCTGGATTGGTTGCTTCTGTTATACGTACATTTGTTTTGAGACAATTCAATGGATTTGTTTGACAAAGTGGATGACATTCAAAACAAAAGTATGGACGAGATGTATCGGTGATTTTAACACATGCGGTGTGTTGCCATAACTAAATAGAAGGAAAATCATGGGTGAATTTGTCGGTAGATGTATCTTACTTGACAAGCATAGCATCGTACCACTGAAGTCTCATCAAAAACAGATTCACATCGGCAATGGATGATATAATCGTTGAAAAGAGTGGTTTTTGTTGTTCGATTCGTATTGGTTGAATTAGGATTGACTGTTTTATATACGATAGGTGAAGTACGATCTATGTTGAATACGATATCGTAGATAGCTTCTCTGACTTGCCCATCAATCACTTCTTTTTCATGAAAATGTGTGACAAAATCTTGAAAAATCGCGAGATTTTTCTCGTTTTGATTGGTATCATTTAATTCATTGAATAAGTCAAACGTGAGTCCATAATGAACTTTTAAAATATCGGTAAAATACTTTTGTAGTTCTTTCACAGCTCGTCCGACATCGGAATCCTCGCCGCAGTAAGTCTAAAAAGCAAAAGCGTTATCTTAAGAATAAGAAAATAATGACTCAACATACGATGGCATTGGAGAATAGCAAGAAGAAATCCTGTTCGAAGGATGCATACGTCAGATACTCTCCATTGTCTAATTTACTATGTATGATTGATAAATCTATTGGTTTGGAAATAATCTCATAATACATGGGAAATAATCGCTTTAATGGGCATTTTTTTAGAGCATTCGATGGATAAACATCACTATTATGGCATTTGTAATTCAGTAAGAGTTCGAACATGTCCTTGAGCACGAGTGTCAGTTGTGCTAATTGAGCATAATAGCAAGTTTGATTAACTAATTCGAGGTAGTATTGACCAGTTTTACCGAAATGAGATCGACGAATATGATTAGCGAACAAATATAAGAAATCTGAAACAAATTTTCTCAGGTTGCAAAGAACAGACTGAGGAGATGTGTTTTACCTCTATGCGAAATAGATTTGGAATGAGATAGTTGTTGTGGCGAGTATGGATGATAATAATTTTGCGGGAAGAGAAGTGGCACGGATAATTCATCAGCTTGTTGTTTATGTTGATTGTTGTTTTTATCTGTGCACTCTTTTTTTTCTTTGATTCGTCGAAAGTTCCGTTTGAGAAATATCGATGATTGGGAAACAATTCGTTTTTCTTCTTCAGTTAATTCTTCTATTTTCACTGAAACTTTGTGAAGATGCTTTCTAGTTGGAGATGGAAAATCGTGCTGAATTGGTGGAGGAATAGGGCGTTTATTTGGTAATTCTTGCTTTTGTTTAGATTCACTAGATTTCTTCTTTGGTTGAGCGACAGCTTTCAAAGGTGAAGTAATAGTGACATTGGTTCGTTTTTGACTATGCCAATATATATCGTAGGGAAGTTTGTAATCTATGTAGGAGAGCTTGTTCTCATCAGATTGGAATATAGCGGTATAAAATGGTGGCAATGAGCCTGAAGAGATTGGTTGTCGACGTGTGGAGCGATTTTTGGTACTACAACAAAGGAATATTCGTTGGTTTTATTGAAAAGTGAATAATCATGACAATAATATACTTCGCTGATTTGGAATCAAGTTCATTCGCGGTCTTGTAGAAGTTCGAACGAAGACCATTCTTAATAATATTCTGTTTGGGTAGCTCATCTGGCAGAATATCATTGTCACTAAAAGATCAATAGGACTCTATGATAATCATAAAGATTTGTACCTTACCTATCTGAACATGAAAGATCTTGCGACTCATTGCTGATAAGTTCTGGTGATAATGGTAATATTATTAACTTCTTCCTTTTTCTTTCGGGAACAACTGGATGAACTGTCACTGATATTTTTCGTTTTCGACTGTCAATTGTATTGTTATTTACTTCTCTTGATGGCGGTGGAGATTGTAAAATAACAACGGCTGGAATTTCTTCGCTTACACGACGGTCAGTTGACGCTATTGGCCGAGGTCGTTCCTTGTTATGTTTCTCTTTCGATCGTTGTCGCCGTTTTCTCGAATCGTGTTCAAATGTGGAGATCGGTGAGTTTAACTTGATCGTCATGGAATCATCAACATCTGCCGGTGATGGGGGATCGATAACGATTGGTAAATGACTTTGCTTTGCGAAGAGTTTTGATTTCGAACCAAAGGTATGGCCACGTTCTACAGCAATATGAAAATGTGGATAATATGTACGCACTAGAAGCTTTTGGATATGTTCATAATGAAGCTGGATTTGTTCTTCGGTAGATAATTCTTTTTTGTATTCATGCTTTGGTCTTTTCAGAATATGTTTTTTAGGATTTGATTGAAGGATATGAAAGAGATTTCTTGGTTCGTGTCGGTGTGACGAGGAACTTCGCCGATTGACTGACCAATCCAATTTGAATGATGATGACACTGATGGAATATCAGTCTTGTCTAGTTCTTCCTTTTTCATATCAAACGTATCCGGCGATATTTTGAAATAATTCATTTTAAAGATTTTATTCAAAATATTATGACGTGTTTTGAAAAATTGTTGCTTATTTGATGAAGCGAACTTCCTGTCGATATGTAAACATGAATTTAGATGTACGGATAATGTGTTAACATCGGCGTAATCACGGTAGCGTTGGTCGCGTAGTTCATCTTCAGCATGTCCAGGTAGAGACTGCAGATCCGTCGCAATTGGAATGATGGAAATATTCAACGATGAATCGATTGATTGACGTTTCCGTGGAGAGAGAATATCTTCAGTTGATGCGTTATTGGCTAAGGAAAATTCTTTAGAACGCACTGATTTCCGTATAGTAATTCTCTTATGACGACTGGATGAACGTTTTGAACCAGACGATTTCTGCGTGGTGTTCATAGGAATATCCTCTAGCGCTTCGGTTGGTGGCGATTCTGGCGGGAGATCATCGACAAATTGCATAGTATCTAATGAATGTGATGAACCATGTCCATTTGTACTTGTAGTAATCATTGTTGGTGTTGTACTACTGTTTGATGGTGGATCTGTCTGTCGAATCGTTTCAATTAATTTGAACCAACCACGCATTTGACCAGGCGAATCGACATTTGTTGATGAAAACTTTGTTTTATCCTAGAAACTGTCAATGGAGAGAGAACTCTCAAAAATACGGTTAAATTCTCTTACCATATGCTGATTTTCACTTGTCATCGTTTAGGATATTTTGTTGAAAGCATCGATTAATTGAAAAAAAAGAATGTTACATGTAAATAGACGTTTGTTCAATAATGCATATGTACATCATGTAAAAAAATTGACAGATATGAGAACGATATTAATAAAAAAAAAAGGTAAATTGAAATGTTCGAACGTCTTCTTCTTTCTTTCGTTCGTTCTTTCTTCTATTCTCTTCTTTCGATAATTGTTTGTTTATTGTATTGCATTTAACCTCCTATTTATTCTTTATTGTTCTTTGCTATCTCATTGGATAAATGACTCATATGTCAATCGTCTATCTTTGTGTCCGAGTTTAGTTTGGAAATAACAACCAATAATCAGAAGAATGTGATAAAAGATGTCACTAGATAATTATACGCAGAATATCACCACGTCGATGAATTGTGTGATATCTTTCACTACTGTTTCAATAGTTCAGAAAGGTACATAGTGATTATGATGTACATGTTAATTATTTATTTTTGATTTGTCGAAGATGGTTTTTGCATCGCTGAATGTCAGAATCACTTAGAGGTAGTGAATGCCGATGAACGAGATTTAAAACGCGTTTGTAATAGAAACGTGCTGTTTTGTAGTCACCCATTCTCAGCTCGTAAATCGTACCGATAAAATCATAGTTGAGCACCAAATTTGGATGATCACGGCCGAATAGATGTTGCTCTTTGATCGCCAGAGCTTTTTCGAAGAATCTTAGTGCTTCTAAATAGTTTTCTTTATCATATAATATACAGTAGCGAGTTTGCTGTATGACTGATCTAAACCAGAGTAATCCGGGACACATTTCTCGTAATTCAATAGCACTTCTGAAAACGCGTTTAGCCTGTTATGTATTTCGTCGATGTTTGAATATATAGTAGATAAACTGTAACGACATGAAAATATAGTTTCATCGAAGTTTTTCAGGTCTTGTTCATACAACTGTTTGGCATCTTCGTGATTCTCGAAGCTATATTTAACTGGTTCGATGGGATCAGGAACGGCGGATCCTTCTTGCTCCTCCGATTGTATTTCTTCCCGTGTATCCGGTGCATGGATTTTCCATAGAAGCAAATCTAAAGAATGCTGTGGTGTAAGTCCTTTGATTTTTTGTCGTATACTGTCGTTCAGCCGACGATGACTTTCGCTATTGTCATTCGTAAGCAATAAATGAATTTGATTGGGATGTTCATTTGTCTCGAATTGCTGAACATCGTGAATACGAAAAACGCTGCACACTGAAAGTAGTACTTAGTCTTCGGTGTGATAGTAACAATATTCAGTAATTGAAGCAAATGGTGCCGTCGATTGAGAAGGATCAATTTTTATCACAAAAAGAATATTTGTCAGGTTAGGATTGTTATCATTGACTCTAGCATAGAGTAAAGATATATCAGAATCTTTAGTCACAGATAAAAAAGTGATTGCAGTAGATCAATTCACCCTTTTTGTTCTTTATTCCAACAAATTCACTTTGAGATATACTTTGTCCACGATAGACAGTCAATATTTCATTGGATTGATGTTTACAGAATTGCTGTGAATGTAGAAAACCATCAGGAGGATAAAATTGGTATCCATGGTTCTAAATGCATGATTTAGTCTGATAACGAAAGGAGAATTATATGTGAACCACGTAATAGATGTCTTAGTATAATATTCTCGTCCGAATTGTTCCAATCTACCAGTTTGGTGATTATCGCTGGTGTCAACGAGTATTGAACGAAAGTAGTTGCTAAACCGTCGCACATGTTCTTGCCCAAAATCGATGTTCGATAAAATCTGTATCGGAATCTTGAGGTACACGAACGAACCATCGAGATTATTAAAGCCACTATGGTGAAAATTTTTTGTAGGTTGTTTAACGGCTTCACAAATTGAGTTTATATCTACAAAGAAACCTTTGACTTTCGACCAGGTGTTATTCCATAGTTCATGTGTGACGTGATTTTTTTGTATAGGATAAAGACGGCATGAAGTTGAGGAATTTCATTGATCAGAATGATCAATTGTCGATTTGATGTGTCAGGAATGATAAGAGATACGGTATCACGTGAAAGATCTGTGAGAAAATCGATGCACTGGTCGATATCGTTGAACGTGTGAACGATGTGGTGGATAGTTTGCAGTTGTTTTAAATTCTCTTGGAAATTCAGGTCGTTTTCATCAATACCAGCATGAAACCATACGAAAGAATCTTTTCGTTCAGAAATATTTAATGTGCCACTGCCTGAGGTGGTCAAATTCATAGTCGATATCAGTTCGAACTGTTGAGAGCTTCTTATTTGCGAAATTTTTGAAATATCGACGAACTTCCGTACATTATTTTACTTTTTTCCAACATAGTGTGAATATACTTTTCTTTCGTGTTTGTGCACATGGAGTTGAAGAACAACGAGACTGCATGAGGTACAAGGAAAAAAGTGAAAGTTACAGTGTCGAGAGAAGAGACGTGTGCGGGTCGTGTTTTTCATCACTAGAGGTTTTCACTTTTTACTGTAGTGCCTATCAGTATACTAAAGATTTTGCTGTGCTATGTTTCTCTTACAGGAAGGTAAACTCACAGTGCATTCATCCTGCAGGGTTAATTTCTCAATATAACCGTCCATTATACAAACATCGAAGGTTTGCATTGAATTGAATATGTTATATTCAAAAACAAATATAACAATTTTCATAAACACGTCATTATATTGTATTGACTATGGGATGGATCTGTGTATACGGTGTATTAAGCTTTATTGTAATAACAAGGCTTTTGCAGTTGAATAGTAGAAATTATGTGAAAGCTAACTTGATTATCTGAAATAGTTAATCAACAGCGTGAAAATTTTCACCACTCACGTGTATATACATATATATATATGCCCATAAGATGGTGACATAAATCAGTATTTGTTGAGCCTACTGTCACTCATGAGTGCCAATTCAGTAAACGCTTTTTCCATCCAATTCAATCGGTATGCATCAATTGTCATCTTCATCTCGGGTGTCATTGGAAATACGTTAAATATCGTCGTTTTCACACGCCCACGACTCTTCAATAATCCATGTTCGACCTATTTCTTCTGGTCATCGATTGCCAACATCAGTGTACTACTCTTCGGGTTAGTTTCCCGTTTCTTATCGGACGGTTTCGGCATTGATCCTGTCTCCAACAATTTGGGCTTTTGTCGATTTCGATATTATGTGCTTCACTCCTCGATGGTTCTCTCGTCTTGGCTTACTATTCTTGCTGGCATTGATCGGTATTGCATCAGTTCGAGAAGTGCTCATCGACGACAACAGAGTAATTTAAAGAATTCGCGTTATCTTGTTGCTGTGACGGCATTCATTATTCTGGCGGGATATTCACACGCATTGGGATTGTTCACAATTGAACAACTGCGAACTGGTCCATCGTGTTACGCACAAGCGGGCACTTATAGAGTCTTCTATGATTTCTTTTATTTCGCTACTTACAGTTTTACGCCACCGATTGTTATGATCGGTGTTGGCTTGGCAACATATTACAACATTCATCAGCTGCGATCACACATCGCACCAATGTCTAATAATGAAAAAAATCATAGTTATTTAAGAAAACGCGATCGACAATTGCTCAAGATGACTCTACTTCAATTCATATGTGCAGTGATTTTGACTTTACCAATCGCTGTTCAAAAACTCTACGCCACTTTTACACAAAATGCTAACAAAGATACATATCAAGTAGCAGTTGAAAACTTCATTGCTCAATTGATGAGATTGCTTGTGTTTATTAACTCGAGCATGGGTTTTTATATGTGAGTAAAGTTGATCTATTGGAAGCCTGGAAGAGTTTAGCTATACTTTAGATTTGTTTTTTCGGGAGCGGGATTTCGTCAAGAAACAGGGCAACTTATTGCTAATTTTGTCAAAGTTGTATTCGGTGAAAACAGTGGAATTTATCGCCTAGCACAAAATCGGTTTGCAGCGTCTTCTGTAGTTCAAGTAGATCAATTCAATCAAACAGCAACTGTACTTCATCCTCAATCAAACTTAGCCTAATATCAAAAAGTCTTACCTTGATGACGAAACCCTCTTTAACGATTGTTTTGTATTAGTCAATGTTTAGACAAAATTAAAATTATTCTCCCTGTATATTGTACAAATATACTGACGAAAAATTCGGCTTATGTACGATGCTGCGAGAATTCTCATATAATATGATCCTGTTTATTTACTTTGAAGACAAATATGAATTAGTCGTACGCGTCATATTTCCGTTGCTTATTTCTATGAAAAATAGTTGAAGTGAAAGATGTTAAAGTTTCTCACAGAGATAATACCGTTTTCTTCTTTTGCATGTCATTCCGTTTCCCGTCGAGAAAAAAAATAGCTGCTTCTACTACTATGCTCACTAATTCACACCCCCTTTCTGTGATACTTTGCGAGTAGAGAAACATATTGTCAGCAGGGGCTAGGTCGTCATTATAGAATTTACACTGTTTTGTCACTGATCATAGTCTTCGTCCATTCTGTCTGTAACTTCGTACTTGTAACAAAGGAGAAAATGGTGTGAACCGTTCTAGACTGAATGGTTCTTTGTATTCGTTACATGTTAATGTTATATAAACGAGTGACATAGTCAAACTAAATTCATAGTTATTTCTACGCGTTCGAAGAAATGACTTCGGTTCTCATTTATTCAGTTTTTCTCGCTGTTATCCTATCGAGTATGTCTTTCACGAACAAGAATTAATTTACATCGAACGTTCTCTATTCTTTTTTTGTTAAACAGATTTCGTTCAGTCATCCTATCCTGGTGATGGATGCTGTGTTACGTGGAGTGGCGATGGTAGTTGCTGCATGAATAGCTTCTTTCAATGCTGTGTAGATGCTGCTCCATATGTCGACTATTATTCAGTTAACAACTTCTACGGTGTAGGTGGTTATTATCCTGCTGGCGGATGGAGAGGAGTAAGTTGTGTCTTATATCGTCATTTTACGAACAACACGAATGTATCAAATGAATGACACTGAAATGGAACGGCTTGTTTAGGGTGGTTGGCATCATGGAGGTGGTGGTTGGCATCATGGAGGCGGTGGTTGGCATCATGGAGGCGGTGGTTGGCATCATGGAGGCGGTGGTTGGCATCATGGAGGTGGTGGCTTTCATCATGGAGGCGGCGGTGGTGGACGTCGAGGATAAGGGATGGCTGGCTTAACAATGGTGCTAAATTCTACGATCATTAACAGTGTTTCTTGAATACTTAACTATATGTTTGTAATCGGTTTAAAATTCGAATGTGGATTTAATAATCATCTTCTATTTTAATAAAACGCAGTTCAATTTATAAAATGAATCTCAAAATATTTTCAATCAGCGTCTTGTTCATACGTGGGAGAGATAAATGATACTTTTTAAAATTTTATTACAAGGGAAAATTTTTTTGTGGTTCTTCATGAATGAGAAAAACATAATGTCATTGTTCCATTTCCTTTACATCCAATACCAGCTGTTCCATACCAAGCACCAGTAAAACCGACAATAAACTTTCCAGTTCCAGCACCCCAGTCTTTCAATTTTCCTGCGCTTCGATATTCCACAGTTGAGTCTTGATCTAAATCGTAACGACCAAATACAGAATTAGTTTTCTCTCCACTTGTTGGAAGAGCTCGGCCATCCATTGGAAATATATCTAATGACCAAGTACAACCTACATTTGGTGGGTACATTGTTATATTAAGATATATGACCGCTTCTGGAATGAGTAAACTTGCATCAATTGGATACCGAGTAAAGTTCTGTAGCGGTTTTCCTGATGCTATATATTCCACAGACCGTTGCATGCATACGTTCGCCAAAATACTGATAACATTATAAGTGCTTGTATCTGATGGCGTCTTTGCTGTCGAAGAACTAACGAATATGGATGTTTGTTGTTTTCTCGTTGCTACATAGAAAATGACTATAACCAACATGGAAACTAGCAGTGCAACTATAATAAAGATACCAGTAAGCAGAACCACTTTATTGCGACGTTGCACTCGTATTTGCCCGTCGATATGACCACTTGTTAACGATTGATATGAAATACCAAGGTTAGAAAAATTCATCATTCAATAAATGATATTTTGTCATTCGTCAACATACCTTTTCAATTTTTCAGTGCTTAGTGAGGCGTGCCTTCGAACTACATGTTGCATTTTTCCTCTTTCCTTCTGCTTCTGTTTTTTTTTCTTATTAAAACGCATTAAAGAATCGGAGAGAACGTTCTTTTTCCAATGATAAATGTTGTGTTCTCTAAAACATTCTTTCAATACAAAAATATCGATACCAACAAAGCTTCATCTGCATTCGATTCAATTTCGAACGCTCTAACCATCATGAATACGCAGATACTGAGAATCCTGTTCTGCGATGTAAACAAATACAGAATCATTCATCCGTCATAGTTGGCTTTTCCCCCTCAAACGACCTGTCTATTGCTTATTCGTTGACTCATTCGTACATATTTCATCACTACGATCGATAGTCACTTCTTTTTCCACAAAGTCACGTTCGCTGCAATGTCAATGCCAAACAACAAAACACTCTGCTGCACCTGCAACAAGCCTAAGATTACATATTCGTGCAAAGGCTGCCTACAAGAATTCTGTTCAACTCATCTATCAGCACATCGAGAAACATTGAATGAAGAATTAAATCTGATCATCGATGACTATAATCAATTCAAACAAATGCTCTCCGAACAAGTTCGGAAGTATTCAATTCTAAAGCTGATTGATCAGTGTGAAATGAATTCTACTGCAACAGCTCCCAAAATAGCTGGAAACTACGCGAGTTTTCTGGAAGATCAACAGATATTTCTAAATTATTTCCAAGAGAAGTCAAATTGCTTAATCAAGCAAATTGAAGAAATTCGTGAAGAAGACGAATTCAATGAAATGAACTTAAACTATTTGAAAGATGAATTAAGGAAAATGACAGAAGAATGTAACAATTCAGTCAACCGTCCGCTCGAACAATATTCATGCTCGTATCTCACGAGGAAATCAGCAAAGTCTTCCACAGGTAAGTTGCATGTCAGTCTCATACGACAGCAGACTACTCATTGAAATCTCTTCTCCAGAGACAAAGTTCAGTAAATGGAAGCAAAATGGTGAGATCATAGCCGGAGGTGAGAAACCAGGACGGGGATTAACTCAACTCAATTTTCCTTGCAGTATCTGCATAGACAAAGACAGCACTGCTTACATTGCTGATTCTTGGAATCATCGTATTGTTCAGTGGAAGCTCAACGAAAAAGAAGGAAAAGTTGTCACAAATGGGTATGAAAAGGAAAATTTTATGTGTAAATTGTCTACTCCCACAGATGTGATTGTTGATGGACGCGATGGATCGTTGATCATCGCTGATTGCGACAATAGACGCATCGTTCGGTGGTTCCATAAGACAATCGAAATTCTCATGACCCAAGTTGATTGTCATTGTTTAGCACAGGATAGATCTGGACTCTTATACGCTTGTAATCGAGCCAAGAATGAAGTCATGCGGTGGGAAATTGGCAATGAAGATTCACGAACCATTGTATCTGGTGGCAATGGACAAGGAAGTGCACTGAATCAGCTTAGTCAACCAGCGCGTATCTTTGTAGATGATGAGCAGTCGATTTACGTATCAGATGTAGGAAATCATCGCGTTATGAAATGGAGGAAAGGTGCTTCACAAGGTACCATTGTAGCTGGAGGAAATCATAAAGGAAAGAATCTGAATCAACTAAATCATCCTGCGGGGTTGACTGTTGATTCACTGGGTCGGATCTATGTGGCAGATTTTGGAAACAATCGAATTGTTCGTTGGTGTGAAGGATCAAAAGAAGGCGAAATCGTTATTAGTGAGAATTCTAAAGAATTGTGCTGCCCTAGGAGCTTAGCGTTTGATTCCGATGGAAATCTATTTGTTGTAAACTGGGGAAATAGTCGAGTGCTAAAGTTCTTGCCGATCGGTGGCGAATAATCTATTTTGAGTCGATGATTAGAAATCCACGTTTTTTTTGTTCTACTGGAGCAATTTTGATATTTGAATAAATTCGTTGACATATTTTCTCGTATAGTTGGTAACTGGGAAAGTTTAACGTGTGATACGTGCTTTTGCGTCAAACGAATACAGAATCATTCATCCGTCATAGTTGGCTTTTCCCCCTCAAACGACCTGTCTATTGCTTATTCGTTGACTCATTCGTACATATTTCATCACTACGATCGATAGTCACTTCTTTTTCCACAAAGTCACGTTCGCTGCAATGTCGATGCCAAACAACAAAACACTCTGCTGCACCTGCAACAAGCCTAAGATTACATATTCGTGCAAAGGCTGCCTACAAGAATTTTGTTCAACTCATCTATCAGCACATCAAGAAACATTGAATGAAGAACTAAATGGAATTATTGATAATTGCAACCGCTTGAATGAGATAATGACTCAACAAAATCAAAATCAATCCAGTCTACAAGAAATCGATCTGTGGGAAGTAAGTTCTATTGAAAAGATTCAACAAATGGCGGAAGAGTGTCGGAAAGTGATTGAAGAAACAGATATATTTATGCATCATCTTCGCAGGAATTTTCATCAATTAACCAACGAGTTGACACAAGTTCGTGAAGAAAATGAATTCAATGAGATGAATTTAAACTATTTGAGAGATGAATTGCGAAAAATGACAGAAGAGTTCTACAATTTAGCCAAGGTCTTTCGGGAACAAGATTCATCATCATTTGTGAATAAAATTTCAGTCGAAACGTTACAAAGTAAGTTTATACGCGAAAGAGAGAACGCATTCTGAGTACACGTCTGTTCTCTTGTTTAGAAACGAAACATAGCAAATGGAAACGATATGGTTATTCTGTTGCGGGAGGGAATAAACAAGGGAATCATTTAAACCAATTCGCTGGTCCGTATAAAATTGTGCTCGACGTAGATAAGAACATTTATGTCGTTGATTATTGGAATCATCGGATTGTTCGTTGGAAACCCAATGCAATAGAAGGAGAAATTGTCACGAATGGATCCGAAGACGGAAATGAAACGAAACAATTGAACTGTCCAACGGATGTTAGTGTGAATGAAGAAAATCATTCGGTCATTATTGCGGATCGAGGAAATCGACGCATCGTCGAATTATTAGATCAAAACTATAAAGTTCTCTTTGAAAATATTGATTGTGCCAGTCTGATTATGGATAATCATGGTTCTTTCTACATCTCTGATTGTGAGAAAAATGAAGTGAGGCGATGGACTATTGGAGATGAACAAGGAATGTTAGTTGCCGGTGGGAATGGATGTGGTGACCAACTCAATCAACTTCATTTTCCCAGTTTTATATTCCTTGATAAACAGGATTGTTTGTACATCTCCGATGGACAAAATCATCGTGTGATGAAGTGGCAAAAACACGCGACAGAAGGCACTATCGTTGCTGGTGGCAATGGTAATGGTAATAGACTCGACCAGTTATCTCTTCCTGCAGGCATATTTGTGGATGATTGGAATAGAATTTACATCGCAGATTGTGGAAACCATCGAGTTATGCGTTGGTGTGAGGGACAAAAGGAAGGGGAAATTATCCTTGGTGGAAACGGATGTGGAAAAGGATCCGACCAGTTACATTGTCCCAATGATATAGCATTTGATTTCGATGGAAATCTTTATGTCGCTGATTGGAAGAACAATCGAATTCAAAGATACGATTTGGTGTCAGACTTCATTCGTGAGAGAAAAGTCGACAATTCCTTGTTGAGTTTTATTCAAAAATCTGTCTAGATTGTCTTTACAGTTGAACATATAAATCGGAAGTCTTTCACACTTTACATTTATCTGTATAGTAATAAAAAGTTACGAGTCTGCGTCTAACGCGTGTCCAAAGTAACTGTTGTAGAACCGGCATTGCCGACAAATGCGAGATAGAATTCTATCACATATGAAGTTGTACCCTTGACGTTCATGATCTGTGTCAAGTAATCATGTGACGGAGAACCAAAGTCGGACGAGGCAAAACTATATGTATCTTCATAAGATTTCAACTGTGTTACATAAACAGCACAAAATCGGCGTTGCTAACTAGCTGTATACTAGTGGCATACTTTTCTCGAATTGAAACGTTATCAAGATACCATACACTTGTTTCCGTCAAAAATTCGAACTTGATCATAGCAACACTTGTTGAAAACTGTGTTTCGATTTCACATTTATACTGGCGATAGATGTTCGAAGATGATGATCCTGTGATTTTCTGAAGAAAATGGGATTGACTTATCGGCGAAAGATCACGTGGACAAGTTGGGGGAGGAGGCGGAGTTGCTGGTTTTCCTGTTGTAGGTCTGGTTGAAGTAAATGTAGCAGAAGTGTAATCTGGGCCATCTAGAAATAAGTGAAGTGAAATTGTATTATGTTGACTACATCCGTTTTGGTTAAAAGAAACACTCGAAAGGTATGCTTTTCAAGCATGCATAATCTATTTGAATGAATGATAACTGGACCAGGTGTAGTGGCTTACTTGTCAGTTTTCTAGTAGTAGTTGACATCGCCCGACAAGGTTGGCACACAGGACATGAATTGGTACGGTTGAACACACCAGTGAAACACAACATAAGTACTACTATCGTCGATATTATAGGACTGAATATAAAACCAACGCCGAAGCCAATTCCTCTAAAAAGCTAAGATTCAATTTGATGTGAAAATATCAAGCCTTTAGTGAATGAATATCTTCTGTACTAAGTCAGATCACCCTGAATTGATTATTCATGCTGGCGATTGTTTCGATCAGTATTTATAAACAGTCGTAGCTTCATAAGTGGGAGAAATTCAATTCGTTAACACTTACGTTGCGGCACTCATATTTATTTGTTTCTAATATAATTGATAAGCGGCATAGAAATGTAGTTTGTGAAGTTATATAACGCAAAGATAATATTCCTTCAGTAAACAGATACTGACTGCAGCTTAGAAACAGCCGAAATCATAATGAAAAAATGTCAATATTTACAATGAATATCAGTAATGCCATTTTTTTTGGAAGTTGGAATAAAACAGCGATAAAAATAAAGATAAACAGTAATACCTTCTGTATATAAACTCATTTTGTTTTCATTTAATATTATTTTTATTGAAACTTTAGAATACAGTCGTATCTAATAATCGTCGCACATATATTGTTCTTGCACGGTATTGTGCAGAATGCTGAATCAATATGTCCTCCCGGGCTTCAGTGTAATTCGACTAAAAATTACAATCCTGTGCCGTGCTCTGAAAGAACTTTCAGCTTAGCTACTGCAACTCAGTGCCTAAAATGTCTAAGTGGATACTATCAAACGTCGTCAGGAAAAAGCTACTGCGAAGAGTGCCCTCCTGGTAAATATGCATCGAAATGATGTCACGCACATACTTCCATCTTTTTGAAGCAGCCACTCTAACGCTTATTCTATATAGGTGCATTCTGTGTCGATCCATCAAAACCACCTGTTTCATGCGTGGTCGGTCGATATAATCCGGATCGTCGTCAGTCGGCATGCAAGCTGTGTCCTTTTGGAACTTATACAGAGGCTATAGGTAGTGTAGTATGTACATTGTGTCTTCCTGGTTACTTCTGTGACAATCCCAAATAGTTTCCAAAACCATGCCCACCGGGTTCGTATCCATATACTTGAATTGTAGTTGGATGTGCGATAGTTTAATATTATAGGCTCGTACAGTGCAGAGATTGGCAGGACGATGATTTTTTCTGGCCCGTCCCGCCTCGTCTGCTATAAAAATTTTCCAATACTTTGTTTTGAAATAGCAATCACATGAATAATATTTACTTTTGAGCATTACTGCTATTAAAATAATACTTTACGACCTATTTTCATCATCAAATGTTTTGCACGAATACAAAATACGGTGCAGCAAATTTTCTTATGCGCTTGTTCCTTGATGTAATCAACGACGAATATTTCAAATCTCGTGGTATTCTAAACCTATATAGTTGATAGAACGTGAAGTCAATTCGAGAACACTACTTCTATTCATTATCCTTTCATCTAGCCACAACAAACTATCAGATATCCTTTTCGCGCCTACTTTCATGTTCATTATTTCGACGATGAAAAATAGAACTTCCATAGTTTGTCGAAAATGCTGTGTTTTATTTTGGGCGAACGGATGATGTTGGTGAAAATCTGGCATCTTAAAGTGTCTAGCTTCGCATGCACATTTGTTCGATACTCTAGTGATGTTCCGTTCTCTAGATCATTGCGACACAAAAAATGGACTTGGAATCGCTTTGTCGAGAAAAAATGAATAATAAGCGCAACGTATTAAAAACATAGACCAAATTAGTTGTAAAGTTTCCACAAACTTAAGTGATCATCATTTCCAAGAGTCGAAGAATGATAACAGTATTGGTTATAAAATCTTTGTTATTTAGTGGTCAAAAACAAAAGATATACACGAATATAGAAAATGATTCTCGAACACTCTTTCTTTTATATAATAAGTGTCCATTGATTTTAAAGCAAAGAAAACTGCTTCCTTTTTTCGAAAAACAATGGCAAAGTAACAATAGAGAGGTTTTCTATAGGCATAAAGAATAAATGAGAAGACTGTACATCGAAGATCAAGAATAGAGAATAAAACATGACTCGTTCTCGTAATTTAAATGGATTGAAATTAACTGAATCCGAATCCTAGCAGACTGGATTAACATGTGCTGTTCATCGTCATGGATATACATGTCTTTGATGAAGTAGTGTACAAATATTTATTTGATTTATAAATCCATTTTATTTATAATTGAATAATTAATTGAGACAATCGAATATATTATATAAAAATCTAGAAAATTTTAGAATTTCAGAGTAAGCGGTAAACTACATCTATACTCGAATCTACCCGATCACATAATTTTCATCCGATCGATGAGTCGTAAGCAAGAAAAATTTGAGACAAGCAGATAGTAAACTCTCTCCCTTTTATATCATTAAGTTAAATATTTTTATTTCTACAAATCCACATTCGTTAATAGATTATCGATGACAGTTAACGACAATGCGCCTGATAGCTGTGAAAATAAGATAAACTTTCTATTTCATATTTGATTCACTTTGCTCTCACTCAATTTACAGCATTTCGAAGCTTGTAAAATTATCAATTTTGACTCGATTTATAAATTTTGATCTAGTTGATAAACTGCACTTTATAATCGTGGAGAACTTTTAGGACTACTGCTAAATTAAAATCTTTTATCAGGATAAATCTCGACTGTCAACAGTGATCCCCTGATGTGCATTCTATAAGCATGATATCTATAATTTCTCGGAAAATACTCTAAAATCTGTTTCATTTGAGAATTGTTTTACAACGTATGCATAAATACCAAACAATACCATATCTCGCGACAACAATAGTTGTGGTTCGTTTAGTCGAAATATTATCGTACGTTATCTTCGCAATGGTCTTATGGTCACCTATCAGATCTGTGAAAATCCGTCTGATGGAAACTACACAATCCGACTTTAGATCCGAGTATAGGATTGGTGCTCCTAGAATGATAATTTCCCTAAAGTTGTGTATCAATCACTGATACGATACTCTTGAATTTCTTTTTATCCATGTGCTTCTACGTTTCTGTACACTTGACAACATCCTGCACAATTAAGATCTACATATGAAAGAAAACAGAGTCGAGAAGCTTGGAAAAAAAATTCCTGAAAATAATTCTTACTGGACAGTATGTCGCGAGACGGTACTGAACAAATCGTTTGTCCCGCCGATCTCTAATATCTAGTCATGGTTTTTTTCGTTTCGTTTATTTTGAAACAAACAAATAAAAACCAATCGAATGCTCGATGTTTGCTGAAGAAAGAAAAACAACAACATAGCTATGAGTCATTTGATGACAAAGACAACGTGAAAAAGTTTTGATGGCATTGCGAAATTGTCAACAGGTCAGATTGACTCATAAATTTGGTAATGTTGTGGCGCTCGAATCGATATGGACGTTCGGCGGTTTCACTATTTCCATCATTTTTTCTCTAACGACACTAGTTCTAATTTGAATAAATTGATAAATTCAACTTCGTTGATGCTAGTACGACTCCACGAGTTCACTAATTCCCAGGTCGAACAATCCCATACTCGGATCTCATCGGATCCAATATAGGATTTTATCAGATCCTACAGGAATTCGACGGATCCGATGAAATCCGGGTGACGGAATCGCATTGGCTTCCGACGGTCTCAGATCCCGTCGGATCCGAAGCATGGATTTCCTGGATTTTCTAAGGGTCATCATAGAACATAGCTGTTAGCTCGAATACGAGCTGATGCTTTATTTATTTCCAAAAGAATATAAATACCAACGCGAAAAAGTCACCCCTTTTCACGCTATAGCACATGTATATATAGTGTAGAACAAGAGAAAGACCAAAGAAGACAACAAAGATCATCTGAGAGAGAAAAAGGTAGAAAGAGCGATGTGGTGATGTCATACGCTAACAATAGCTAAAAAGATCGCTCATAAAATTTGCAACAACTGACGGGTTTTTTCTAGTCGGATTCCAATGCAATTCCGTTTCCAGGAATCCGATCGGATTTTTTCACCTGGGTTTGTTCAAATTCGATGACGACAATGTAATTGTATCCATAAGATTGTCATACTATAAAGTCCAATGAAAAATAGTAAATATTTCGTGGATACTGAAAAATGAAACGACTACTTTGTTTTTCTTTATAGCCATAGGGAGAATGTCAGTTGGGTTCAATGAGAAAATATCAAAATATGCGTTGTTTGTCCGAAGAATAGAGAAAAACGATTCACGCCGTCAACGAAAAAGGTCGAAAAGAGAAGGAAGAAAAATTTGACGGAGAAAAAACGTTAGCCACTGAGAGCAAGAATACAAATCATTTCCTCTCCGTCCGATCTATTTAATGAGCGAAGGATAGAACTGTTTCTGAACGAAAGATGCATTTTTATCCACTCCCTTCCCTTGTCTTTGATACATATTTTCAAACGTAGTCACTTTACCTGATTCGTCTTGGAGACATCGACAATCTTTGATCGACACATTTTCAAAATGTCTCTATACGTGTCTTCATGACGTGATTTCACATGTGTCCATAAATACTCGAATTGTTCGGGAGTGAGACTATCACCGTCATTTTCAACGAAAAATTTGCAGATCTGATCATCTTCATTTTTCTTTTCATTGTAGAGCGGACATATGACAGAACCATGCGAATCTGAATGAAAATAAATACAACACAATGATAGATACAATCTTCTGAAAGCTTCCAAACTCACTTGTTTTGTATGAACCGTGATAATATTTTTGAATCAGCTCGTTTTCAGACATGCTTTAAAAAATATCTCTTGTTGTTTCTCCGTCTACACTACTGAAGTATCCAAGCAGATAATTTATAGAAACAGACACGCAAACGCATACATATATACAATATATGCATAGACGTCGAGGCCGCGTGCAACGATGGTACATATGCAAACAAGCCTGGTCTTGCTTATTGCATACTGTGTCCAGCTGGATCATGGTGTCCTACAACTCAATCAGACCCACTTCCTTGCCCATCGAACGAAAGGTCAGGAGAAACAACATGTTCAATTGCAAGTGTCGTCGGGTAACCATAGCTTACATTTTCGCACGCTCTCCAAGAGTTTTTTTTAAATCTTAAACACGATCGATTTGATGAAATGCTCGTACAAATAAACTATAAAGAAACGAAATCAAACTATCAAAACTATTTGCAAACTATATGAATTAAAAAAGCTGTAGATTTATTTTTAATGGTGTGCATGTGAAATAAGTCAGAAAGTCAAAACCAAACTGAACATTGTTCAATCTGAAAACTTTTACACATTAAGCGCATGCAGATTGTATTTGAACGAAAAACTTGAAAAGAAGTTAGTCTTCTCAAATTTTCTCTCTTATAAAAGTTACAAAATTGTATCAACAATGATTATTCTATCTCCACTTCTTCTATAATGCTCTAAAATTTGCCGAAATGCTTGTAGGTATATTTGTACTTTCACTTTTTTCAATGTTAACTTGTATATAGACAGACAAGAGTACTTATATTTCTGTTCAAAACAGATTATGTCCTCTTCATAGCTAACGCCATCAAACTTTTTGTCAAACGGCAGATCGTATTCCCATAGAATTTGCTCGTAGATGAACATGAATACCATTTCTTTTGCTAAGAGTAGAACTACGATGTTTTGATATTACATTCGTTGATGTGTAGTTTCGTCGTACTTTATCTACGAAAATTGAGTCAACTTTAGACGTTTTCTGTGGATTTCTTTATGTTGACGGCACTTTGTTTAGTGGTTTAACCGTTATCGATAAACGATGGATCTTTAGAGTATTCTTGCTGTTATCATAATGATTCGCAAGTGGCAAATTTTCATTTGCAGTTACGGTATTATTCGTATGCACAATCGTGTTATGAGGAAACTTTTTCACCAATACTTTTTTGATTCCTGAACCGTTCGCTTGTTCGGAAAAACAAGTGTTGATTGAGTTGCTATTCAGCATGCTTGAGGATTTCATGGACGTTGGACTTTCTACAAGATAGTCCTGGCTTAGTTTGTTTCTTCGCAATACACGTTCGATAACTGGATTCTGTCGTTATAAGGCTTCTCGTCTAGCAGGTTCCTGTCTTTGTTTTCCCAGGCGACACCATACAAGAGGACTCCTATGGGTTTGTTCGTATGATAATATGAAAAAGAAAATAACCAAATTTAACATAACAACCCAAACAACCAACAGCAACAACAGTACAGAGCAATAGGAGGCTTAGCAAGGACAAACCGACTAGGAGAGCACAATTGATTTCATTTTCTATACGAATATGTAAATCGATATTGTGAACATTTTCTGCAAGTTCAGATTATACATGAGGCTTCTGTTGTCACTTTTGTAATCGTAGTTCAAAACACATAAGATTATCACAAATTGATGTTTCATTCGTATGTATAAGAAGTTTTTTCAATAAGTACTATGACGTAATGCTAATAGTGCGCGATTTCTGACACTGTTGTAGTAGTTGCGGATATGGACGACGTGTGTGTCATAGTTGTAGTTGCCGAAGCGACTGTTGTCACCGTCGTTGCAGTCGTTGTAGTTGTTACGCAAACATCAGTTCGATTTTTAAAAGTGAATGTGTCATTGTACACGGACGAATTTGAAGTTAACTTGTTAAAACCATTGTCATCCATGCCGGTAATTTCATCGGTAACAATATTATCTGTTATTTTCTCCACATTTGGAGTGCATTGTTGTATGATGTAGAGTTGAAAGCTCATGGATACTCGGACTTGCATCTCTCAGCAGCTCATGTTATGAAATATAACAGATGGGCCTGGACATGTTGGTAGTGATAATACATAGATCAGAAATTGAACGGATGCAGAAGTCAATGAGATAGTACTCGTGTTGTTAATAAAATCTTCGACCTATCATAAAGAAGGTAAACAAATCTTTCTTACAACATGGCTGATAAATTCTTATATTCTTACCTGCATAGCTATCGCGTACTAAGTGTTAGCTTTCAATTCAGTGAACGCAATGATGCAATTTGACAGGCTTGTGCCGTTGGGTACACTTTCAGGAAAGCAAATACCGTCATATTCGTCAATCGCTTTCCAGATAGGATATGACGAAATTGATGGCAATGTACCAGGAGTGTCAATAATAGTTGCTATATTGGTAGGGGTGCTAGTCAGCTTATAGCAACAACATTGCTTCTTATACTTCTTTCCTGAACAAGTGGCTCCATTGCGTATCGAAGTAACACATGAAGTATCTTTGTACATCCATTAGAATAAGCCTGCATCTTCCATTGATAAATACTCAGTTCATCTGCAGTCGTCTCTTCATAGAAACTATCAGGAGATAAATCATGGTCCGGTTGTCGTCTGTCTGATCGTTTTCGTCTACCAGTTCTCGGAACATATACTGACGAGCGACAGCATACTACGGCGAAACAACACTGGCAAATGGTGAAACATTCAAGAAATCATTTGACCGTTTGCGTAAATCAATAAACGTCACCATTGACAGATGAAGAACACTCTGTGTAGGATAACTCAATGCTACTCGTGCGCTCCCTTCGTATGCCAGAGAGGAATGTACATCAGCCGAAAGCCTATCACATGACCGTTCACTATTCCTAATTCTCAGAGATGGATCGATTGATATGCAGTCGAATATCTACCCTCACCAGCACTGTCAACGGCACGCATTAGATTTCGATTCTTATAAGTTCGTCCACTCGTCGAGATGGTTACATCAGTTGCGCAGGTCATTGTTCGGTAGGCCCATGCGCACGACTGTATTAGAGTTACACCGGCCGAGATGGAATTTGTGGACGGGTCAATTGTAGTCCATCGAATGGTACCACCGTTAAAATGTCTTCTGTTGACGCTGAAGAAAAAGATCAATGAAAATCACGACTGTAAAAGCATTATTGCATGATTATTCAATATCAATCCACAATAATCAGAATCTAATTACAGCAGAAGATGAACGACTTGGCGTATTGTTTCAGATGAACTTCAAGGCGGGTGTACTTGAAATATATTCTAGGATAGAGAATATACAAAATATCTATTTTCGTGTGACATTTTTGGAAATCGTTATAATGCCAGACATAATTACATTTACCTAGAAATTAAAAAAACCTCACAAGACAAGATGGTCATTGACGATTTGAACAATTTCTTTGATCAAACTCGTTCTATATATTGAAGAATGATGTTTTACTAATTATAGAAAATAGTTCGACATAACTGTATCTACGTAGTAAAAAGAAGAGACGTGGGTGTCGGTGTGATAAAAGTGTTATTGTCCCTCACACCTTTTTTAAAACCTGATGAAGGATTTTGTTTTCCGATGAAAATACTTTGATGAAAACGTGTCGACTGTAGATATTTTTGTAACGTGAAATGGCGGCGATGATATACTGACAGGTCACAGTTAAGCATTCGTACTTGAAACCAAAGATCTTGTGACGCTCGTCTCTTCTTGTGTTCTTTATTAACATTCGAGTTAGTTGAAAGTGTTTTCAGTTTTTCTGTCCGAAGATTGTACTTCGACAAGTTGTCTCAAACAAACAACTAAGCAAATATATTTAGTATTCCTAGGTCACAATATAACACTTCAATATGAACGTAAACAAACCTATTAATCTTCAGTTGAAGCAGTACATATATTCTCATGTGATTCTTAGATACCTACAGATCGCATACATTTACGATTGACTGATTTTTTTTGTCTATTCATTTGTCGGTTTAATTAGACATAAACATAGCTAATCGTAATAGGAAAGCTCGAATAGCTGCTATCATATGAGGTAGAATCAAACACACATATTGATTAATAATTGCTAGATCTCTATTCAAACGATGAGAACTTTTGCGTTTAATTAGCTTGAAGATAGATTTATATCTCGAAATGGTTTACATTCCTATTTTTAATAAGAACAACTATGGTATCTTTGCTTAATCCTCAAAGAAACGATCAGAAAAAGTGTGTACCAAAAGAAAAATGCCAAGATTTACCATCTTTATTTCAATAAAAACCAACACAAATGGTTTTGTATCCCACGGAGCGGAAACTAAACGAACATATCACGGTTATTTACAATTGTGAATGCATTTGATTGTAATATTCAAAAAAAATATCATCTCCTGGAAAGAGTCTTCATTTTTCTATGTCTATTACTGACATGACTAGAGCCAATGTATCCTGTTCATTTCCGACGTCTTAATATCTATACCAAATAATTACATTTTAGTTTCTCCCTATGAGATTGTATGAATGTCGATGTAAATTACCCCTGTTGATATCCTTATTTCCTACAGATATGTCAGGGATAAGAACATTTCAGGTCTTTTGCGCTGATTTCCATGAAAGAAATCATTCAGATGCAAACAGTTAGTTTCACATTGAAAGCAAATCAATGAAACAGTGAAAGAAATGTTTTTTTTCTGCTAAAATTTCGATATTTTCTTCGTAAAAGAACATTAAAGGTAAATATGTCACCGTGATATCCTGAAAACATGAATTTTACTTTTACTTCGAGGCGTACTAAGAAAATGTATGGAAATACCTCTTTATCTTTAAGAAGCAATGTGAAATTGAGTCAGAGTGAAAAAAACGTGTTAAATAAAATATCATATTCTTTCTTTTCCATTGAAAACACAAGACGAGTCATATTCTTAGAGTGTAGAAGACATATAAGAAAGTATTTTCTTGTTTTTCTTGCATTTCAGAGCATCAAGTAAGATCATTCGAGAATGTCTAGCACTAGTCTTATCAAAAATGCTGTCACTGCTCTTTATCAATACTATGGAATTCCATTATTAGTCTTTGGTTGTGTTGGAAACGTTCTCAATCTCTTGATTTTTATTCGTTCTCAATTGAAAAAGAACCCCTGTTCAACTTATTTCTTTTACTCGTCAATCGCTAATTTAAATGTCATATTCCTCGGTTTACTCTCACGAATTCTTTCCGATGGGTTTGGTATAGATCCCAGCTCTTACAATTTAGGATATTGTCGATTTCGATATTTTATTCTTCATTCGTCAATGGTTCTTTCGTCTTGGTTTACTATCCTTGCCAGCGTAGATCGTTATTGTGTCAGTTCAAAATCAGCGCGTCGTCGGCAATTGAGCAGTCTGAAAACATCACGCTTTCTCGTCTGTTCGACAACCGTAATTGTCTTAATCTTGTATTCGCATGTTTGGGGTCTGTTCACAATTGAACAATTGAAAACTGGACCATCGTGCTATGCAGAAGCTGGTTTTTATCGAGTCTTCTACGACTTCTTTTACTTTGCAACATTTAGTTTTACGCCACCGGTGATGATGACGATAGTTGGATTAGGAACATTCTACAATGTTCATCAATCTCACACGCGTGTGAATCCTACCGATACGAATGCACGAAAAGTTGACCAATTGAAAAAACGAGATCGTCAATTGATTAAAATGTTACTTGTTCAAGTGACTTTTACGATTTCATTGACATTACCATTAGCAATTCAAAAGCTTTACTCCACATTCACACAAAATTTTGTCAAAAGTACTTATCAGCAAGCAGTGGAAACCTTAGTTACTCAAGTGGTTCGATTGCTGGCATTTACAAATAACAGTATTAGTTTCTACTTGTAAGTAATTCTAGTTTTTTTTGCTAGGAATACTTTCAAATGATGTGTCATCTTGCTCTTTTAAACATAGATTCACTTTATCAGGAAGTTTATACAGAAGAGAATTCTTTCAACTTCTCGATGACACAATCTGTGGGCTGCTTCGCAAAAAGCGTTCAATTCATCAAGAATCGCAAGAGTTAACCGAATCGAGAAGAAATATACCTTCGAAAACAGTAAATGTTGTAAAAGACGTGAATCTTGCACTGCGAAGATTATCAAACAGCTAGTGTATTGTAAATCCGATGTTCAAGCGATGTTATAGTAACAAGATCGAACGATACAAAAGAAAAACAAGTGTAATTAATAAAAGACTTTTAACTGTCAATCGTGAGAGCAAAGTAGACCTAGCGGAGAGATTACCGTTTTTGTCCAATGATTAGATTGTTATTATCCCATATTTTCTGCAGTTTTACATCTAAATTTAAGCACATAAACATGTAATACAAAAGTTCTTGATCATAAACATGTTGATGTAATCCACGGTTTTCCAAGTTTTTCATTGAGCGAGCTTTGAACGCTTCGAGATTACCAGCAGCTTGATCTATTCCTAAATCATGCAGACGAAGTATTTCATCCAAATGCGACAGATCAGCTTCTGTAGTCTGTTTTTGATAATCCTCAATCAAATGTTCCAATCGAACGACGTCACGCTTATGATCGAATGTCACCGTTTTCAATGGCAAAATAATCAAGAGCACACCATTCGGTTTCAAAATTCTTATCCATTCGAGTAATGCTTTGAACGGATTAGCGATATGTTCGAGAACATGAGAAGCTAAAACAAAATCGTAGAATTCACTAGGAATACCTTTTAGATCGACAGCATCTCGTACATATTGTTTGCCTTTCGAGTGATTTTTCCAAACGAAATCTGAATTGTCTTTCAAATTTGATTCCCAGAGAGTATTCGCTGCGAAATTGGTCACGTCTAATCTTAATGCAGACTCGTAGACGCCCAAAGGTGCCCATGTAAAATGCGAAGGACCACCGAGTTCAAAACCAGTTTTATTCTGGATCCAGTAATTAATCATCACAGGACCGGTTACATGAACCATTGAAGAATGAAAGGAAATTTTGTGAAATATATGAGGATCATATGACTCCAAACAAGTCTTGGAGGATGGCGACGACGACGAGCGATACGATGGTACAATGGTTGGAGTTCGGTATATGTAGATACCAAGAATTATGATAATGAATATTAATAAAATGATCAGAGATTTCGGCGACAACATGACAAAGAGATTATTCAAAATATGCCCCGTTATGCATAAACATATTTTGAGGGTATGAGCGGTAACAGATCTTTACTTACTAAATGCCTAATCGTTGATGTTTGATGTTTAGCAAAGTATACTTCGAGAAAAAGAGAATGCTAACAAAACAGCACTTCAGAATATTACTTCAGGAAATTCTTTTTTTTCTCTTTTAAAATTCATAGATGAAACTGTGCATAACCAATGATGGGAAAAGTGTTTTCCGTCAAACGACTTTTTTTTCTTTCAGAGATGTATTTTAATACACCTTGATGGGTACGCCTTGAGATTGACGACGCCATCGTCTGATTCGTGAATATTATGATAGGAAAGAATAGAAAATTTATTAGCTTATCGACTCGTATCGATAGAGACAGGGCCCTCGTTTAGAGTCTAAACAAATATTGATTTACAGAAAGATCAATTAATTATTGATGTTCTATAAGTAGTACTCTCTAACAGTAACTGATTTCATTTACAGTGGCTTACTCTCCAATTCCAGCTCTTGATGATCTCTCGGTTCGTGAATGTAATAGTTTAACTGATGATTTAGAAAAAAGTATTCATTTTTGCCAACGTGTTAGCTTGCTACACACTTATCCAACTGAATTCTGTCCGAAATTACAACATAATTGGTATTTAGAATCGTGTTCGAAGTCGATTGATAAATGTAAATGGCAATGCCGAGTTTGTAAGTCGTTTCGTTCTATACACAAAAATACTTTTGTTGAACATAGAACACTTAAATTACAAGAAATACTAGATCTTATAATGTATTGGTACCAGGGTTTAGATTCACATAGATCCATTAAAGTATGTATACTCTATACGAATGGGCAAGCCAATAAATTCTCTTTCCTATCAGAACCTTCATGAATCCGACGAAGATGTCGTCAATCTGAAGAAGTACCCGAAACGCGAGTGTTCTGACTATTTTATTTTACACGATTTGCGTTTATAACGGAAGACCGTTTCTATCGAACAGAATTAATTATATTTAAGAGTTGCACTTTATTCAAAGGAAACAACTGAAATTTACTTCTTGAGCCAGATGTATCGATTTACTCTCTGTTCATCCTGGTGTAAAAATTATCCAGTTCGGAAAATATTTTGACAATTAATACTGATAATATTTCGAATCCGACTATTAAAAGTCGAAGAACAAGACAATGTTGTATCGAACTATCCCATATCTGAGTTCGTACGTATCCCGCGTGAAAGGATATTCATCAATAGAGTATACTTTACGTTTGTTAGTAACGATCATTTCAAATTCTATATATGTACGATGTATATGTCGAAAAAAAATAACAAATAATTGATTAACGATAGTAGCGCCGAGTGAATAGAAGCGAAGAAATTATGAAGGAGGTCGAGAGCTATTCGAGATTTTCGACCAATGAAAATATCGCCATGAGAATACCATTTAAATTGGATTCTGTTTATCATTTCATGCTTTTTATTTGATAGAGAAGATCTTTTTTCAATTGAATTTTCTAGATTTCTGTTTTAACACCATGCCACAACCAAAAAAAGTCGCCGGAGTATGTGAAAAACTTTCTTGAATTCCATGGCTAAGGAAAGCTTTTTTCAATCTAGAAAAAACAAGCTGAGACCATCAATCAACGTCTCCAACTTGTTATGAAATCTGGCAAATACGTTCTCGGCTACCGTCAAACACTCAAGGCACTCCGCAACGGACAAGCTAAATTAATTCTTGTCTCAGGAAACACACCACAAATCCGGTTTGTCCTTTGTTTCATTTCATTCCGTGCATTGACTTTCATTTTTCCATTTGCACAGAAAAAGTGAAATCGAATATTACGCTATGTTAGCTAAAACTGGTGTGCACCACTACGGAGGAAACAATATCGAATTGGGCACAGCTTGTGGCAAATATTTCCGTGTAGGTATTCTTGCTATAACTGACCCAGGTGATTCTGACATTATCCGAACAGTACCAGGCGAACAATCGACCGCCATTGCAACAGCATAAACATGACTATGGTGTGGTTGTTTTCTTTTTTTGTCGTTGCAAGATTTCTATCGGTTGTTTTTGTTAACAAGAATTATGAGAAAAGATCAATAAGAAAACATTATCAATAAAGAAAATTAAAAAAACAAACAAACAAAACTTGAAGTGCGTGCTAATCAAGTTTCGTGGAACTGTGGAATGAGAAACGATTCGAAATAGGTCAGAGATACTTCTTTTTCCCATCCTATGTCTAAAATTGTTTTCAAAATTGACGTCATTATCATTGATGCTGTAGCCAATTTCGTAATTAACGAAGAATAGAAGAGAAATTACGCTATACAAAAATTTGATCAGAGAATATATTTTGTATCTGACAAAATGCACAAAACCGTGTGATCTTCAGAGATCTTCCTTTGTATATTCTTTCTTACCCCAGAGATTCTAGATACTTCGAAAGTAGGACGTGTCATTGGCGGCAACAACAATAACAAGAATCAACGGTCGCAAAGCAAACAAATAGCTTTCGCCCTACGTTATAGCCTTTAGCATTGTGACAGTGACATCAATTCTATTATTCTCTATTTTTCTTATCTATTTAATCCTTGTTGTTTGCTGTACATATAACATACATATGGGCCTTTTTCATTCATCAGAATGTATTCTTTAGCGCGTACGTTGTTAACTCGAGTAGACATACATAAAAAATCTCATCGACATCGCTTTCATTTTTATCTTTGTCGCTGTACGGTTACATTTTCAATCGAATAAAACAATGAAATGAATGTTAGATAATATGGTAAGTCATAAGACCTTGTAGTTTAACATGTAATTAAAAGTATGAAGTGTTCTCCTCCTCTTCTTCTTTCAACGTGCCAATTGCATGCACATATGCCGGTGGCACTCATTTGGTTCCAACAGACAAAGAACAAGAATTCAATTGGTTTGTATGGACACTTTCTTTTCTGTTTAGCGACTCTATCGCATACATTCATGATTGAGGACGAATTCAGCTAACATGTCACCTGCTATTGTTCGACATTTTCTCTGTTTTTTCCGAATTGAAATGTTTTCTCAAAGTAGTTCATTTCGATTCCTCTTACCGAATGTATCTTCTTAGATAAGAATATAGATATTTTCTCTCTTCAATACAATACCTGTAATTTGTTTATCATCACAGCTACACGTTCGTTTTATTCTTCGTCCTTACTATCATAAATAGTGTGACTACGACGAAAAAAATGATGATATACGTTGATGTTTACAGGCTGTTTCTCATCATTCCAACATATTTTCTCCCGTTCTTTTCGCAACATGACTTCGTGAAGAAGAACATCACCGCCTTTAAATATGATTTTATTCAAATCCAAAAAGCAGTATCAGTATAAACCATTCCAACGTCAATCATTACTCGCCCGTTTCAAATCGTATGCTGCTTGTTGTTGTCTTGTTTTTTTCTCATCAAGCTGTATGATTTTTATCTTTCGTAGAAAATATCGTCTCAAATCTGACCACTTTCCCGGAGATAGTAGTGAATACAAACGTCGTCGTCGTCGCTCGTTGTTCTCTAATATTCATCGAACATATCATTCTTTATGTTTAAGTGTCACACTGATCGTACGTTTCTTTCTGATAATCGATCGTATAATACGACGAATCATCTCGTTTATTGAAACCATAGTTCGAATTATCGAAACTGTTCACGGATGGATACGAATGGTTCGCTCAATCTTTTCCGCCCTTCATCTTATCATTGCACGTCTAATGGACTTAATATTCAAAATCTACCAAATCTTCTATTTACTATCAATTCTTCTCGAGCCGTTCACTAATCGAACATTTGAAAAAATGTTTCGTTCGTTTTCACATTTTTTCTATAAATATTATTCGTCGAATGGAGCATGTTACACGTTGAAAGCTCGAACATATCATCTTTTTAACCGACTAAGAATGAAACGGAGAAAAGGCCAGATCATCGCTATTAATAATGTTACCGATGACGAGGTCTTTTACGATGCACTTAATGAAGATTATCAATGAATTCTATATTTTTATACATAATTTACATTTCAACCAAACAACAGAAGAAGAATATTTCTCTTTTTTTCTCTTATATTAATCAGCTTTATATATGTTTGTAAAGTGATTTTCTTTTTCTGTTACTTTTTTATTGTTATTTTTTTTTACTTTTTATGATCAAAAGACAAAGTCATGATACCCGAGGTGTTTTAGTTTTTCAATGATAATGTTCCGAACAAATATATAAATTGTCGAGGAAAAAAATCGCTTGTTGACTTATTCTATTGAGAGGCTCTGTACGCATAGCGTACAGCATTCGCTTATGTAATGTGTAAATGGTGAGGAACGTCAATATTAGCTGAAGGAACAATCAATTAAAAACGTACGACAATGTTGGATTGTGTTTTTATGTGGATAAATATACAATGCGATAAGATATCCATTGCATTGATTTGAGAAGAATTGAATGGATAAATGATTTGCTTCTGTTAGTGTGTATTTATCTTGACACAAACTATTTGTATAACGAAAAAAATGTTGCTTGCGTATGTTGAAAAACTATATTGATAGACTTAGACGAAGGTATGACACCAGGTGATGGTTGTCCTTGGTAGAAAAGGCAACGATGTGTTACAGTTGCATTAAATTATTGATCGCTGTGCTTTGGACAGATTCAGTTGTTGATTGTTTCTTGCTGAAGTATGCAGGGATGAATGAATAGAGGTCTCGTGCAAGTAAAGGTGGTGATGACGATTTTGAAATTACAAAAAAACGTGCTTTTAATGGACGACGCGAGGAAGAAAAGTACATCTTATGTATTTTGGTAAGAATCATGTCGGTATTTAGATGAAATTGAGATTCCGTTTAGTTGTTTTAGAAAAGTGAATTCCAATACAAAATGTCGCAACTATGTAATCTAGCAAAATGTAATCGAACATCGCGTGGTCTGTGCGATTGTTGCAAACAAAATCTGTGTCTTCAACATCTAACAGAGCACAACGTTGCACTCCTCTCACAAATAAGTCCGTTAACGGATACAATCAACACACTAGGTGAACGTCTTCAAATCTTGTATACTGAAGGCATCACTGCGAATTGTTGTCTAAAACTTGAACATTGGCGTGTGGAATGCCATCAGAAAATTGATCGCTTCTTCGAACGGCAATGTCGACAAGTTAATGATCTCATCGATACGAAAGTTCGATTACAAAAAGAAGAGATTGATCGTGTACGTACGAAAGTTGCCGAGATCGTTCGTGAACAAGAAATTACCCAGAAAGATCTCGATTCATTAGTGTCAACTGTACGTTATTTAGAAGCAGCAATAAACAAGATTGAACAAACAACGCTGCAAATAAATTTTCGTGGATTCGAATTGGATGAGGAATCTATCAATATCAGTGAGAAAAACTCGTCGGAAATTGATATTTCCAAGGTTTTCAATAACTGTAAGACGTTTAACTCTGCTAATGGTAGCTACAGTGTGTTAGCTTGCAATGAACAGTATTTGCTGATACACACTAATCCAAATTTATGTTTAGTAAATCGTGATATGAAAGTAGTCAAACAAATTCTGTGGACTTATGATAAAATTTACGATATGTGTTGGTCAGCAACATTAGACAAGTTTATTTTGATCGAAAAATACAACATTTACATTGTTGAAAAAGATATATCATCGATAGAAGTTGGCCAAATGATCGAGAAATATAAATGGTTAGCATGCACATGCTCTGACACTTGTCTATTTTTGCTAGTCGATACAAGTCCTCCTTGGATCGGATGTTATAGTATTTCATCTTCGATGGAGCTGATCCAAAAATGGCAAGTGTTTGAAAAATCATCAACTGATATTGTTGATGATATTGTGTACAGACACGGAATGCTTGCCATGATGGTGCAGAATACACAAAATACAGATGTACGAATAGAATTAAGATCTGTTGAAACACTGACTTGTGTTTGGTCACTTGCACTTGGTATTTTTTCAATCAACGAAAGTATTTTTCGTTGCTGTGCAATCACGTGCAACGAATGGATAGTAGTCGATCACAAGAATAATCATCTGGTACATGTCACTGCTGATGGGAAAATCAAAAATACGATCGCTTATCACTCGACACCACGCCGTGCCATTCTGTTTGAGCCAAATCTATTGGTTGTTATAACTAGGACAGGAATCCAGTTTCATCAGCTGTAATTCACCACAAACGTAAACTTCACTTCCATTATTGTATAAAACAAACAATCATCAGTCTCTACATGAATCATTCTACTAAGATCTTGAATAATGATTAGCATTTATTCATATTCAAATATTTCATTATGAAAAAATGAATAATCTAATTGGAACTGAATCATTACATTGTATTTTTCACGAATGAGTCAACTACTCGAAAGAAGTAACTGTTATTTCTTCGACAATTCTAAGTCGATTTCTTTCACCTTTTTATTACTGTCAAACATTTGCAGTAGAAACAACAATGCGCATGACTAGAACTATTTTGAATTTCTATTCACAAACAAATCCTGTATATAGTTAAATATGATTCAATCACTGACGAGTTACGAAAGCAAAAAAACATACGCCAACGTTTTTTTTTCTCCTTTGAATAATGTGTGAATTGAATGACTACTTCGAGGGTAAGAAACGAAAAATTGTTTCTTATCAGTACTATCACCTAATACATTTTGTCTCGTGTGCATATGCACGCATATAAATATATGAAAAGGAAGAAGAAGAAAACGAGCCTCTATCGAATAAATACGATCAACAGAACAAGTAAAATCTGTCTGACATGTAGTTTTAAGCTCATTTCTTTCCTTTTTTGTTATTTAACTATGTTTTCCATATACTAATATTGATCTACGTTAACCAATCGAATAAGATTAACCAGAATCGTGAAATGTTTCTTTCAGTTATCTAGTCCGCGTGAAAATCTTTCTTTTTATTTCTTATCAATCGAGATAAGATCACATGAAGCTTATCTTTTTGACTGTCGTGAAACTTTTTATCCAAATTTGTTTATTTATATTCTATTTTTTCATTGGATTCTTCTTCAAGAAAATGTAGGAACTACAACGAATACTTTTTCTTTGAATTCCCTTCTTCTACTGTGTCTTGTTTAGATCAAAAATGAGACGAGTCTACACTCCACCTGTGCTTACCCCTCGGATGTCGCCTGTTCCAGCAGGAAATCTCCTAAACTCGTCACCCATGCCGATGCAGAAAACTAGTCTAGCACCGCCAACACAATCATCGATCTTTCGAACCGATTCTTTTCGTCAGTATATTAGTCGACAGGCGGTACAAAAAGCCATTCGAGGACGTGAATTATTCAAACGTGCTATTCGTCGAATTATTGAACAAATTCATGCTAAAAAGCAACGTCTGATTGAAGAGGAACAATTGATTGCGACGTATGACGAAGCACTTGCGATTTTTAGTGATATGACATTTATGAAATGCGTTTCGTTAAAGAAGAAGTTATTAGATGGAAACAATCGAGCATGGACAATTGAATTCGCACGCGAGGGAGGTTTACATGCATTGCTGTCGTATTTGGAACAGATCACAACAAGGGGCTTATCACTGGTCGATGCCATTTTGGTCAATGAAACTTTACAATGTTTACGAGCGATGATGAATATCAGTGAATTATTCGAACATATCGCATCAAATCCTCAATATATTGATTCGATTGCTAAAGGTTTGTAAAGGAGATTTTAGATTGTTTTTGTAAAAATGGAATGATGTGTTGTAGTTTTAACGGTTCCATCAACTGACATTCGAATGCGTGTGTTCGAATTGTTAACTGCACTGTGTGTTTACTCACAAGATGGTTATGAATTAGTTCTCAAATCATTAGAAGATTTTCAGGTAAATATACTGATTGACAAAAGCTAGAAAATAAGCGACCGGGGCATATTTCAGAAAATACGAACTTGTGATGAGGTATAAATTAGTAAACTCATATAACATTTCTAGAATGGGAGAGGACTAACAAAATCTAAATATTTCTTCTTTTGTTTTCTTAGGCAAATAACAAATTATCGAATCTATTCGTTGTTATTCTTGAACAATTGAAATATTCTGTTGTTGCCAAACACAAATGGTCAGCTATTGCCTTGCTGAATAGTATTCTCTCGTCAACAGAATCGATTGAGAAGCGATTGTCTTACCGCAATATTCTCTATGGTAAGTTTTCAGTTTACATCTAAGTTGATTGTTTATTGAACAAGTCCCCTTTTAGCAAACGGATTTGCTTTAACTTTGGAACAAGCACGCGCGGATGAAAATGAAGATCTCGATCATCAGTTAGATCGATTTCTCGAAGAACAAAAGCGGGATGAAGGAGAGTTTCTTGACCACTTCGATCAGAATGATAATCAAGCTGTTTGTCAAGCTATTCAATTACAAGTTTGTTATGGAAAAAGATTCTTTTTCTGAACATCTGTGCTTTTCTACTAGTTAGCATCAAATTCCAACGAATCCGCTCTTTTTCTCACGGCCATGCAAGTGCTCTATTCTGTTCTGACAGATGCAACGTCACAGGATCGGTAAGTTAGGAATAAAACATGGCAGGCGTTTATATTGAGGTTATTTACTATTTAGCGACAGATTTCTTCAAGATCTTCTTCATTTTGTTTCGCATATAACAGAAAAGAAACCACAAAAGAAAACAATTGAGAAAGCGATACAAACAGATATCGTTCCTCAATTAAAGAATGAACTTTCTTCCACTCAACAAGAAGTACCTACTGTGCCAAAATTAGCTCCACTACTTACAAATACTGAAACAACTTCTGTGTTAGTCAATAGTACAAAACATTCAGATATTTCATCTTCCCTTGTGCAATCAGCCGTTCCTGAAGACACTCGACGAGAAGTCTCTTCTAATCTACAAAACACTTCGGCTTCACCACCTCCACCGTTGCCTGCATACCTACAACCTCCGCCTTCAGCTATTCCACCTCCACCACCACTACCAAGTGGCCTGGGAGGTACACCACCACCACCACCGCCACCGCTACCAAGTGGTCTAGGAGGTGTACCACCACCACCGCCACCACTACCAAGTGGTCTAGGAGGTGCACCACCACCACCGCCACCACTACCAAGTGGTCTGGGAGGTACACCTCCACCGCCACCTGGTGTTGGTGGCGCACCAGTGCCTCCAGCGCCAGGAGGACTCAATTTTGAGATGAGTTTAGCTGGTCTATCTGCTCTAGTCGATAATATACCCAAACCCAAAAATCAACTGCGACGATTGCAGTGGAAGAAATTACCAACCACTATCCTGAGTATGTATTTACTTCTCAATTCGAGGAGCACTTGTCATTGAGAAGTTCTCAATGTACTTTCTTTCAGCTACTAGTCAGTTTTGGAAGGATGTGAATAAGACATTGGACAATAACATCGATTTTACACAATTAGAAGATTTCTTCCAAGTCAAAAAGGAAAAGAGTAATAATGGTACGCTATCGACCAAAGCCAAACCGACGGCGGTAGGACTTGTATAATATTCGCGCAGAGTTGAGATATCTTTTAATTAAAGGTACAAATTTTACCTCATAATCGTTCGATTGGAATAAATGTTTTCTTGAAAAAATTCAATTTTACCAATGCGCAATCGTTCAGTGAATCACTACGAGATTTTCAATCCGATCTAAATAGCGAATGTCTTCGCATGTTATTAAAAATTTTACCAAACGACGATGAAGTAAGTTTGTTCCGAATGACTTAATTCATCCTCTTCGATTTTTCCAAAACAGATCAGTCTTGTACATGATCATCCACGTGAGCAATGGGCATTACCGGAAGAGTTTATTCACGAAATAACTTGTATATCTCACTGCGAATTCCGTATTCGTACACGTATCCTAATGGCAGAATTCGATGATACATTCGATGATTTCAAGCGAAAATTCCAATTGATTGTTAAAATAACAACTTTTCTCCAAGTTGAACCGTCACTTAAACAATTAGCACGCTCACTTTTGTCCGTTGGCGATTTCCTCAACTATGTAAGTGTTTCTCTTTCGAGAAAAGAAAACATCTGACTACTCGATATCTTAGGGTTCGTATGCTGGCAATGCATTTGGTTTTCGATTGGAAATTCTTAATCAACTTCATGACATTCGATCAAGTGAAAATCGAAATCTACTCGGCGTTCTACTCGAACATTCACCACAAAATTTCAAATTCATCGATGATCTCAAACCTATGCTTGCCGATGATGTTCAGTACGAGAGAAGAAGCAACTTTTCGAATGAATATATCTGTTTTCTTTAGATTGAAATTGGCGAAAATCGAATACGTCGAATGGAAGAAAAAGATTGATGATGGTCTTAAACAAATAAATTCCTTCAACGATGAACAAATCATAAAACAATATAAACCATTCTATGAAGTAAGAAGAAGAAAAACAAAATCGCTATCGAATTGTTTTCTTTACTCATTTAGCAATCAAGTTCCAAACTCAATCAGATACTTGATCCATTAGTAAACGAATGTGATCAACAGGAGAAAGAACTTATGAATCAATTTGGTGAAACCAATATCACTGAGTTCAATTACGATACATGTTGTACGATATTTCGACAATTGATCGAACAAGTCGAGAAAGAGAACAAAGTGAGTTTCGTGCAAGTCTGATGACAAATGAGAGAAACCGATTGTTGTTTTTTCTTTAGGAGAAACAGAAAAGTCTCGCCATGAGTAAAGTATTATTAAATTCAACAAAAACTCTGCCAACTCAACGAACTTCTCTCGCCACTGGCAATACAAATAAATTAGTTGAGAATAATTTTATGGATTCACTTATGACAGAACTTAAACAAAAAAAATTCGCCACCGCACCTCGAGTACGTCGGCCACGTCGAGGTCTCTTTGATAATGATGATCGTGAAGTCAAATGATTGTTATGCTTTTACCGTTGCTTTCTTTCTCCTTCTCTTAATAAATCATTATTTTTTATCAAATGTGATCGATTCAGTGCGAAAGCGAAATGGATATTTGATCCAACCGTTCACTCTGTGTACACTCCTATTCAATAGCATCAATTTTCGGGAAAACAATAGTTTCTTTGCGTTTGTTCTGTCGCTTTCGTGTACCCTTTGGGTACATATACACACACACATATCCACTTGAGTGATGTTTGCATTTCTGTTCTTCTTCATCTCGTTCTCTTTCACTCTAATGTATACCGTACGATATGATTATTGTTTTTACAATATTCGCTAAGCAGAAAGCGAAAAAGTGCATCTATTATTTCGACATATATTCACGATCACGCAATATGTATTAGCTGAAAAATTGATTATCACACGAATATGTCAATCTTTTCGTCCTTCCTTTCTTTTATGTTTTCCGGAGGGCTAATTTGATCATCATCATCACCATCATCATTGACTGAGGACAAGACATATATGTATGTGTATATAAAACGAAATTGCTAACATTTACTCAAATAAAATCATGAAGACGAATGAGAGAGAGAGAGAACGACAGAGTATACAACACGAACGAACGTCTCGCATTCGTAATGATGATGAATCGACGTCGTCTATAAGCGAAAAAGTAGAGGAGAGATGAAGAGGAAAAGGCGAATGAGAGCACGAACGAAATATAAAGCAAATAGTCTTTCTACTTAGCTTTTGTGTATGTGTATGTGGAAGGAGGAGCAAGGAAAAAGAAAACACCTTGATAGTATTCGCTCTGGGTAAATAGGCACGTCCGTCAGCAACTATTTCGTCGTCAATTTCACCCTTCTCTCTTATTTCAGCTTTTTTCTCGCCAACGCACAGCCATTTGTTGGTAGAGTGATGATGGCTAAAAGTGTTTCACCGTAACATTTCTCTCTTTACTCTTCGTATTTATATGTGTGTTCTTACTCTTCGTTTTCGCTCGCCAAGTAAAGAAAAAGAACGAGAAAACGAATGTGTAGTGTAGTGTTCCGTCTTTGAGATTCCTTTTCTTCTCTTCGCTTCTCAG